GATAGTAATAATCTTGTTCTTTTTATAGTACTACTAGAAATTAAGCAAGTTGTAGCTTTTATAGCTGTTAATAATAAGAAGCTAATAAGCGCTTACAACCCTCTTCTTTATATGCTTATTAAAGTGCTTTAACTACTGCAGCCTAAGCTTATTTGTTGTCTAGCTGTTCTTAGAGACTATAATAACCTAGTTCTAAAGCAGATTCTCCTTCTTGTACTAAGCAGAGAGGTAATAGCAGCCCTTAAAGATAATAAAGGGTAAAATAGCCTACCTTATTATATTAATGCCTTAGATAACTGTTATCTACTCTCTATTACTTTACTGTATTGCCTTTAGCTGTCCTTGTCTCTCTAAAGCTGTAATAACTGCTCTAGTTAATATCTAGCCTATTATAAAGCCTAACTTGTTAAAGTTATATGTGTCTTTATCCTAGATACTATACTTAGCTTTTATGTTAGCTACTAGGCAAAACTAGCCCTAGATAACCTCTAGATCCTTATAAAGCGCTCTCTTATAATTATACTTGTAATTAAACTTTATTATAAACTTAGGGCAGTGCTTAACCTACATACTAGGCTAGTTTAAGCTAACCTAGCCTAGATTACGCTTAGTGCGCAAGGAATTAGCTATATTAGCTATAGCTGTGAGCCTAGGAGGAAATCTGCGCGTAATAAGCTTAAGTATGTACTTAACAACTACCTCCTCTTTAAGCTTAGTTAGATTCCTTAATTTAGGCTAGCATTCTGCTTCTAAAGGCTGTCCAGCGCGTTAATTACTTAGTGTTGTGTAAGAGACATTATAGATAGCTGCAGCGCGTTATAAGGAGAGTTTTAAGTCTTATTTAAGAGCCTAAAGAGCAAGCTGTATCTAACATTCTTTAGAAGATTTAATCTAGTGTTGTTGTTAAGGCATTATGTAGATAGGTAGAGTGTAGTGGGGGCTTAGTAAAAGTGGCCGGCCAACCCGTGTGGCCGGCCAACCCGTTAGGTACGTTATTATTTTTATAGTATTACTAAAAATAAAGTAAGTTATAGCTTTTATAGCTGTTAATAACTAGCAGATAGTAGCTACTAACAGTACACTTCTTTATATGCGCGTTAAAGTGCTTTAACTAGTTTAGACTAAGCTAATTAGTAGTCTAGCTGCGCTTAAAGATTATAATAACTTAATTTTAAAGTAAATTTTTCTTTTTATACTAGTTTAAAAAGTAGTTACTACCTTAAAAAATAATAAAAGGCAGAATAGCCCACCTTTTAGCATTAATGCCCTAGATAGCTGTTGTCTACTCTTAGTTGCCTAGCTAGACTGCTTTTAGCTATCCTTATCTCTCTAAACTTATAACAACTACTTTAGTAGATATTTAGCTTATTATAAACTCTATCTTATTAAAGTTATATATGTTATTATCTTAAATGCTATACTTAGCTTTAATATTCTTTATAAAGTTAAACTAGCCTTAAATTATTATAAGATTTTTATAAAAAGCTTTTTTATAGTTATACTTACACTTAAACTTTACTTTAAGCTTTAAGTAATGCTTAATAAATATATTAAGCTAGTTTATGCTAACATAGCCTATATTATGCTTAGTGTGTAAAGAATTAGCTATATTAGCTATAGCTACTAGCTAGGGGGGAAATTCTTATGCATCTAGCTTAAGTATGTGCTAAATAATTACCTACTTTTTATTATTATCTAGCTTTTATAAGTTAGCTATATAATTAGCTTAGAAAGGTTGTTTAGTGTGTTAGTTACTTATTATTTTTTAAAAGACCTTATAGATAGCTGCAGCGTGTTAGTTAAAAAGTATTACATTTTATTTAAAAGCCTAAAGTATAAGCTATATCTAATGTTCCTTTAACATGTTTAAGTAGTGTTGTTAGGAATGCATTAGTGTAGGAAAAGTAGTATAGTAGGGTCTTAGCAAAAGTAAGTAACTCAGGTGTGTGAGCGACTTGCCCATGAAGTACGTTAGTAATAATAGATTATATGTTATATAAAAGAAAAAACTAAAAAAAGAACTAAAAAAGAAACTATAAAAAAATTTAAATATACTATAAAAAAAATAAAGGCTTAGTTACTACATCTATATAAATTTACTAAGCTAAATTAAAATTAATAAGCATTTTTTTACTAAAGTTAGTTTTAAAATTAACATCTTAAACTATGTCTTAATTACTTTAGTTAAATTAAATACTTTTATATTAAGTATATTATATAAAACCTTACTTACTAATTTTACACTTTAATAAGTAACTTAAGTAAAGATAGTATAGGCTAAAGACTATTCTAGATATAGTATTATGCTTTTACTTAAAGCTAAAAATAAACATTTAGATATAGTGTTATATAATTCTAAAAGTTAGAGTAAGCTGCAGCTACGCTGTTAAATCTAAGTAAATCTAGTACCCTATTGCACTACTAAAGCATATCCTGTAGGAGGTAGGCATTTATATTCTAACTATTAACCCTTTTTTTAATTATATAAAGCTAATTAGCATTAAATAAAAAAGCCTAGTTTTAGACATAAGCTTTAAAATAGTAATAAAGCATAAAAAGCTTTTTAACTATGCTATTTAAACAGTTCTTTTACTTTTAATTAAATATGTGTTTTATAGTTATATAAAGCTATATAGTTTCTTATAAAGTATAAAAATATATATAACGTACCTAACAGGTTGGCCGGCCACACGGGTTGGCCGGCCACTTTTGCCAAGCCCCCACTAAAACCACCCTATTGTCTCGCAAAACAGCCTACTTTAGCCCTGTATAAAGTAATACAACACAAGATATTATTTAGAGTCTACTTTTACTACTTGCTTACACGTACGCAAGTTATGCCTAGTCTAATTGCACTGCCTGCATTGCCTTTAACTTAGCTTACTTTCTTTAGCGCGCACCTGCGTCTTTAGCTTCTTCCTATTACTACGCGCTCTAAACTCCTTTAAAGCAGTTAGACAAGCCCTATCCTTAACTATTAAGGTTTTTTCTGCCTAAATCTGCTTCCTTTTATGCAATCTATGTTATGTAGTAGCCTTATTTACTGCTTAAAGCTCTGTAATCTTATAGCCTACTCTATTATATTAATGCCCTAGATAACTGTTGTCTACTCTTTATTACTTTACTATATTGCCTTTAGCTGTCCTTATTTCTTTAAAGCTGTAATAACTGCTCTAGTTAATATCTAGCCTATTATAAAGCCTAACTTATTAAAGTTATACCTGTCTTTATTCTAGATACTATACTTAGCTTTTATGTTAGCTACTAGGCAAAACTAGCCTTAGATAACCTCTAGATCCTTATAAAGCGCTCTTTTATAATTATACTTATAATTAAACTTTATTGTAAACTTAGGGCAGTGCTTAACCTACATACTAGTCTAGTTTAAGCTAACCTAGCCTAAATTACACTCTGTGGGCAAGGAATTAGCTATATTAGCTATAGCTGTAAGCTTAGGGGGAAATCTGTGTGTAATAAGCTTAAGTATGTACTTAACAACTACCTTTTTCTTAAGCTTAGTTAGATTCCTTAATTTAGGCTAGCATTCTGCTTATAAAGGCTGTCTAGCGCGTTAATTGCTTAGTGTTGTGTAAGAGACATTATAGATAGCTGCAGCGCGTTGTAAGGAGAGTTTTAAGTCTTATTTAAGAGCCTAAAGAGCAAGCTATATCTAACGTTCTTTAGAAGATTTAATCTAGTGTTGTTGTTAAGGCATTATGTAGATAGGTAGAGGTTGGTGGGGGCTTGGCAAAAGTGGCCGGCCAACCCGTGTGGCCGGCCAACCCGTTAGGTACGTTAGTATAAATAGTAAGCTAATTAGCTAAGCTATTTTTTAAAAAAAAGCTTTAAGTTTAAAAGTAGTAAAAGTAATTCTACTTAAAGTAAAATAAAGTAATAAGTATTATATAAAATACTAACTTACTAATAAAAAAAAAAGCTTTTTAAAAGTTACTACTACTAAGCTTTAATTTACTAATTTAATATACTTATGCTATAAAGGTAGCACTAATTAAATAAAAGCTTAAGCTTTATAAACTTTTAAAGCTAGTAATAAGTATTTACTAGTATAACTATTTCTATTTTTTAATTAAATTATATAAAATATAGTTACTACTTTATTTTTTTAAGTGTCTTAAAAAACTAGTAAAGGCAGCTAATAGTAGTATAAGTAAAGATTCTAACATAAATCTATATAATGTATTATAAGTACGCGTTAATACATGTATAGATCTCTACACTATACAGTTTTAGCTTACTATAGCTATTAATAGACTAGATAAAGTTTAGGCTAGAAACAATATACTCTCTATAGTGTTACTGCAGGTTGCGCTTGCAGCGCTCTACTGCCTTATAGTTTATTATATAATAGATGTAAAATAACTAGTTTTATATAATAATATAGCTACATTAATAAAAGTGTGTATAAAGATACTTTTACTTATACTTATTAATAACACTTTTTTTTAGCTTTTAACTAATAAGTTATTATATAAGCTTATCTACTTACTAGCTTTATTTAACACTTTACACTTTTTTATATAATTTAAGCTTAAATTAAAGTTATATAAGTATATATTTTTTAATTTAAAAGCTTTTATTATGTAGTATATAAAGCATATCTAAATTTTTAAGCCTAACTTTAAAAAATAGCACTTAAATTTAATTCTTAACTTTATCTTTAACTTTAGTAAAAAAGTGTTACTTTATATTTTATATTTAAAACTACTACTTAATTATATAAAAAGTAACATAGACTTAAACTTTTTAAGAAAGTAAGTAGCTATTTATATATATGTAACACTTTTATAGAAAAGCCTAAGTAGATAAAGTTAGTATAGTTTAAGGTTAATCTTAGAATGTCCTCCTACATTGCTACTATATTAGTAAGCACTTATATAATGTAACTATTTAGAAGACGCTTACTAGGCATTATAAAATTAACATGTATAAACGTGTATAAAATAATTATAAAGTTATAAGTAGCTAAAGGCTATAATTATATGCAGGGTAACTAAAGAATTTTTAAATTAGTAATTAGTTTTTTCCCTTCACTAGCTAACAGTCCGCCGTAGACACCAGCCGCCCGGCGCTTATCGATATAGTAGACACTGCGGCGGCGCGTGCATGTGATCAGGCCTTGAACGACAGCTCTTCAGAACTATAGCATGGCGCCCACAATATCTCACGACATCAAAAATCATGAACGAGATTTGGCTATACGTCGCGAGAACACTATCTATCTCGCGGCTTGGATGGCTGTGGATTCTGATAAGAACTTATTATTTTCTGCAATTTCGATTATTTCAGTTCTCGCCGCACACCGCATCTCCCGAATCAAACGTTAGAATTTGAGGGCAGACTACGAGACCTCGGGGCTGAGGCCAGGAAAAGTGTTGAATCCAAAAAGAGCCCCAAGAAGCACGAAATTCTTATTGAGCCATCGTAAGATCAGAATCCAACGGATGAGCAAGGGCTGAAATTGCTTCATGATATACATACGAAGCCCTTTGGGAACCATGAGAGCATTCTAAAGCTGTGTGGTGGAAGAGTCACTAACGTGTACTGGACTAAACTTTGCTTCTAGATTCGCAGGTTGTAACTCTTTGCCAGCCACGCCTAAAAACCCGGAAGGCTTACAAGTCGACATTTCTTTGGAAAGGGACCGCATAATCGAGTCGTGTTTGGGAAAGCGCAAGATGACCGAAGATAGCCAAGTCCGTAGACAACTCCCGGTTCCCGGTGTTCTTTCCAGATTTGTTAGAGATGGTATTCCGCCATAAAGCCCATATGTTACAGCTTGCAAAAAGACACGCGAATTCAGAAGAAATTAATTTGCGTTACTAGGAGAGGCAGATCTAATCGTTGGTCACATGAACATTGTGATTGTTTTAGTCTTCATCACCGGAGCTGTCACTAGTTTGTGCAAACTTCGAGTGAAGTCAGATCATGTCCAACTTGGAACTATTGCAGCATTCACCGCGGCATTTGCTTTTGGCTTAGGTGTTTTGACCAATGCTAAGAGGGCTGTGATATTGGCGGGCAAGGTAGCGTATACTGCAGTTCTTGTTGTCGTGCCTAGAAATCTGAGCGTCAATAGTAGGAACATAGCATAGCAATTCTCACATTATCGTCTGAATGGTAGCCAATATGGTTATCGAAGTTTGTCCAGTTGTTCCTAAGACCGTCGGGGACACATCAATCAGACATACAGCCCTTGAAAGGGATGGAATTGACAAGGACGGGGACACCAGGACACACCCCGCCTCCACCTTGATGTGTAGTCCTGTTTTAAGGATAAGCGCTCAGAATAGGCTTCATCTCAGGGTTGCCCTGCGAAATATTCATTTTTCGTGATGCACAGACGTCCCAAACAACTCCCCCATTTCTTCTGCCTGACCCACTCCATTGGCCTTATAAGCCAAGCTCCGTGTCCTCCGCTAAGGCGACAGATATCTTGAAATATTTTGAAATACATCAAATCCATTCCTAGATCGAGTTCACCTTCCCTCGGGCCTTACTTGAAACAAACAGAGCGGTAAGCCTAAAAATCGGCGGGACGCCTTGGCGGTTACCAATATTTGACGCCGTGGCTTGCCTATCAAGATCCCAGCTTGAGGTCGAGCATCTGGAATGGTGCGGTCTTCCACCCTGAGGCACGATAGCCGGTGACCGGGAACATGGTATATGCTAAAACCCCAGGATGGTCGTTGAAATCCAGCAACGAGTCTAGTGTGAGGGGATATGAGATACGAAGAAAGCCGCATACTATGACCGCAGTCAAGCGCTAGGGGTCGATCTCAGTTCTACTGACGGAATGCTACTGTTTTCGTAAGTTGTCAATTACAACCGAGGAAGCGGAAAATAGACACTGGAAATATTCTCCAAATGGAGAGGCTTGGTAAAAATAGTTTGATTTCGCCGCCACACAACGCCGCCGTTTACAGTGGCGTCACGCCTAGGTCTCTCAACCCTACAATTTCGTTCTCTCTTCTCAAAGATAATAATAATAATGCCAATGCCAATGCTAATGACGCTAATGTTCTCTATATTATCATAATAGATATCACAAATATGTAACATAAGGAATGTGAGAACAGAAAGATGAAGAACCCGATTTGCGCCTGGTGTTAACCCCCACTTACCAAGCACTCTTCGGTTTATCTGCGTATCCTACCAACATCGGAGCTCCTACTGGGGCTTCTTGACTGCGAAGCCAAACGATACTTTGCTGTGAATGAATAGTGATAACTATTGCGTCCCTACGCTACCGGAGTCCGGCTCGACCTCCTCGCTCGATTCGCTGAATCGACGGGCGACGGTTGCTGTCCTGCTGGAGGGAGACGAGTTGCTCACAGCTCAGTGTTCGTAAAAAGAAAGTCGGGTTTTATCATCTAATATGACGGCTATTTTTTCGCACCAAGGACGGATGCTTTCCAGCCTTTAGAAGCTGGGGGGTCGACATCAAAGGTGCTGGTGATAGTCGTGGTTGTCTTAGCTTTCTGTGAGGAGTCTGGCAGACCCTTTTCCACATCTCGAAGTGGGCGTTGAGACCTGGCTGGAGGCGGCGAGTTGAGTCGAACGCCGGTGCGTCGGTTTTGACGTTTGGTGGAGACATCTGAGCGGCCAGTGAGGCGACGAGAAGCACGTCGAATAGATTGGCGAACGTCCCATTGGCGTTTCTTCGCGAGCCAAAAGAGGATCGCAGAGATAGCTAGCACATGGAGTTAGCTTTAGGTTCCAGGACGAGGTTGGCTCAAATGCTTACTTCCTCCAACGGCTACTAGGACTGCAACTGTGATGATGGCCGCGAGACCACCCTTCGATAGAGTGAATGCACCCTTCGCACTTCCTGCTGCTCCAGCATCGTTCGGGTCAAGGGGATTGTCGTCGCCTCCATTATATCCTTGATTTGGTGTTCGCTGAGAGGTGGGAGCGGCGTCCGTTGCAGTGGCAGTGGTAGTATGTGTGAGGGTTGAGGTGAGTTGCACCGTCTCCTGGGCTAGGACCAGGAGGGGTAGGAAGCACAAGGAGAGAAAGGCTGATCTGAACCCCATGACGAAAACGCAAACAATAAGGATATAGATTATCTTCTGTCGTACGATTGTGGTGTTGTCTTGCAGTCGCCGCGTAAAAAATGGTGCAAAGATCAACTCAACTCGTACAGAGGATTAGACAAGTCCAACACAGCGACAGCTCACCTCTATATTTGCGCCCGTCGTCGACAGCTTTTACCCTACCAATGCCCCGCGACGAGTAAGGTGCCAGCGGCTACCACATCACACATCTCGCACGGGTGTGACGGCTTGGGCGGCCTGCGGGGGGGCTTGCATCTAGGAGCGTGCTTATTTTGGCGCATTGTCGCTCGAAAATACATATCTTGGGACAGCGGGGGATTATGATTGGAATGTGCAGGAAGATGCGGGCGGCTATGGTGTTGAGGAGACTGGTCGCCAGGATGTCAATGCAGGATGCATCTCGGCTGCACGACACCCGATTGGCCGGCGAATTTCCGGCGCCTGTGCGGGCCTTTTTTTGGCTCCAGGGGCACGCTCGTGCTCAAGTCTCGAACACAAACCTTTATCATCTCTCATGCCAGCGCTGTCCTGGCATCGCGATAGGCGAGACCGTGTTTAATGCTAATAGACATGGCATCATGGAAAGACTTGTTGGTGTTTCTTCTCCGCCCCACAAGACCGACGATGAGTATGCCTTGGCGCTGTTTTAAACGACTTGTTCGACGAGCCAGAGACGGAAGGGAAGTTGCAATACGAGTGCCATGTGATATGGTGGCAGGGAGAGACTGCAATTACTAGCGTTGGATGTACGCTCTGTATCGACGACTCATGGTATGTATTACCTTCGGTAGGTTGTGCCCCGTCCAGTATACCCATCTAGTAATTGTGGCAACTTCAATAGAGAAAGAGGCTCAGATGGGAGTGTGAACGTAAGTGAGGTTCTAAGTCCTACCGATCTGTTTAACTATAATGTTCGTGATATCAGGCGAGTGGACAGCGGTGAGGTTGAGTTGGAGAGAAGACTCGCGACTGCCTCCTTCGTGCAAGGAAGGAAGAAAATTTCACTTCCGCTTCGAACAAAACTCCCCTTCTCTCTCATCCCTATCCCCACCTCACCCCTCATCCTTACTGTATTTACATCAAATCGTCTAACTCTTTCCGCACACTTTGCCGGAAAATTCGCCAGTCTCTGCGTACGGTGCTTCCATGGCTGAGGCTTCCGAATCGAGCATGCCCCCGCCAGTCAAACGCCCATCGGGACTGCGTAATGAGATCCACCAAGAATCCACTGACGATGACCGAGATCCTGGGCATAGCTATGTCCAAGTCCTGGACAGTGACCTCATCGTTCCTGACACTCGGCTGGAGAATTTTGAGCCTGACAGTGGGAATGTGGAGGGAACCGGAGAGCTAAACGGCCAACTTAGTCCTCGGTCTCAAGCTATCATTGCCAAAAACAGTGCCTCGAATTCCCGGAATGCTGTGAAGCCCGTCCTGTTCCCAGTCAATAACTTGTGTAGGCCAACCCAAGCCGGAGCAAATGAACATGCCGTCTCAGGATTCAAGTTTGTTCCACCCCCACGACCAGCAGGGCCTAGCAAGACCATGTCGGACGGAGCCCATGGTACAAAGCTATTTGCCCAGCCAGTACCTGCCAGTACTGGTCTGCAGTCAATGAGTGATAACGCGGCTCAAGGCGAGTCTGCTAGTCCTAATAACCGAAGATATGCTGCTGACAGTATCCTCATCTAGGTGACCATGTACACCAGCCTCCCCAGAAACAGCCTTGCTGTCGCCCTGGGAGACTTATCGAGCAATCCCAGCTAAGTCAGAGTGGTTCTTCGACATCCACCGAACCCGTGAATGAGGAAGCTGGAGATTCTGAGGGAGTTTTGGCCGTTGACGCGACAAAGTGAGTTCTTCTAGAAAACCTTCATCTTCCCCTAATCCCATAGCCGGAAGATTAAGGCTAACATTCAATACCAGGGCGTCGTTCTCCGAACCATCAACCCAGCTTCAACAAGAAGCTCGAGAGTCACACCGCCCAATCCCCGCTTCGGCTCCAGTCTCTTGCACAGCTACCCAGAAATCTCGTTCCTCTGGCAAGAAGGGGAAGTGGGTGTGCAAACCTCAACTCGATACTCAACCTTGTTCGTCTCCGAAAGGCGACCACGTGGTGGATTCCATTATGAGACCTGGCTTCTCTAACGCTGATTCCAAAGGTCACAACTGTACTCCCCACCCAGCCGCTATATCTATTCCATCACTCCGTCGTGAGGGCATGATGAACTCCACTCCAGAGCAAATCGAGGATGCACGTGTTGATGTGCAAGGTATTGAACACCAGGATCTTGCTATTCTTCAACCCGAAAATTCCACCCCTTCGGAAGGCCCCGTGACTGCTGTGGGTGCTCCAATCTCTCCTACTTCTCTGCAGGCCAATGCATCGCAGGCTATCCTCCACGAGGTGTCCGCTCGTCCTAAGCCAAGCAAGATTACCAAGTCTCAGAAGCAGAAACGGAATGCAACGGTTTTACATGCTCCTATCCCGAGACAGGGAAATGGCAACAGCGGAACCATGTTCCAATCAGCATTCGAGTGCCAACTTCAAAACCTTCGACTGGCCCACTACGCCGACAAATGTAGAATTGAATATACCTATACTACCACAGATAGAGCCCAGCAACGCACCATTGCCGCGCTCGAAGAATCCAAAGGTATTCAGAAGGACCGAATTCAAGCCCTTGAAGCTTCAGAGAAAGCTCTCCGTGCTGAACTGGAACAGCAATCGGATAGGTTGAAGAGGATGAATAAATTTGCGAAGGGTATTGACAACGACTATAATCGTTTAAAGATCGACATGAAGACCCTCCGTGGTGAGCTCAAGAGTGCATACGTCCAAGAAGCCGTAGAGATGTACGCGAAGCGACCCCAGCTTATCAGCGATTTTGAGACAACGGTCGCAGCTTTGCGGAAGAGTCAGCGATCGACAAGGGAGGTCTTGGATGAATGCCTCATTCGCCTGCGTATTTATGAGTCGAAGAACACTGGCCTTATCCAAGACCTAGAGAGGAAGAACACGATCATCGAAGAGGAGAAGCGGAAACGTGCAGATCTCGAGCACCAGGTCATCACCTCCCTTCAATCCTTGCAAAGCCGTCTTGATGACAATAACGACACCCTGATTGAGAAGTTACGTAGCTTACAAACCTCTGTCGAAAACGCGACTGTAGATGAGAGCCGAGATTCATGTCTCAAGGAGTGCCTTGATGCCTTGCAACAGCTTCGAGCCACGCCGTTTCTCACAACGAAAGACGCCCAAAAGGCCGAGGGAATGCTTCGTTTTGTTCAAGACAGGTATTTTGGAGCAATGACTTTCCCTCTCGCTGCAAAGATTAACTAGTGCAGCATCAATTCCAAGTTTGATAAGGTCTTTGACTCTGTTGATTCAACTCAATCTTCAAATCAGGACATCCGGAGCAACATTAGCGACCACTTTCAGGCTCTCAGAGCCGACATCCTCAAGTGCGGTGATGCCAATACAGAGTACGAGAGGGCTCTCCAATCCAATAAAGACTTAGACAAGCAACTACAGGCCCAGAAAGAGCAGTGTGAGAAAATGGACGACCAGCTCAAAGCTTTGCGGAAGAGTGAGGCTGACCTCAAATCATGGTCATCTTGCCTGGAGCTGGAACTCAGTACTTTGAAAGAGGCACCTTCCGACCAATACTCGGAACTCTATGACCTAGAACTGGAGGCTGCAGGTCTACGAGCCGGGCTGAACAAGGCCGAGGCCGATTTGAAAGATGCAATAGCTAAGCTTGGTGAAGCCGAATGTATCCGACAAGTTCAAGAAAATGAAGTGGCCCAATTGAAAGTGAGTGGGCTCATCATCTGTTTTGACTACGTACTAAGATTAACAGCAATCGGCTGCCGAACAGGAATCAAAGTTTGCGGACATGGTCGAGAAGGAAAAAATTGTAAGTCGTGATGTGTGTTTAAGGGGTACTCCTGGTAACAGTCTAAATAGGCCGACCAACGTGTAGAGGAATTGAAGCGACAGGGTGTCAAGAACTTGAAGAAGATCATCCAGGAGAAGGAAGCAACCTGGGGTAACCACCTCCATCGCGTGACACGTGAGAGAGACGACAATCACAAAATGCTGCAGACGACTACCAGGGAGCTCGATGCAACCCGAGAAGCCTTGCAACGATCGCAGCAGCAATTGCGTAGCATCGAATCCGACCTGACCGATCTACGTAAGGAAAAGGCCGAGATTGACTCAGCAGTGAAGACGCCCCAACGAGGCATGCAGGAGAGCGTGACTTCGTCGGCTGAGGTCGCGAGTCTCAAGGAACTAGTGAAACAGAAGACCGATGCTTTCCACACTAAAGAGCATGAGCTCAACGCCCTACGGCAAGAAAACGCCACCTTCCGAGGTCAGGTAAATGAAATGCAAGAGTCTCTAAGCAAACAAGAATCTTCTATTGATGCCATTCGCAAGAAGTTTGACACCGAGAAGGCCGAAACTCAAGAGAGGCATCAGACCGCACTGAAAGAATCACAAAATATAATTGTCGCACTGCAAAACCAAAAGAAACAAATGGAGTCAGGCTTGAAACACCCTCCCCCTACTGACAAAATCTCACCGCAAGATATCGAGGCTAGGTTCACCCTTGAGAAGAAGGCGCTGCTGGATGTTATTTCTGAATTGAAAGCCGTAAAGCAACAATATGAGACTCAATTGCAGCGCATCCGACAAGACAACGAAGAGGACAGGGAGAAGTTGGAGAGTGGACTTCGTGCTGAGATTGGCGACCTGCAGAGACGCTTAAAGCAATCTGAGACAGCTTTAATGGAGTCTGAGGCCAATACTCGCCGCATTGAAATAAAAAAGACGCAAGAGCTCGAGCTGCACAAACGACAGACAGTTACCAAGTTTAATGAATTGTCGCGCCGTGCCGACATTGCCGCAAACGCTCGTACTCAAACCGAAATTGATACTAGCGCTCTAGAGCCCCCTGCGTCTCGGTCCTCTCAACCAGCTTCAACACAAGAATTGGGAATCAGTCAGGTCATGGGTAGCTCTTCAGAGGTCTTACAGAACTTCCAGGGCGCGAAGCCTAAGAAGAAAGTCAATCGACAGGACAACTCCGTGCTTAGTGTTGACGACTTGTCACACTACCAACGTGACAGTTTGGTTACCCCAACCCAACGGGAGCATCGTGAAGAATCGCCTGACTACTTCAGTGGCGTCAATCCGTTCTTTAACGACGACTTGGGTGCTAGGGAACAACTTGATGAAAATGGCGTATCACTCCTTGGGTTTTCCGGTGAGATTGTGACGGAAACACAACAAGAGTCGGGCCCAAAGATGAACTTTGAACAATTCAACCAGAGCCTGCAGGTCGTTCCGGCGACTCAGCAGGACTTGGGGCCTTCTGTGGACTTTGAGCAATTAAACCTGAGCCTGCATCAAGAGGGAAAGCAGGTTAAGAGTTCTTCAGCCCTATCTTCGTGCGCCTCCGACATTATCGAGAAGCTGGGAGAAGAACGAATGGTCACACCGATCGGTCCAATGCGTTTCGGTGAACACCAGCGACCGAAGGAAAGTCCCGCTTACAGTTCCTCCTTCGAAACACCAATTCGCGTGGCACAAGCAAACACGGCTTCCCGGATGGCTCCCAGCACTGGACAGCCCAAGGCCTCCCAAACTTGTACTTCCAGGGGAAACCAATCGTCTTCCTACGACAACGCCAGCCCTGAATGTACGAGTACACAATTACATCAAATTCAATCTCGAATAAGTTCTGAAGCGAGACCCAGGGATGCTAGCTCTCCAGACTTCGTTCACCAACCATCCCCTGGCTCTCGTGTGACCTACGGACATTCATTTGGAAAACCGACTCCATCCAATGCTAGCCCAGCAGATTCGATCTTTCGAGCCCCTGAAAAACCATCTAGACATAAACGAAAAAGTACCGGAACTCATGGCGAACGTGATATATCCTCGAAGCGTGTCAGGGACTTGCCCCAGTCCATCGCATCTTCCTTGCCAACGAGACACGCGCCGCAAGGAACTGGGTCCTCTAGCGTGGCTTACCACTCGCAGAGCCAGATGCGATCTTCTCCTCAGGGCATGGCGAGTGGTTCGAGCTATCGTTCGACCCGCTCTTCTCGTATTAAGAGCATGTTCTGCCTCGAGCTATTGCAGCCTCGTCTTCTTGCTAACGGTTTTGTAGCATCCGGTACTCGATACGAGACACGATTCTCTCGGGAACTGGGCGGTCGCTGATTCGGTATCGTGTGAGCACTAGGCTGGGAGGACTTGTTCAACGGTATGGGTTTGATCTGCCGATTATGTTAGAGAGGCGTTATTCTAATCTAGAGACCGTCAATTAACATCTTCGGTAAAAGAGGTGGTATCTGAAATATTCCCGATACCCTAAGCGCAAACCACTGCTTGATGTGGCTGATGGAATTCTGGCCCACCTGAGAGGTCTTTACGACGCATTCATTTCCCTTCGCCTCGCATCAAATATCATGTATGGTATATGTGTTCTTCTCAGACACAGCGCGTCAGGAATCCATGGTAAGCTTTCAAAAGGTGGGACTAAAGGTAGCCCAAGGCTAACTATTCAGGCGCTATCTAGCTCATTGCTATTCTGGCGGGCGATTTTGTGAATGATGAGGTGCTTACGTATAGGGCGCATTATCGTGTTACTTGTCATGTATTGTAGTACGGAGATCAAACCGTCCAGTGGAGGGTTAGTATACGCGGCGATGATATGAACGTTCATGCTAGCCTTGGAGGACAGAGGACTACTGGCATGGCAGGCGTAGTTCTCTGTGGTGCCTCCGATAGACCAGCTTTTTAATAAGTGTATATATAGCTCATTCTACATGCCATATGCCTAAGGTAGCTTCTATATAGCATACTTCTACATGCGAGACTCAATCTAGCTCTTAATAACAAAGTTTTCTCTGATATTTGCACTCTTTCCTGAACCCACCGCTTCTAGGAAGGTTCCTTGGCCAGTCTTTTTGTGCAAGCAACGTCCTGTTCGCTCGAGAGATTTTGTTGTTGCGTCCCTTTTCTTGATCTGCTCAATACCCTACTTACTGTCCTCATCTCTAAACCTTACAACACTGTTAAGATACAGTTGTTCAATACATAAGCTACTTATCTATATCTTCTCGAAACTTTTACGGCTGCGCAGGCGGTGCGGTAGTGTGGCGATTGACTGGCTTCTGTAAGCCTTAACTTTATTTTCTGCGCATTCCTTTAGTGGTTCTAACCCCACTCCCGTTCGCCTCAAAGCGGCGCTGCTTTTTTATATTTCGGGGGTGGCTTTGGGCTTAGGGGGCCCTTGCCTGGCGCTGCTGGTTTCCTGAAAATGTGTTGTGACAATGAGAGTGTTCTCTACTGGAGCCGTCTGTCACGGGCGACGCGCGTCCCACAACGCCTCGTCTAGCATCACTCTCAAGTACGAAAGCTCTCCCAGAACTGCAAGGCAAGTCTATCCTTTCTACATCTCTTCAGCTTGCTTGACTATGCCCAAAGAGGCTGCGATGGCTAGGCGCGGTTGGAGGTGAAGGGAGACCTTGGCTCGGCGTGGGATTTCCACCAACACGGCATCGCTAACCTCGACCGAGCCAAGGGCAACTCGATAGTACGTTTCCCCTAGACTGATACGTTCTAGCAAGTTCTACGCTGTCGTGGCTCGCATGGCAACGTCAAGTTTCCTACTCTCGAGATCCTCGAAATCGAGGCCACTGGTTAAATTTGGCCGTGCATGTATTTTCTGCAAAACACACTGCTGTTTTGAGACTGCAGAAGTATCAATAACAGGACAGTATGGCCGCCTTCCGACCTCATGTGCAATATGCCCTTGCCGGCATCCGAAATTGTCGGACGAAAGAGTCGATTATTGTTGGCATTCATGTCACTTGTTGTCACTGTTTCATTCTGGCAACTTGGCAAAGCTCGAGCATCGTCTCTTTGATGAGTGAAATCTGAGACTGCCCCTGTTATTTCTCTCTGCACTGTAATTAGCATGGGAAGAGCCAATGTAAGGGTAGCTGATATCTTTTGCGTAACCTCACCCTTGATGCCTTACCTGCTTGCAAACTCTAGAGAGGCAGCCGTTCCACAGGTTATCAGACGTCTCACAGTATATTCCCTCTCTCAATCCTCTCACTATCTTTTCCTTTTCATCCTCACCTATATCCTTAACAATTAGGGACTTACTGGTCCATTAAATCACAAGAACAACAGTGGCATCTGACAACGGCGGGTCTCTCATGGAGCATGGCTAGATGAACTAGGCCTTTCGGTTGGTTTATCCGCAAACACTTTCCAATCTATTCGCATGTGAGTTGTTTCATATCCTTTCTTCATAGCCCTTATATCTCATCTCCTATACTCTTTCCCGTCCTTTCACCAAGGGACCTGGATGGGCGTCTAGTTCCTCATACCTTACAACCCCTCTCTTCCCCCTGCCGGGCAAGTCCTATACAAACGAGTTCCACTTAAGAGAGACAACCAGCCTCCTACTGGTGGGGATGGTGTAAGACCATGTCGGGGGTTAGATCTGCCTGGAGTAGAAGGCAGGTCCTTTTCAGCTTTAGCATGGTACCGTAGCCTACTTCTACTCGCTTGACTGATTGACGCCGAACGGGACACCGTGCTCGAAGAGAGTGCCTGCAGGCTAGTCTCTACCTAGGGTTGTCCTAGCCTAGGTAGTTTGAGCTCGTCTATCTTTCTTTTTCGTCCTTGGTTGTTCGCCGATCCATACGGGAGAGGTATTGAGCGGATAATAATCTCTAGTTATCATAAGATATCCCACCCAGACTCGTCTCAGAGTCTCCTTTCTCTAACCCGACGGGTCGATGTGAGGCTCCAGTCAACCACCCCTCCCGGCCTTCCGCACGTTTTGTTGAAGTTCACCCAGTATTAACATCTGGTTAGCCTATCGGTAGACCTCATATGGTTCGTGTGTTCTATGGTGCTAACATCTTATTTTCTCCTCATTTCATTAGTTCATTTGTATTTCGAGGTGCAAGGAAGAGACTCAACCGTGGGAGTAACGGTGAGGGTATAGTTTCTCACGTACTATTCTCTTTGATCGCTTTCCCTAAGACTAAGCCTTATTGGTGCACTACTCCTACGGACAACACCTTTTACCACAGCGGCGCTCTTGCCATGGCCGTGTCCTAAGCGCGTGCGTGGCAGCACAATATAGGGAGCCGGTGGCACATTTGATCGAGAAGGCAGATCCTTATCCCGGCTCGAGGTATCTGAGTTTATTTTGTCTTTATTCCATCAATCAGGAGAAAGACAGGTAAGGAGGGGATCCAACTAGCCTTAGCCAACGGCGACGACACTCATCGGACTGGAAATTGTTCTGCGTCCTACATGTGAAAATTTCTCTCTATTTTTCATCAAGTTAGTTTCTTTCGAAGATCGCTGCACTCCTCTTTGTCGTCTTTTCTCTTTCTCTCTTCTCTTTAATTTGGTGGTGGTGGAAAACCTCACGTCACAGTCGAATGTATTCGCTACAAAGAACCACCAAACTACTCGCATCCGAATTCGAACACTACTCTCTCCCGCCACCACAGCAAAAAAAAAAGAGAACGATCAAGGCCGTGCCCAGGAGCAAAGGGAAGGGGCTCCTGAAGAGAACGATCAGCCTATCTAAACGGCTGGCCTCGCCTGGCTACTACGAAGCCGATGCAGGCTATCATCAGCCAACTTACTAAGAGCATACTGGAAATACCCCAATATTTAAGGGCCAAAAGAGAAGAAATTTTTAAATAGATATGGGCCTGTTTCCGTTGCGATCGCTCTGGGGCGATGTGGGGACTCTGAACGCCTCGTAAGTCATCAGATGGAAGGGTGTAGGTACGCGACTGGACACACAGGGGTAACTTGAGCTATCAGAATACACGAATCCGAGTTTACGGGGTCTGATTTCGGGAGCAGCTATTGGGGTCTCGAGCACGTTTGGTAAGATGCCGCTATGCGCTTCGAATGCGGCCAGTTTGATGTACAACGGTTTTGACCCGGGCCCTCATCTCATCAAATGGCGATACTCTTTCCTCGGCTTTTTCACGCAGCGATCACTACTGAGGAAAAGATGAGATGTACTACTTCAGTCCTCCTCTGAGCTGCATAGGCAATGCACGGTCATCGCACCACCCACACCGCTGCAGGAATTCCTTGGACGACACTTTGCAGTCACGAAAGAGGGTTACACTGGGTGTAGTGTGTATTCGAGAGTGTGTATTCGAGAGAACTCGCTCTACGTATTGCATAGCATAGGAATAGATGTTCATATTTCCCATGCACGCTTTAGAGCTATTGCGTATAAAACCGTCGAACTATCGAGGCCTCTGCCTCACAAATTGGCGAGAATCTGCTACGATCTGGGTCTAGATCTATGTCGTTGTCAGCCGCGTCGTCACCTTGGACGGATTACATATTAGGTGTCTTCCCTGTATGCTTGGCAAGTATTGCGCGAGCATCCTGAAAGCGACCAAATGAGAGCGGCATCAACTAGCCACGAGGCAGGACGACCTACAGCTACATAGAAATGGCATCACAGAGGTAAAGAGGCCTGGGGCGCCACGAGGAGGGAAGATAGGCCATGTAGCTCAGAAAAAGCTACAAAATTTACAGCATCACGAGCAAGTGCCGTTACAGCCAGCAGCGTCATGGAAAGAAGACGAAGACCGTAGAGAAAATTTGGAAAATCTCGGTATCTGGTAGAATATGAGATGCAGGAAAGACCAAACCATTATAACGCCGGACCATGCTGTATGGTACAGTATCCTTACATGCTCCGTCTCCTCCCATAGCCCTGCCTATTGCCCGGACATGTAGTCCGTGGGACACCTCCTCGAGGCACAGTACTATGTCATTCCTTTCGCCGAGCCCCCAAGCGCTCTTGATTGTATTAGCGATCTACATCGGGCCTTGGATATTATTGTATTTGTCGGGCCACATCTTCCCGCTCCAAAATATCTGCATGAATTGTGCGTGATTGGGGAGGGATTGAAAAGGCGATTATTTCTTCCCGCGTTTTGCCTCGAGGAAAAGAACCTGTTTCCGGACTGCGACGACACGAGTTAGCATGGGATCATCCAGCCCAACGCCATATTCCATGTCTGCTCAACTTCAGCACATCCACCATTATCCCGCGCCCATGCTATCTCTCCACTTTCTTCAAGGATGATTGATTATACCCGTTGGATATGACTACGCAAGTCGCTGTATGGAGGACGCGGGGTTGGAGGTTGGGGTTGGTGGTACCGTACCGATCGGATCATACTTCAGCATACTCAACGGGCGATGCGCGCGCGGTCTCATCAACGTCCTGTAGTAGCCTGTCATGGCCATTGATATGAGACGCACCATAATAGTGCGGGATTTCGCTGGAAGGAAGGGTTGTTAGCATGGTCTGGCTTTTCGTCCTCGGATTTAGATGGCGAGAAGCAGCTTTAGGGAGAGAATGGGAGTACTGGGGGGTGTGGGGCCTTGGGTTAAGGAGGAGGAGAAAATAGAAAGGGAATCGAGTACCTTTTTTTGCCATTGGAGGCGTGGGTGAGGAGGTTGAGCACGGAGAGTTGAGGTGGTGAGTCGAAGTGAGGGTTTTGGTGATGCAGGACTCGGGTGTTCTTCGGGGCTGCTGGAGTGGGTCCAGCTCGTGGAGCTTTTTTGCTCCCGAGGTTGTTCATGTCCTCTCCCTAACGTTAACTAACGTTTAGAGACAGATGTTTTCCGTATTCCTCGCATTTCGTTAAGTCGAATCTGTCTCCTTGCTGGCATATTTAAACACCACGAGCGTTTCCTGTTAATGATCTCGTCTATTTTCTTGCTACGTCAAAGTCAACCTCGCCGTGATCCTCCTCTAGCTCTCTAGAATAGTAGCTAATTGCTTAAATTCCTAATATTTAATTGCGATCATCACGTCAGAACAAACCTCCAACTCTATACCCATCCAACTCCTAAATACCCCACCTACTTTTACCTCCCAAAATGTCCTTCCCCAACCGCCTTCTCTCTCCCCCAACATGGCGCTTCCTGGGCCTCTGCCTCATAACTACCATCTTCAGCCTCGGAAATTGGTGCCTCATCTACCCCCTCTCCACTGCCGAATCCCTCGGCGTCATGCCCACAAACCCCTCCAACCCTTCCTCTTCCGAAGTCTCCCTCATCTCGAAAGCCATGGTGTTCCTGGGCGCACGCGATCTCTGCATCGCCCTCTCACTCTTTACCTTTCTCTATCGGGGGAATCAGGAGGCTATGGGAACGGTGTTCACTTCTGCTATTGTGATTTATGTGCTGGATATTTGGGTTGCAGCACAGGGGCCTAGGGGTTGGGATAAGAGGGTTTGGGGACTTGTGGGTGGGAGTTTGGTTGGGGGATTTGTGGGGTTGGGCCTGCTGCAGGAGGCGTAGGTGGGGGTGACGGAGTGGGTGTGCGGGAAATGTCATCTGGTAGAAGAACACATGGCTTCTGGGTGAAATACGGAGCTCGTTTGAGGTCAAATCGATACTAGCCGAGTTCTTTAGTGCGGCGCGTCTATTCTTAGAAGTTTGTGAAGCTTTACCGCATACCAGTGCCATGGTAGCAGATATATCCCAACGGGCCGGGTATCCTCAAGAGACGCTCAATGTGGTCACTTCACTGTGCCGCACAGGAAGCGCCGAAGGACCACGTTTAGACCACGAGGAAAAAGGGGGCATACAAGAGAGGATTTACCGCTCGCAGCGATCAAACAACCTCCGCAAGTATTGAAACATTCTCTCCGGTCCTATCAAGGTGTTGGAAGTGTCTCTACTCCAGACTCCGGAACGCAAAGTGGTTCCCGAGGCAACGTGGTATTTGGGATCCATGCTGGGGGATTGGGTTCGAGGAAATCAGGCCTGGCGGGGTGAATCCTGCCATTGCAGGAGCGGCTAGAGAAGATTATCTGCGCTGGGATTCATTTCTGTTCCTGGCACTGGTCCGGTCCACATACACCGCCGGAGCAGTCGATGATCTTTTGGATATAGTAGCCCTGTTGAGTTGTTAGGACGAGACATTGATTAGGCCCTCCGGACATTGTGCCTCAGCTTCCTTGTGAATGATGCTCCCACGGTTTAGTGGATGAAATAGAATGCTGTGTCGCTATGTGATAATCCACGAAGGGGGATCGCAAAGCACCTCGAGATGGCTGCAATTCATTTACAGCCTCCAACCTTAGCTTGTAGTACAGAATGCACTGCTCGCTGTGCTCGAAGATCTAGACACGTTAGTTGTAGTTAGACAATGCTTTGTGTCTCAATCAAATAATAGACCCGTGAGTCGCGTTATCGACTTCGCCTCCCGGCCACTGCTATGAGACTGAAACATGCGCTCCCATATGAGGCCGCAATGGTAAGGGCTTCGTCTAATTACGCGCCATTGAACACTCACACAGTCCAAGCGTCTTGGAGCCTTACTCCTATTCTCGGTGCGCACAAATGTTCCAAAAGACGATCTCTCACGCCAGCTTTAGTGACGCGGTTTCAAAGCAGGGCTAGTAGTTCATCTGGCAGAAAAACCAACGACGATTGGAAGTCGTTGGTGCTGGACGATTGAGGTTGAAACATGCATGAAAGTGGCGTGGAAGTTTGGAAGCATTGAAGCATTGACAGGGGCTAATTTTGGATAGGGCTGGTAGATTCCTCACGTGCAATCCATCGGCCCCAACGATTCTGTCCGAGTTGCAAGCCTGGGGCTGTATCCGTCAATTCTTGCTGTCGGCCACTCCGAGGCCCTGCGAAGCTTGCACGAGTGTGGAAATGAAGGCTCGTATGATGGGGATTCTTGTATAATCGTCGATCGCACTCCATGTCAGCTGCAATCAACTCTGCGATACGTCAGTCACGTGTGGAGTGTGGCTGAGGCCAATATTCATTGCCCTGCCCACAACACCAAACTCTCACCGTTCCTCAACGTGAATCCGTCCAATCCCATCACCTTTTTCTGCCGGTTTTCGAAACTGGCACAGCCTTGTAGCATCATCTCTCATGGTCAATTCCCCAGAAACCGGCTCCCATGTCCGCGCCACAGTTGAGTGCGACACGTTGGCCCATCAGCACTCAATCACTCCTAAAGGCAAAGCTGAAAATTTTGGAGGAGTGCCATTTGAGGGCTGAGAGCGGACGGCGCCGAGATCACCGCCCGCTCCCTGGTTCTGGCCTCTCTTGAAGCCCTAGAAATAGTCCACACTGACCGGTGAGGCTGCGAAAGGTGTGCTCCATACAGTAATCAACCGGGGCTAAGTCGGTCGCGCAAGACTTCCTCGGTGTAAAAGAACGGAAGGAGACCCTGAATGTCAGCGTCTTTGAAGCGACTTGAGCCCTCGAGAGCGGGGCTAGCTCGCTTCTCCGGCACACCCAAGTTAAACCTCAGGTGCAAATCCCAGGAACACCCTGATCAAAGAGTCGGTAAAGCTGCAAGACATGAAATCAGATTGCCAGCTGTCACTCGATCTGCGCTGACTTGCTTTTTACTCGACCAACCTCGATTACGAATCCGGTTGTCTCTTGCGCACTTCATCCGACCCAGAGACCCGCGATGCAGTTATGGTGTTGAGATGTGGGCCAGACCAGTGACGTGCTACCCAACGCCGCCTTTCACCGAACCAAGATTGGCACGGGGGTTCGGTTCGGTCCTTGTTTCGAAGAGGTAAGTCGCTCAGGAACATCTCACACCCTTTGCCCAGATTATCGCGAAACCCGCAACAGGTCTGTAGTATTGAGTGATGCCCGATATTACTGGAAGAGAAAGACCCAACCACACACCTGCAAGCAGGCCCGTCAGCACGTGGACACCATTTCTTGTTTCAATCAACTGCTGCTTAGGCTTCAATGTCCCTTCCTTCGGCTGCCTTGTGAAGCCGTCTCCGAGGTGTGTTGCCAGCTCACAACTCTTGCCACTGATCTTCGCCGAGTTCCCCAAACTCAACACCACGCCTCATTTTATGATGCAGCTGGAGAATTCTCGGTATTACAAGAGGAGCATAAGCGGGTTTCTAGCGCGTTGCCGTGCACAGACAGTAATTATACTGTGGAATCTTGTCGATTTGTATGGAAGCCACGCATATCGCACTTTGAAACCCGCTCATGATCTCCCCTTGTTCACTCGTACATGATCTGGCAGTTACGTGTCAATTTGGTATATATTCCAAGTTTCCAGTTTGCAGGCCACAGTGATCTGCAGACCCTTTCTCCACAGCAACGGTACCACTTGGGCGTCTTGAGGCCTCAACAACGGACCCCCGAACTGCAACGGATTCCCCAAACCACGGGATCCCCTACTCACCAAACTGACGTGTTCGTTTCGTTTCATATTGATGCGATTCAACGTGCCGCAAACGTAGATGTTTACAGCTCGCAAGTCGTGGAAAGCTATTCCGAACGACATAGCCGACCTGCGTCTGAAGCTAGCATCTCCATGTCCTGTCATCAGGTCGAGACAAGTGACGGCCTGGCCGGCTCCCCCTTGGCTCTGCAGTGAATGTGAACATCCTTTCTATTCCTATTCCTACAGCAACGCAATTGCGAGTCCGGCGCGAGGGTTGGTTGCAAAGGTGTGTACGTGGAGAGTTGAGCTGAGGGCTGGCGATAAGGATGTGTGGCGTTGGGATCCTCGACCAACCTGAATTTCGAGACCGAGGAAGCAGGAGCTGGAGCGGGATGCTGTTGCAACATCACGGCCAGCTGGTCCGCCCTTTTCCTTCAAGAAAACACATCTACGTTACGGACAGATTGCGCTTCCTTTGGCGAGTAGTCGAAGGAGTCATCGCCGTGAACCCCTCAATCATGCCATCATTCATCGTTCCGTTCCGTTTCTCGGAATCCTGTTGCCATGACTCCCCGCTCCCCACTCACTCCCACTTCGCACATCCCTCTCCAGATCGCCCTCTATCGATAACTAAAAAATAATCACCGCACAAGCCCACCCGATCCGCAGCACTCTTTCTCGTCTCGTCTCTGCCTAGCCGGAGCCAACCTGCCGGGAACATGGCAGCCTGACGTATGCAAGCTTCCCTAAGCCTCGAATATGATTTGCCCCGCACCAAGCCAGCAGTATCCCATGATTGCACTCTGCACTTAGCAATTCGGCACTCGCATGCAGTCAGATTGTGGCTTGCATTGTGGAAATTGCACACTCTTTCTTGCAGTCAATCATCGCATGCGGTTCTGTGAGTGGTGCGTGGTTTTGCATTTGTGAGCATTAGGAAGGATCGTGATTGGGGGAGAATGTGGGTTGCCTGAACGCGATTTTGCGTGTTAAGGGCGGACGGGGTTTGACACTCGTATTCGGATGGGCAGATCAATTGATGACGGTATTTTGGACTCACATGAACGATTTTGAGTTGGGTGTGTGTGTATCACTTGTGGCCGATTGGAGCGCTAGGGATTGGAGTCAGAGAGATTGAGTTGGGTCGATGGAGGCATGTCGCGATGCTCACCCCGAAGAGCGCAAAAACCTGTGGTGGGTTAAAGCTGTGGAGAATGATAATAGGTAGTGCAAAAGAATAGAAGAAGGTAATGTCATGTAATAATATTCATTGAATTCAATAGAATAGCTGTGGTCCTATCCAGATCCAGATCCTAAAGACGTGATAATCATCATCAACATCATTCCCATTCTCCCCTCAACACCCCATCCGGGTGGAGGATGCCGCTTTTCATTCATCCCATATCCTTATCAAAACAGCAAATGCAATGCTTTTTCCTGCAAGCAGAGCAACAAGGACCAAAGTGATCGATCTTGTTTATGCTGGAATAGAGACAGCGGCAGTAGGTTCATGCGGAGCTGTTTCAGCATCCGCGAAGCGTGGAGGGTGGACCGGGTCGTCTCGCGCCGGTGACATTGTGTGGTATAGATATATTGATCGTGTGGTTGTAAAGCGTCAAAGTAACAAAAGAAATTCGTAGCCTCTTCACCTGTAGTATCCGGAGAGGCGGTGCTCGCGGATGTCGCGCGCAGACGGCTCTCGAACTTCTACAGAGTATCGTTGGGCGTTTCGTCGTTGAATGGCGAGGTCTTGCTCGTACAGAGACCCTCGCTTCGAGCTGACGGAGCTGTTGACTTCGGTCATGACCTTGGGCTTGGTCGACTTTGGTGTTGGCCAATCAACGATCTCACCGGACCGTGGTCGCGGTTTCGGCTTGGAGGCCTGTTCAATCTTGACCGATCGAGTCCGCTCTGGGATGCGGGTTGAGACGTAGTAGGTGCGGTCCATGGAAACGAATGGAGTTCGTGATCGGTGTCGGAGTGATCGTTCCATAGCCTTTAGAAGGCTCCGGACTTGGTCGTAGCCGGCAGGAATCTCAACGCGGACAAGCTTGTGGTCTTCCTCGAATGTGGAATATGTGTCGCCGTTGGCATTATTGTAGATGTATCGTGCAACCTCTTGAGCAAGGCGGTGACCAACATCACAGAGCTGCTCGTGAGATCGGTGGACGTTGTAGGGGTTGATGCAGTAGGCGCATTTACGGGCGTGCATCTCAAAGTCGTAGGCCGCCCAGCTTTCCTCCGTGTTCACAGGACGTGACACAGCGCTCACGGGGTCTTTGAGGAAGCCGACTACTCGCTCCTTCTTGGAGGAGGATTTCGAGGACTTGGACTGGATGACAGTCGGCATAGTGGATTGGCGAGAAATGGAGGGCATTCTGGTGGTGGTGGGTGAATTCTTTAGAATGGAGCGTAAATGGGAAGCCGTGGTGGTGATTGGGGCCAGGATGGTATGGGTGGATGTAGTTGAGGTCACTTTGCTAAGCAAAGGACTGAGCTGCAGTAGTGTTGAAGACTCTGAAGGTGCTATGCCAGAGTCCAACAGACTGGGGATGGACAGACTTTATGTTGTGGGTGTGCCAGAAGGAGTTGTGGGTGAAGATGGAAAGTGGCAGCGAGGCCCTTGAAATATATGTTTCTGGAGCTAAGGCATCACGGATGCCTTGGGGCGGATGCCTGCACGCCTAGGTACAGGGGTGCAGCCCTTGTCGAGGCTTGCGAGGGCGGTCAAACCCCCGGCCCACTGTCTCTCATGACGAAAGAAGGAGACGCAGGAGACCCGGGAGCGCGCTTCCATCTGGCATGCCGCAGAGCAGTCAGAAGACTGCCGGCACACGGTTGCGAAGGGCGCCGCTATTGGTGTCAGTCTGTCATTCCTTCGTCCAAAAGACCGCCAAGTGCACCAGCAGCCGCGATGACTCCTGAAAGCCGGCGATAGCACCAACGCACAGTGGGCGTTTGCAGTTTGCTCCGTCGCGAAACCGGACAGACAAGACTCACTGGATTCCAGGGTGGAGTTGTTAGAGTCGATGGGTGGTGATTCGACTTCGCCCCAGGATGGCGTTGATGGCGTGCGGTGATGCCTGCGAACTAGAAGGCGCAATTCTTCTCAGCCACTCCCTTTGCATACTAGCGCCTAGAGCCCACCTCTTGCACAGTCGTCACGCAGGACTGCTCCTGCGCAGTTGCGCTTCATTCCCCAGACATTCACCGCAACACGGAATGCGCACAGCCTCACCCCCCCCCCGGGCGGCCGTGGCTGCTAGGGGAAGGAACGCGCTTGCACGACGATTGATTGTGTGCACATTCATCTCTTCTTCGCTATCTACTCGACAGCAGCTGCGGTCGCTGCTTTGGCCGGCGGCTGATGATTTCACGTCGCACAACACTTGTTTCCAGGGTCGTACCGCCCTTCTGCGCGAAACGTTGCCGCGCAACATCTGAAGGCGGCGAGGGTCGAGGAGACACTGTCAACAGCAATCGTAGGCGACTCATTCCCTATCCTCGAGCCTGTTCCCGCGGGCTGCAGTAACCTGCATTAAGAGTGCATTCAATCGCTTGGTGGTCCCATATAATCCATTCTCCTCTTGTCTGACCGGAAAATGCGCTGCTGCTATTCGACAATCCTGCCGCAGCACGGCCACACCCTATAGGGTCTTTTGCGTCTTTTCGCCGCCAAACTGCACAGTTCACAAACCCTGCCGAGCTGATCGTGGCACTTGGCCCCGCCCTCGTTATGAAAAATTCTATGGCAACGTCAGCTCTGATACACAAGATTCCGAAATGCACCTTTTGGTCTTGGAAATCACTAACACCTTCATCCTCACACTTTTCTCCGGCGTCTTACTCTTTCCGTTTCGGGTATCGGTGACTCAAGGCAACTTCTCGTATCGAAAGCAAACGAACCATGAAGTCGGATGTCTGCAGGTGTGACTGGTCTGCCACAAGTCGGCCCGCCCCGCATGTTACCTCAGATAGCCGTCGTCGGTCTGGAGTTTGGATGTCCAGTTGGCAGCTGATGGGAAGTCATCGCTCTTGGCGGAAAACTGGTCTGCCTCTGAGGCTCTACCAACGTCACAGTTGCTTAAACAGATGCTCGCGTGCGGAAGTCGGATCCCTCACACCACTACGATGCCCTAGATCTAGAAGGGGCAAGTTTCTCTAGCTTTTCTTTTGCTTGTCGAACGCTTCACCTGGACTGTTGCAATCGCCCAAGGTTTGGGCGTTACTAGCTGACGTCTGCCTTCTTTAGCATCCATTGTTAGGCACCCCATTCCAAGCACAAGATAAAGAGGTTTACTAATTACCTCATTAAAGAGGCCACACTTGTGGAGGCATATTTCCCGACGCTGGAATATACGTAAAGCACTCCTCCGTTACACAAGGTTTCAGTTGCCTGGTGGATCATAGCCGGACGAACCATGATAGTTGGAATCCTCAGAATTATGACATCTGTGGCCAAATACTAGGCATTTCGCACATGTGGCCCGCTGACACCTTGAAAATCTTCCGGCAATCCGGGAAACGGCATTGTCCAACAAGAGCGGGGAATACCAGCCAAAGGATACATGTGCCTCGTGGCCTCGAACATCAACCACGCATACGTAAACCTTTCGCTCGGGACCTTTCGCTCGGGACTACTTCCGTCCGCAAAACTGATAGAGGCTTCGCGTTCACTTCCCATCGGTCACTCGAAAGGCCATTGAAAGGCAATTATTCACTTCTGCGCCGCTGACTAAATTCTGATTAGCCATCACTAGGCTCCAGCGCTGGATTACCAAACCCTCTCTGATATACAGATTTCCCTCTATTTATGGTTTTGTATCTCTGATTCACTTCATGCCTGTCTTGGAGCACTGGGCCTCCTCAAATCATCCTATACCTGCATTTGGGTGATCTTCTCTTTGCTTTGGTTGTTGAATGTTTGCGCTTGATGGGTATCAGTGCCTTGTCCTAAATGCAATGCTCATGGGTCACACGCTGCTAATACAACCCAGAATCTCCTGGCCCTTGATTATTTCGGCTGTCGTCGGATGATGTGTGAGTGCGAATTCCGTCCCTCTTACAGAGCCCAGAGTCTCGATTCCCTCACTTCGCCTCAGCATCATAGGGGTAGCATGCCATTCCCATCTGCACGCCCACTTGCGGCTGCATCTTCTCCCCCGTTGCGCTCACGCTACTGTCCGGATAGTCAAACAGCTGCAGCGTCATCACCAGATCTACTGAATAAGCCCATTCTCGTCCAAGATAGACCAAGGATATTGATGGAAATAAGGCGGCCATTTGAGCCTCATTTCTCTCACCGGCCACCGGATCAGGGATCCAAGGCCAAGTAGTATTTTTTTTGCTTCACCGACGAAAGGTCACGCTTTGTCGGAGCTCAATACTTTTTGTCATGAATTTCGCAGTCACAGCTCCGACAGTCGTTCGTATATCGGAGCAAACCGTTGAAAGACCCCACACTTTCAGATCCCATTCGCCAATCTGCTTTTGGCAACAAGTCTCACATCATGAATTCCGTGACCTGCCAGAGACCTGCGTTGAGATCTCTACTTGGCTAGCCACTTATTCCTTGCTGCGAAGTGTGTATATGCTACGCTACACGGCGACATAGCAAACAGTGACTTATATGTTCTCACGCACACGATCTCCTGATCAATTCGCAACACCTCACATTGTCTTTCTCCGCAGCAAGGAGATCATTCAAGCGTTTGACTTTGCCGCCTGCTCTCCTTACTTTTCCACCCGAAACTGACCGCTTTCTACCGCGTAGTAACACAGCATTCTTTGCCTCTCCTCCATGGCAAACATCGTGGGTGTTCATGCGGGTACATGGAGCCGTGGTACGAGGGGCAGGTAGACCTTGTGATGTCTGCATGTGTGCCTATGCTGCGCCAGCGTTGAATGCCTTGCGTGCGCCTGGAGATGTGTTCTCGTGATGTGGAACGACCGACCTATCTTGGCAGGAACCTTCAAAATTTGTTTGCTCGATCGGGACATGTCGCACGTGGGAGTTTTTTCCGAGCTGAAAGACATGTGACTTCGCGAAACCGTGAAACTTCAGCCTTACGTGGGTTCCTGGGTTAGCGTGCGATCCGTGCTTCCCAGCTGTCAAAACCTCACACCGCTTTTCTTGGGCAACATTTTCGGCCAGATGGGCGGGGACCTTCAAAACCTTTTCTCCCCCCTTGTATTCTTTGCAAAACTGTGCGAAAGTTCACCACTCTTGTTTTGTGGTTGTTGTGGTTGTGAAATAATTATTTGATTTTTGGGCTGATATGCCCCCGCGTTCCGTTCTTCTCAATGTTTTCGCAACTATGGCTACGAGGGGTGGGAAGGAGGAGGTGAGGGAAGTGCAGGTTGAAGATGGTTCGGAGATGGAGATTGACAAGGTTGAAGAGGGTCAACATCCCTGCCATTCTTCTCCAGAGATTCGAGAAGGCGCAAGGGACGTTCGTGAGGGTAGGCATCTGCATCCTATGTCTTTGCGACTTTCAATACTCCTCGACGGGTACTCTCACTGATATTCAACAGCTCCGATGTGTGCGACATGCGGCTTTTCTTCACTTATCGCCACCGGTCCGCCTCTACTCCGCTGCTCTCGATGTCAAGCGGTGTATTACTGCTCCAAAGCCTGTCAAAGGGCGGACTGGAAGTCGCACAAGGCTAGCTGCACCCGAGCCCCGCATCATTCTCACTCACCGTATACCATCACCCCCCAACCCTCATGTCCAAGCAGCCCAAGCGGCTTTCCTAGCCCAGTATCTCCGGATATCGTAAAAATCAACCTCCATGCTCTGGATTCTATGACCGTCTATAAGCACCTGATCGACGCGTACCGACTCCTCGCTAATGAATCCTGGAATGCCAGTAGCATGGTACGTCCCAGGTGTTCTCTCCACGATGCAGATGACCACCATAGCGTTAATCCGATTCCTACTTTCCGGCATTTCTTGAACGAGGCGGAACGCCGTAATGGCTTGTTGCCGATGTGGTGGACGCAGGACACTAAGAGGGATTGTGAGGAGATGGAATTGCGGTTGCAGCGGAATCCGAGAGAGTGGAGGGATGTGGAGTGGGCTGGGGATGTTAATGCTAAGAGGAAGCACGAGGATGACAGGATGGCAGAGGGGTTGAGGGAGTTGGCAGAGAGGTGTGTGGGTGTGCAGAGAATAGATATCACAGTATAGAGTGTGTGGGTAGACTTCATTGGCGAGCGACAGAGTAGTGTTGAGGGTAAAATGATTGATTTGAGCGCATCTATTTGGGGTTTGCCATATAGACATTATATAGAGAACTATATATCGGCTTCAGTGCTGCAATGTCATGCCTTACGATTCATTCTTCTCCTCCTGGGTTTCATCCCCGAGATCTGAACTCTGAGGGGGCGATAGTGATAGCCCTTCAGCATTTCAGCCGCTCGAACGACCAAAGAGGCCTTTCTATTTATCTCTCTACTATGATCTTGTAGGAGAGGACAGAAGCTCCAAATATTCTCAGGTTATGTAAGATCGTCCTAGCCGGAATTGACTTTATTCGCGTTTCGGAACCGGCACTATTCTAAGGGTTCCGACAGGAAGCAATAAGGCTACATGGATGTATCTCCTTAAACAGTAGAGGTGTTCATCCCATCCGCATGTTCATCTTCATTCGGCCCATCCCCCATTGGCCGACCCTCTCCATCCAGCAACGGTGCATATCCTTTCCGCGATCCTCTCCCAACGGTCGGTAAAAACGACGGTCCATATTTGCAATGCGGGCACGAGGTAACGTAGTTCGCGCCAGGGGTGACGGCATCGTAGAGTTGTCGCACGGTGAAGTAGAAGTGAACGAGACTAGGACTAATCAGTAAAGAACAAAGCGGGAACAGGGAGTATGAAGAGAATCTAATGGGGAGGGGAGGGGAGGGTGAATGAGGGAAGGCGGAAAGGGGAAGGAAAGGGGAAGGAAATTAAACCTGAAGGCAAATAGAAAGGGGATTGAGAGTCTTACAAATTCACGCCAAGGAAATTTGTGCAATACGTCCCCAGCATAACCATCCCTCCATCGTATGAATGTGGCAGAAATACCCAGGCCAAAATCAGACAGACAAGTAGCCCAATACCCAACAGGAAATCCGCAACGAAGTGAATTGGTGTGCCCGTCAGGCCAGATGACTGACACCCGCATTTTCTCTCGTTGTACAAAAGGAAAGCGGAGAAGGCGGAAGAGCAGAACAGTGGGAGGATCCCGATGGCGGGGTTGACTCGCCCGGATGCGATCCCTTGGATCAGAAGGAAGAGGAATCCAGGTGGGAATGTAACTACAGAGATGGCGCGGAGGGTGTGTGATATGGATTTTGTGATAATTCTCATGTTGAGGACAGAGCCTGCCATGGTGGGCTTTCGACCCTCAAAGGAAGTATTCTGCAGTTGAAAAACGGTGGTAGGATGCCTTAGGGTCTTGGTAGAACTAGCAAATTTTTCTTACATAGTAGTAGATATAACAAAATACTAAAAACTGAAATCGCGGCTCCTCCAACACTTATAAACCAGGTGTCCTCCAAACGGCCCCGATGCGCGCCACAAACTAAGTACTGTGCCGCACTTGAAACACATGCATAGCGGGTCACGCCTTACGCACTTTTCTTGTTATGGCATAGAGAGGGGTGGCTCCGATGGATCCGTAGGCTGCCTCGGGCTGTGCCCAGAGGCTGCAAGGCGGATTTGGTGGGTCAGACATGGGAACGCCCCAAAATTATCGATATGTTGCTTGGGGGCTGACTTTGGGGAGCACTGCGGTTCAACGGTGTTTTAAGAATCACAAAGGGCACGTTATTTCGATAGAAGTTAATACCTGCACATGGAGAGATGGACGCAGTCATGAGCTAGGTATTTCAATATTGTATCCGAGCGAGTCCAAATGTAGATTAGTTCAATCCGAAACTCCTGCAAGGAATCTTCAACACCCATCCAACAACTCCGCACTAGTTTGTTCCGCGTCATCATTCTAAATATCATCTGAAATGTTCTGTGCTATTTGTCTTGAAATCTTCGAAAGTAAATGGGGTCTCGATGATGAGGATTGGTCTCATTCAGTCCAGGGCATTCACCACTCCCACCTCTCCAGCCTTAAACAATCTGCATCCGCCGACTGTCGCATATGTAAGGCCATCTGGCTTGAATGCATCATTGGGTTTGGGGAAGAAGATTGGACTGGAGCCGAAGTTAACACATCTTTCAAAATCCTCCACCAAAGCGTGAGCCTTCAGCAAGCAATCCTTCAAGGTCGTCAGATGGAGCTTCAGATTGAAGTTTCTCGAGTACTTGGATACGATGAGATCCTCCGCACTATGGTCTTTATTTTACTACCATGTATATCAGTCTTATTATGGGTCAATACATCTGAACTGACAGAGTTAGACAACCCCAGAGAACATCGCCATCCGAATGTATCAAATTCCCCGACCTCCCAGGAAACCCTCACAAAATGGTACCAAGACTGCCTCGGGAATCATGCAGAATGCCGTTCACTTTTTGACTGGCCGTATATCCCACATCGATTGATTGATATCGGCGAGCCTGGGTCTACTGAGCCAGCCAAACTCGTCATTTTTAACGGCGAGAGCCTCCCAAGTTCGTTGCCAGTTTATGCTACTCTGAGCCACCGTTGGGGGGGAACCCAGCCCCTCCAACTTTTGATGCACAACATGGCTCAATTGAAAGAAGGGATTTCCCGCCAGTCACTTCCAAGAGTCTTCTCAGATGCTATCGCAATATGTTGGCAACTTGGTATTAGGTATCTGTGGATTGACTCCCTTTGTATTTGCCAGGATTCGGAGGAAGATTGGAATAGAGAATCTGGCTTGATGGGGATAATCTACACTCAGGCAATCATCAATATCGCGGCGACTGCAGCCGTCAACAGCGATGGTAGTCTCTTTAGCTCAATGGGTGGTAATCCTTCGGTGGGGCTGATATCTTGGGGAGTAGTGCCAGGCCGAGAATACATAGTTGTAGAAAACAACTTGGAGTGGGCCAAGGGCTTTTCTCACCAACCTCTGCTTCGGAGAGCATGGGTCATGCAAGAAAGGCTGCTAGCAACACGGATGATACACTTTGCTGGATCGGAGCTCATCTGGGAATGCCGTACGTTGACAGCAACTGAATCATACCCGGTGCAGGTGCCGAGCGTGCTACGATCTTTCCATGAAAGAAGGAACCGATTCTGGAAGACTGACTTCACTGAGGACGATGGTGCATGGTCTGTCTTGATCCAAGACTACAGTAAGTGCGAGCTCACGTTTAGCAAAGATAAACTAGTAGCTCTCTCCGGGCTAGTCTCCATTCTCAACTCTAGGGGGCTATCCCGCGGTAGGTTCTTTGTTGGGATGTGGGAAGCCGATTTACCTTACTGTCTCCTTTGGGCGAGAGCAGCCTTGGATAAGAGAACGTGGGAAATGGTCCGCCCAAGTAATCAGCGAGCTCCTTCGTGGAGTTGGGCTTCCTTGGATTGCCCTGTATGGACCGAGTTGGCTTCAGGGACTGAAGAGACTCCTCTCATCTCTCACTGGGAAGTGAATGAAAACAGCAGCATATGGCCTGGGGGGAACCTACCGGCCAGCTATCCGTCACTACGTTTGACTGGACCCCTCGCAAGAGCAATTATTGCTTCGAAGGATCCAAGAGGGGAAGCTCTTGGTAGAGGTGTAGATAGAGCGCAGGGATATTCGTACTGCATTTCACTGATTTCCAGGACACCAAGTGTTGAAAGCCCTGGCCAAGATAAGCTGGTACGCGAAGAAACCGCTCCGTTCCTAGACGATGTCTGGAACGACGTCATTTTCGACGATCTGGATGACACGAATCTCAGGAAGAATACGTGGTGTGCCCCAATCTTCTACTGCAAACAGTGGACAGAAACAACCGACGCCAGTATGCGTTTTCTAGGACTTGTATTAGAAAAGATTGAAGATAAAGTTTTTCGTCGAATTGGAGCATTCTCTATTGGGCATCTTCCTGACCAGAATACCTTGAAGAATTCACCCGCCTGTACTTACACGATTGTATAACGAACCTGTGCTTGCGGAATTTCTCTCCTCCGCAAAAGCATTTGATGGTGGAGCTTTCAGCTAGCTGAGTTTCAAAGTCAGCCATTATCATTGATGGGTATCCGCCGTCACCCCTAGCTCCACGCTAGTGGAGTGAACCAATTTAAGAATGGATAGTGCTTACTACTCACCCCGATTCATTCCAATCAACCCCAGGCGTGTGGGGCGAGGGGGAACGAAACTGCATATTCATCTGTTGTAACTGACATTGTTGGCACTTAAAACAGGTGCTTGGAACCTCCAAAGCCACGGCTGATCACCCCCCTTTCATCGAAACTAACGCCAACTATGCTTAAAAGCGTCTTTTCCCAATGGTACCCACCAGCTGCCACGTTCACCGAAGAAGATGTGCTCGATCAAAGTGGCAAAGTGTTCATAATCACCGGTGCTAATCAGGGCATCGGGTTTGAACTCACCAAATCTCTCTATAAAACGGGCGCAACCATATATATGGCCGGTCGCTCGGCAGATCACATGGCTGCTTCTATCTCAAAAATTAGGTCTTCTAATCCTGCGCCCGTCACACCATCAACTCTAAAGTTCCTGCATCTAGACCTAGCAGATTTAGCTAGTGTCAAATCCGCGGCAGCTGAATTCTCGCGACAAGAAACAAAAGTAAATATCCTCTGGAACAATGCCGCCATAGGTGGCGCACCAAACGGTACCGCCACAGCACAGAACCTCGAGGCCCATGTTGGCACCAACTGTGTTGCTCCCCTCCTCTTCACCCAACTTCTCCTACCTCAACTCCGTAATGCAGCCCAATCCGCCCCAGAAGGTTCAGTCCGTGTAATTTGGTCCGGTTCAGCCATGGTTGACACTCATTCTGTTCTGGGCGGCCTCAACTTCAAATCTATTGAAGAGCCGCAGACGACGGATTCGAATACCGATTATGCAGCCAGCAAAGTTGGGAACTGGTTCCTAGCCGTCGAAGCCGCGAAAGCGTGGTCGCCGTACGGTATCGTTTCCGTCGTGCAGAACCCAGGGAATCTAGACACCAAGGCATATCGATACCAGTCCTGGTTCCTTGTGACATTGCTGAAGTGGCTGGTGCTATATCCTCCGAAGTACGGAGCTTACACTCTCCTCTTCTCTGGATTTAGTATGGAAGTTAAGAGTGGAGATTTTATTTGGCCCTGGGGAAGGGTGGCGAGGAGTCCAAGGGAAGATATCCATGAGGCTATCAGGAAGGGAGCGAGTGAGAGGTTTTGGACTTGGTGTGAAGAGAAGGCAAAGTTGCATGATTAAGTCCGGCTGCATAGGGTGCGGAATGAGGAATTACTTACATTGTAAATTAACAAGAGATTCTTTCCTGAGGAAAAACCATACAGATATTTCACTGCCTAAGGCTCATTATCAATCTTACATATAGTGCGGAATTGATGTATGAAGTGCTACGTAATTAACCCAAACTTACAAATCGCGCTCGTCACATTGGCCAATCAGTAAAATTTCGAGTCACCATACACCGGGTTTTGCTTCCAAACCTTTCCGTGATTACATATGCAGCCATTGCATTTCTAAGCGGCGAGTATCACGCTCACCACCGGTACCTCGCAATGACCGAATCCGAAATGGTGTAACGGGAACTTGGGATGGAAAAAACGATTCGCCCGTGGTATTTAACAGCGAAGTCCCACAACTTTCTCGCAAGATCCGAATCGGCTAAGTCTGTAACATGTCAACTCCCGTGCTTTTCGTTCTTGGTGCTGGGCCTAAGATCGGACTCTCCGTTGCTAATTCTTTCGCTGCCAAAGGATACAAGGTCGCTCTTGCAGCGAGAAGCTTTCAAGATGGGATAGGCGAGGATGGGTATCTTCGTTTGAAGCTCGACCTCGCAAACACCGCAGACGTCGAGAAAGCATTCGCCAAAGTGAAAGAAGCATTTGGTATCCCTTCTGTCGTGGTGTACAATGGTTTGTCCCTACTCTCTTTAAAACGACTCTTGTACACTTCCTAACAGGTGTCCTAGGTGCGGAACAAGTAGCACGTGATCCCCAAGACCCTCTGGACGGGATCATTCTCGAAGACGTCAATCGAGAGTTCGCTGTCAATGCAATATCCCCTCTCTTTACCGCTCAAGAGGCCGTCAAAGGGTTTAAACAGCTTCCTAGCTCCGCATCAAGAACGTTCATCATGACTGGCAATAAGCTAAACGTCTTCGTGATGCCTTCTGTGCTAACATTCGGGATGGGGAAAGCTTCTGCAGCTCATATGGTGTGGTATGCAAGTACCGTATATAAGCAACAGGGCTTCAAGTAAGTTTTTACTCAACTTAATCCGAAATTAGACAGTCGGAGGAAGGGCTTTGTTAATAGAGTACAGGTTTTACTACGTCGATGAACGCCAAGCTGATGGAAGTCCGACAATCCCAGTCGGCGGCCCGGCTGCTGGAAAACTATATGTTGAGCTTGCTGAGGGGAAGGAGCAAGGTCCGTGGGACTACACGTTCGTGGATGGCCAGGGCTATGTTGAGTTCAAGGAACCGTGAGATCTAGTAGGAACCTTCAATATATGAACTCACAAGGTTTGTTTATATATGCTTTGAAGATGTAGGAACCTTTGTGTTGTCGGAGGCAATAAAAGCTCCCCGCAATCAAGGCCATCTATTATGGGCAAAAATTCGGAAATTTCTTAGCGTTCCTCAGAATTTTTTTCCCTCTATTAAAATTGTATAGGAGATTAGAATCTCAATAGAATCCCTAATACATTAATAAATAACAGTTAGATTAGCCCTAGGTAAATTAAAGCTTTTAGTTTGTATAAAAAAGCCCTTATACTAACATTTTTGTAGGAGTAACGACGCGTTTATTTATAATGTATTGCGCTTGTAGCATCTCTATTCTTCCTAGCAAGCTCTAACTACTCTAGTATCTTAAACTAAGCACCTAAGAGCTTAATAATTGCGTTTATATAAACATCTATTAGTTTCTCCTACTTAGATGGTCTAGAATTGTAATTACTAATCATAAAAGTTACTCTCTCTACATAGTTTATAATATAAAGAACAATCTTAACGTCTATAACAACGTCTGTAAGCTACCTACAATAAAGCTTAGAAGGCCTGCTAAAATTAGTAATAAGGGTAAGGCCGAGATAGTCCTTGCACGCGACAGGTATATATACTATTCTGTACGTAGAATTAACTGTTGGTTGATTATTCGCACCTTTTTAGTTGTATTAGCGGAGTGGTACAGAGTCCTGTCCTTATAATAAGTAGGAACTTGTCACGGTTATGTTACAGCTATCCAATCCCTGAGTACCCTAGGCTTGGCACGGGGTATATAGGCTCCTCAGCCTCCGTACCTCTGCCTCCGACCCTAAGGTTTACTCTCTCTCTTGTAGCTCTGCTACACACCCTCTATCCTACATTCCCTCCCTGTGCCTCGTGCTTCCTGCTCGATACCTCTCACAGAACTACAGAAACATCTTCTTGCTAAGCTAAAGCAGAAACTGCTAATTTCTAGAGATCAGGATTACTCTTAGTAGGCGCTAGAATATAGTAAGCTTTTTTTACTTTACTCTTACTATTAGATTAACTTACAACGTGCTAACTTTAGTTTAGTACTACTAGCAGTCTCTTTACGTTTGCTTAACAGGCTCTATACCCTTACCTGCGTAGAATTAACTAGAGGGTTGCTATCTAGGTTAATTTAACATGTCTAGGTGACTAGGGTTGCTGTAACCCTCTGTTTTAGGCCTATTGTTGTCCTGTTACTCTAAAGAAATAAGCTAAAAGCAATATTTCTATATAAACTTAAGGCTTTAACTTACTAGTAGTTAATATGTAAGAAGAATTTATTAGTATATTAAAATTTTTATCAAGATTTTAATCATTTGTATAATATAGTAAGAGGAAAAACGAGATCTAAGGAATGGTAAGAAATTCCTAATTTTTGCACATGATAAATGCATGCCAAGCAATTTAACACATGCTTGACTCAGCCTTGAGGCTCCAAGGGACATCTAACCAACTTGCCCTTTCCAGCGCTTTCCTCACTGACTCGTTGACCTTCTGATTTATCCTACTCTTCATGTCTGCGCGTCCTATACAAATTAGAAGCTCACAATCTTTGGGAGTCTTCTTGCTGAGAACGCATATATATTCAGTACCAATACCTCGAGTACCAAAATTTGTATCTAGTTAGCATCCACTCTAATTCCAGCAAGAGGTTTCAATTAAGTTATCCCGGTCATGTTCTACGTTATGTGATAAAGTGCTGTAATACGGGTTGCAGCTCCGGTGAAACTTAGCCTTGGAAGGCTGAAAATGGGCGTTACCACGTGGATTGCACAGCCTCTGAAGGCAGGTTCAAAAGGTTACCCGTCGCGTAATTCTTCGCCTTTCAAATCCCCAAATCGAATTAACATTTCTGCACAGATGGAACCTACACCAAACGATTCGAACGAAGATCTCAATACCACGAGGAAAAGAAGACTTAGCTCGGCTGACGAAGTTTCAACAAAACGAAGAAGGATTATAGCCGATGATGAAGATCTTAGCGAAAAGGACCCTGATTTAGATTCTCCTGAAAGGCCCCAAAGCCCATGGAACCGTGACAATGAATGCACTCCATGTAAAGAGCTTGGAATTGTCCAGATTATGGCTAAAAGACACCCTAAAGAGAAAAGTATAAAGCCTGATGCGACTTATGGTTCCGCAGCCTTCCTTCATCGTATTCTTTTCGATCCGCATGATGTAGCTCAATGCGATCTTTGTTGGTTCGACGAAATGTGGACTGCCCACAGCGAATCATTCATGGCCACACATGTTAACTGGACACATGAACGAAATATGGAGCTGCCTCAGACATTTCGCTTCGAAACTAAAGGACCCAACATTTGCTTTGTTGGGATTGACCGCTGCAACGATGTTCAATTTGGGGTTACTTCCTCACGAAAGGCCCAGGGGCACAGCCTCTGGCATATTCGACTGCCTAGAGTCAACATCGTTGGGCTGAATCCCGACTACGGGTCCATTAAATCATGGCTTGGCTGTTGTACTTTGCGTCACCTCGGGTGCAAACCAGCACGACCTGCAGGTTTGGAAGCAATTCGCGTCATCGATGTATACGAGCGAACGGTTCAACCTTTGCCTATGAATGACGAATACTTGGCGCTGAGTTACGTCTGGGGTAAATCTGAGCAGCCGAAGGTCTCAGAATTTGGCTCGCTGCCAGGAGCTCTCCCTTTGACTATTGAGCATGCCATGATAGTTGTTCGATCATTAGGTCATCGGTATCTATGGGTTGATTCAGTTTGCATCGACCAAAGTAATGCTGTCGACAAGCACGAGCAAATACTATTGATGGGGAGAATCTACCGGGGAGCTTATTCTACTATCATCGCTCTCGGCGGTGCAACCGCGAATAGCGGTATTCACGGCGTCGAACAGCAACCGAAGAGGACGCCGCAAATTGAGGCTCACTTTGGAGAACACCGGCTAGTCTCTAAACATCCCAGCCTAGAAGAGGAATTAAAAAGATCGGTGTGGATGACACGCGCGTGGACATACCAAGAAGGCCTCATGTCGAGTCGATGCATCGTGTTTACAGAACATCAGGTGCATTTCGTCTGCAATGGGATGCAGTGCTCCGAAGATCTTGGAAAATTTGCGTCATACGGACAGGAGGACAACAGGTCTCTATTCCGGCCACTTATTAATCCACTAGATTCACCTACTCCGTTGCTCGACGGGCTATCTCCGTACTTCCGCAAACTCTCAGTCTACAATCACCTTATTGCCGAGTACACTAGCCGAAGGATGACAAAAGACGACGATGCTTTGAAAGCTGTCTCTGGCCTGTTAGGTCAACTACAAGGAAAACTATTTCACGAGGGATTTTTGTTTGGCTTACCCTTGGAGAATTTCCAGCAATGTTTAGTTTGGAAACAACTGCTTCCTGGCTCGAACGAGTTACGCCAAGTCCGGCGACGGGCCCCGAGCCAATTTCCTAGCTGGAGCTGGGCTGGTTGGGAGCTACAGGGAGGTGTTAAGATCACCACCCTCGACACTAGACGCTTACGGGACTCGATTATGGCCCCTATGCGGGTTGTTTATCTTGGTAAAGCCATGAATCTGTCTGAACCGACTGAGGTGACCACAGCAAAGGAGCCAACTCGCCGCGCTGAACTCTACGAAAATGTAACTAAGCTCTTCATGGAGACTCTACCAAAGCTACCCTCAGATCCAGCATCGACAAAGCCGGAATCGGATCACAACTGCGTCCAGCTTGACACTTCGCTCGAAATCTCCGGTATCGTGCTCAAATTTCCGCTGTCGAAATCAATGGTACCAGAAGACCCACCCTCTAATGTCGTTCATGACTTCGATCTCTCCCCCTTCGGCATTTGCAAGTGCTCAAGACACCAATCCATCTATAAGGAAGGGAAATACTGGCTCAAATCTTGGCCCAACTATCATAGCGAATTCGCCTTTGAAATAAGCCCCGTGCTACCTCTGCCTTCCAGTGTTATCCTATTCGGCGATTTTCTGCTCGTGTCAGCTCTGGTGGCAGATTCCCTTGTCGTAACACTGGACATGATCTTTCTCTCGCCTGAAAGACACCTCTCAAATTCGTTTTCTAGAGCCGGGTATGCGAGGCTGATTGTTTCCATGGACGACTTTCATAAACTGTGGACGATGGTTCGGCCGGAGTATAAGACATTTTGGTTTGTGTGAACGAGGTAGTAGCGTGTAACATGTCTTCTTACCCTCTAAAATTTTGTTAGAGGGTGTTTAATGATGATAAATTGCTTACTACTACAGTTGTTTAGAGCAGACCCGGGTCATCGCCTCAATCACTGTGGGGGAAAGGGCATCTCATTGTTGGCATATTAGAAAGTGGTACTAGAGGTTGAGTGACGCGCAAAAGCGTGTTTGGAGCCTGCTGCCCTCGTTAAGGCTTGTGGATTTGATTTACGTATGATGAAACTAGGGGGTAACTGTTCAATGGCTTGAAACCGCTACATAACAGAACGAAGGACTTCTGCATGACAAGGCTAGAATCCATCGAATAATAGGTGCCTGTTCTATACATTGCTGCTACTCTAGGAATATTTCTTGAGAGCCCTAGCATTCGCCTATTCGCTGAAGCCCTAGCTCTACAAACTCATTCGAATTCTGCATGCAGATCAGACCCCAATCAATACGTAGAACTTCTAGATATGACCCGAAACTCCGGCTAATTCCTTGGTGCTCCTAGTCACATTTACTTTGGACCCATCTAGTGTCGTAACCTCACACTTAACAGTCTGTGGGCGGCCATGCGGCCAATTTTTCTCATCGTCGTAAAAATCCTTGATGGAGGTTGGATACTCGGACCGGATAGTTAGACGATTGGACGTCTAGAATTTGCAGATATATACTATCGAAACCCCTGCATGAAAGTTAAGTTCTGGCATAGCAGTGTCCCTATGATTTGGTCACGTATCTGCTTTGCCGTCTGTTGTTTTGGCGCGAAGGGCGAATCCCAACACCATACGTGATCTTAAAGCCTGTCATTTGTAGGTATGGTAAGTCTTACCAACGCATGTTTAGGTGTGCTCACTATTTTGAAAGTAGTAGGTGACACTGTTGATGGCATTCCACTTCACCATTTTGGTGCCCCATACGTCTCAACCTCCTCTGCAAAACATGTTAGCAGTTCATTTGACATAAATACTGGGGGGGTCCTTGATGCACTCACGCTTTCCCGCTGGGATGGTTTTAACCTCCCATGCTGAGCCACCGGCGATGATTCCATTGTCGTGATACCAATCATCGATCGTCCAGTCTCTCTTGTCGAAGTTGTACACTTGCACTCGGATCCAGTCGTCTTTTTTAACTAAGTAATTGGCCACCTCAAGTCCCGGCGAGACTAGGACTGAGACGATGGTGCCTCCTAAGAAGGCTGAGATCTTGGGAAACCTTGCCGCTACGGACAAAATTTTCTCTACTGCCTTTGACTTGGGCAAATTCTTGAGCCAGGCCTTATCGACCTTCTTTTCTGCCTCTTTGAGTGCCCTGATTGCTGCATCAATCTGTAGCTTTGTCCCGTTATCACGTGCCCTGTCCAGTGCAGCAGGCCCATTACCCTCTCAGCACTAGCTGTTGCAATCGCAATGGCATCATCTGTCTTCTAAGTCAGCGCGGACAAGATCTTATGCTCTACAACCGCTCCAACCCCCGCCGCAAAAGTTTGGATCGTGATATCATCAATATGATCCTTCCACCACGACAAAGGAAATGATCGACTGCCCTCCATTTTTGGTCATTGTTCCGACCTCAACTGTAGGATTGAATACCGTCTTCTCCCGCTGGTCAGCAGGCGCCGCTTGCTTAGCAGTTTCGTCCTGCTTCACATGGACCCAGAACATAGCATCTTTATTACGCCATATCTGGATCTCCCGCCCATTCTAGTCTGTGATGATATTGAAAGCATTCTCGCCTTGGTCTTCGATGGTAGAGCGGATGGGCGAAAGCTCATTCTTGAATTTTTTTTTTTTTTTCCATCAAGCGCATTGAGAGTGCCGAAATCCAAAGTTCTCAAAGCGTTTTCACGCTCTTTGGAGAGGAGCTGGACTTCATTGGTCTTGATGTCATTGGATTCGGCTAAACTTAGTCAATCCTCAAAAATACAAGAAACCATGATATGGAAATGAGGGATACCTTCGTCTACCGCTGCTGCGTCTTTGATCTTGTTTTAGTTAAATTAGTTGTGCCCCAATGCTTCTTAAGTTCCTTCTCTATGATTAGAGAAAACGCTCCATGCAGGCCTTCTTTCTCCCGCTATCATGTCGAAAATCCTTCTCAATAATTCTACCAGCCAGCCACCTGAGCCGGTGGTGAATGCATTTCAGTCTCGCATATGTTGGTGTAGAGTTGCAAACTTCGCCCTTGTTAGCCCGAGCTGAGTCAAGATGCGTGCATGTGCGAATACAGCAAAGAAAGGCGACGCCCAACCTGCTATAAGCTGAACAGCTCTTTAATGCATCGTAGATCCTCTATAATCCACTTTTTCCCCATCGTGGGCGATTCGAATCTCTTATTGTCTATCACTTGCCGCTTGGCTTCAGCCAGCTGAGCGCAACCTTTGAGAGCGATGTTCCCCATTTTGGGACAGCAATTTAAGCCCGAGGAGAAGCTGGACAAGCCTAACAAATTCGGTATCCTGAATTCGAACATTATTAGCGACGACTAGCCTAACGAAGCTGGATTGGGAGCTACGCGGAACGGCTCGTAATCAAATTTAGGATAGAAAACGCATACTTTTCGCTTAGCTCCACTGACTGCACGACCTCCGCCTCACCTGGCGATCAAATCTCTCGTCGAGGCGATCAGCCCACGGCATATGCTGTAACTTCACTGCCACTACGTTGTCTATGAACCAAGCTGGCTCTGCTTTGTGCGGGGCTTGGACGGTGAATCCGAAGCTTGCAAGGACACTTCCAATATATCCGACAAGCCACATCCCACTAAGTTGCCTCTTCAATCTTTCACAGATCTATTTTCGCCTTCTTGAACAATACGGATGTCACCTGATAGTAGGGCCATCAACTGGGCCCGTCCAATGCCTTGCAGTATGCGAACCAAGAACTTGACGTCTGTGACAGGAGCCGTCCATGCCACCACCGTCCTTCTCGTCCATTTCCTTTGCTCTCAATGTGTCTGCAACCACTCAAGAATCCTCTTCTCAATTTCCCAAATTGTTCTTTCCAAAAAATAATGTGCCCATTCCCATGCACTCCCACATCCCCCAACTGCACATAATTCAACTTTGCGCTAGCTTGCCTCAGATACTCCGCTATACAGTACTCATACGGCATATGATAACTTCCCTCTCCGGTTGATATGGTAACCGGGATCTTGCTTAAATCCGCTAACATCTTCGCCGCCTATTTCTGCAATATGCATTCGGTAGAACTAGAGTCTCGGGCTAGAATCGCTACAGTGCTAAGATTTGTTCCCTCCACACCCACAGCTGGGCCATATGGGATGGAAAGGTCAGCTGCCCGAATGCCCGAATGGTACTAGGGGCGGGTGCAAATTCGACAAAAGGTGGGCCAGCAAGTTCCACGGTCATGCGCGGAGTTGATTCAGCCTTTTATCGCCAATCTGCTGCCCGTATGGCTGGGACTGAAAAATTTGAGGTTAGAAACACTTGTTCTACGGCCTTATATAGCAGCCCCCAGTAAGCTAGGGTATTGAGTTCCTCGCTCCGTTGGGTATCAATCTGGAACTGGATCTGCCCAGCATAGAAATTGCTGAACACCGAATCGCCTTTCTTCCCCCCCCAGGCCACTGTGTGTGCAACTATGCCTGTGGCTAGAGCGAATGGTTTGCAGTAGCGGCAAAGTAGTGTTCGATATCTTAGGTCCAAAGAAGGAGCATTAAATCGATGTCGGGACCCATGGACTTCGGGCTCGCTCGGGCTGGTCGGAGAGGTAGGCGTTGTAGCCTTTGGAGAGGAAGTATGAAGTCCAGCGTGGAAAGCCACTAGGTTTATTGAGGTAATTCGTCGCTATTTGTGTGGCACCATGAACAAAGACCAAAGGGTGTGGCCAGGTGGGGTACAAGGGCATGAGTTTCTCAAGGTATATTTGACTAACCGTGTATTCATTCGTGGAGTCGACACTAACCTGGCCTATATTAATGGAAGGAATTGTTCTAGGGGTGACTGTGAACACGAATGGTGATGTTGACATATTGCCCTCCAATGTAGAAGTAATCACGTTTGTAGGGACGTTTTTCAGGCCTCCATCCAATTTCCCTTAAATGCCCAGGTCCCTAAGGGCATGTCCGAGGATATCTACGACTAGCCATCATTAAAAGTGCATGGTGTTGTCCTATATTTACATCTCTCTCCTTGTCATGTGTAAAGAGAAGTGAGTTCTCCGCTAGAGAAAGCAGAGTTGACTGACGTATGCGGTTACGAGGTTCCCTGTTGAAGTTATTTTTGCATTTCACAGCAGGAGTGTCCACCCTCATGAAGTTCCGGTAATAGCCAACGGTAGAGCGAAACCCAGAACATGAGAATTGCAAGCACTTCGCTTGGTACGTGCTCTCGTCGATGCTGTTAAACCTAAGAACAAATGTAAAATAAGAACAAATGCAAAAGAAGAGACTGTTACTTTACATAAATAGTATTTATAGAACTGCTAGGTGCACTAACTGGTGATCAAGACGCCGAATAAATGCCAAACTCTGACGCATGCCCTATTCATTTCTCTTACCACGTCCTTAGATCCGCCAGGTTGCCCCCCCCCCCCCCCAATTGTGTTTTATGTTATATGAGCGGAAATCTCGATGTTCACCCTTAAATATTTTAGCTTTTATTTTTTCCCTCTTTGTCTCTTGCACTGTCTATCCACCATAATATGATCTGCTCTTATTAAGGGCATTCGTAATTTCTGGACCTATTCCTTAAAATTGTTCCTTGCTTTGAATTTGAATGCAGCAAAACCTGAAACATTTTTAGCTAGATTTGGCACAACGAACACGGTCGGTTGCATCGAATCTTGGATACTCTCCATTCCCGTGTCTTTGCTCTCACTTGAACCTTCCGCTTAAAAACCATCTTGCACTTTTCGCTGGTAGATTTTCCGAACTAGCCTGGAGGTTCCGCTACGCCATCTCAGATATGATTAGTAAGTCATACTTTCCAGAGAACACGGCATCATTCTTCCGTATCTTTACGGAGTGGATGAAGAGGGCGTGTTTTCGGATGATATTGCTTACAACACTTTACAAAGTACATTATTGAATTTATTTCCCCTAATTTCGATCCTGAGTTTCATACTTCTGCTACCTTAAGTCACCCTCCACCGGCTTCTTGGGCTCATTTTTTAGACCGCACTAATAAATGTCAGTCAACAAGTTCTTCCTTCTACTGCAGTTTGGTCTTATACTCAAATTCCGAGACTTTATTCTCCCCCTTGGTACATTATGCGTTATCCCACTGTCTAGCACTACTGCTCTCGTTCTATTAGCCGGAGTGCGAGCTATTCCCCTTCCTAATATTAGCAAAATCTCACCCCGTATCTTACACGAGCCTTTCGAGAATGGCTGGAAGAAACGCAACCCGAGCTCAGATATACCAGCAGTATCCCACCCCAAATCTTACACGGGCCTTTCGAGAATGGCAAGAAGAAAACACAAGACGAACGCACAAGACGAACGCAGATGTATGACAACGACACTCGTACGCACGACCGTTCAAGGACTGTTTGAGGCTTTTGGGAAACCATAACAGGACAACCCAAGCCCCCACCCCCTGTATATGGTCTCTCAAAGTCCTTTGATATTTCTATTCTCATACTCTGTCCCTAGGTTTGAGTCATTGTCTGTGGTCATCATCCAATTCTGTGAAATCATTGGTTTACCGGATCTTCTAGTGTGTCTGTGGGTGGATTCCCAGAGTAGCCCGGCCAGAAAAATAGGCGGCTAGTGACAAAGAATCTAGGTCTATCTAGGTTATAGATTATCCTTGGAATCATTAGGCATATCCTCGGGTTCTAAGGGAATGATGTAATTTAACCGCGCCCCTTGCTGACATAAGTCCGAGCAGAGGGCGTCTCAACGTTAACGCGAAAACACAGGACCAAGGATTTTTTCCCGTTTCAATGACGACTCGCGTCGATTAGCACAATTAATGATTCGTATTCTCCTATACTGAGTCTCCATGCCTTCAATATGTCGAGGGACGACTCCATTCCGCAATCTCCATGATGCGATGAGGCTACACCCTCCAATCGGTATCGTCCTTTATCTCCGAAACCCCACCTCAAACGACGACATTTGAGCTTTGCCATTCAACACAGCAGCATCAACCTTCGTCGTGCGCATAACCGACACACCTACAATCTGATTCTTGAGATGACGGAGCTCCTCGATCTTTGCTATGATGTCTTGATGCGTATCCTCGAAGAGGTCGGCCCGGAAGACCTAGCCGCGTGTGCTAGAACGTCATGGGGATTCAATACCTTTATCAAAGATAATAAACGCTTGTTTAAAGCCCACTACCTTCGGAATTTTGTGTGTATAGTGTCAGTTCATTAGTCGATCCCGCTGATTATAGAGTAGGATGATCCAAGGAGCAGCCCGTCAGATCCGGATCCGGACTGGATTTCAGAGTTGCAGAAGTTAGTCAAGTGTCAGCAAATTCTTCGATCGGAAAATATGGATGTGAAGGTAAGCTAAACACAGAGTATAGTTTACTCATGCGAATAACTCTGGTAGAACTAACACGACCAGCGAAACCACTTCAAGTTTGTTGCGACAACGGTCGAGAGACTAATCTGTTCTGCATCCAGCAATGAGTGCGACTCGCTAAGCAAAATACAGCTGACTAAGTTATTCGCAAATTCGCGGAATTTGAATGCGTTTATGTATAGATCCTCGTTATATCAACGAGCAGGTACTCAGCTACAGCAAGCGGCAGACGATGAAGAAGACCAGCAACTGAGCGCCAAGCTCCACTGTCTCTACGGGGTCCCCCTTGGCCCCCTCGGAAGACGGTCACTGTCCACCCACCCATATGCCCGATCTCGGGTGTACGATCTCCGAAACTACACTGACAATACTTGCTGGGGTCCATTCCGCGAAGATGGATCTATGAAGGTGGACTGGGAGATGCTCGAAGCTCTCATGATTGACCTGGGGTACAATTCAGGGACATGCTGCCAGCGCTTGGTTCATCGGTTCAAGCCCGTATGGTGCACCCCCTTTGGAGGTATCTCTAAGAATCCCTTGGCAGATTTTTATCCTCCTGGTACGCCAATGGAACCCGATATTCCGCTTGAGCTTAGGGATCCTTACAATATTTCTGGAATTTGGCTACGAGTAAGCGGGAATCCAGAATCGTTTTAAGATTTAATTGCTGACTTGGAAATAGATCGTGTGTTTCCTTGGTAAATCATCTTTAACATTTGGTAGGGGACAGCACCTGACAAAACTTAGATTACACTGATCTATATGCGTACAACTTCGGATCTGACCAAGTTCTATCGGACCAACCAAGGGAGCCGATAAATACCGATGAAGCCATCCGCCATATCATTATGCGCTTTAAAGTTACCAAGGTCGAACCTCCAGGACGATTTGATAATCAAGACCTCCCAGTTGTCCACTTCACAGGGACCTCACGCTCTGTTGACGCATCTTGGGATCCGAATGCAAACTCGAGGATTCGAGGTACCGTAAGACTCACTCCAGAAAGCGAAGTGCGATGGACCACGATATCCGTATTTTACGGGTAAGTTGCACTTTTTCCATGCTGGCCTCGAGAACTTATTATTACTAACTGATATGTAGCGGAGAGGAGAGATGGCGCAGCGAAGGAATCCAAGTCGGTGGGCCAAACTCCAAGCGAGGTGTCATCGGCACATGGTTCGATAAGGACTACAACCCCCACGGTCCTGCCGGTCCAACTTCATTCTGGAAAGTGGGCGACCAGAGGGTCAGTGTAGATTCGGACGAGGAATCCAGTGATGAAGAGTCTGGCCATGTCTTGTAGGGGGTGAATGAACTGTAGGTATTTAGTCGCTCCGCCCCTTGATCGGCTGACGATGTCTGTTGTCACGCTAAATGGGTTGAGAACATGTAGCCACCTCAACATGTATTCCATGTATGCAGTACATCTACAGCCAATAATCATATTGCACAGTAATATCAAACCAATTAAGCAACATACTACGACTTCCGACACTTCATACAATTTCACCTCTCTCCTTACTCAGTAAGTACTCGTTGCCTTTCTTCTTCATTGTCCTAACTTTTGCAATGTGCACTCTCTTGTTTCCAGCGTCGCCAATCTACTTGTAATCAATGCCGAAGTGCTTCTTCCCATCCCCTCCTGCGAAAAATCCCTGACTGGAACCGCTCCTCTGGTCGAAACAATCTAGATTCTAAATATCCTTGCTCGAAATACTTGCCCGAGATATTCAAAGCTGAGCTCGTCTGCAACGCTTCGGCAAAAACGTAATTCGAGCCCTGGTATCAGTTATAATGAAGGGACCTCCAACTAACATAGGGAATATTAGGCTGAGTAGATTGAGAAAGGAGAACTACGCAACCTTCTAATCGCCGTTCTTCATAGCCTGTATGGTGGACGCTCCAGGTATTTCCCACAAGTAGTTTAGAAGCAGACTGTCAGATTCGGATGCATCTTTCCAGTATATATCCGCAAACAGTTGGCTGAAGCGGAGGCCCGAGATTAATTCTTCCCATTACACGGGTGACGAAAAGCGATACGGAGAAAACGAAAACTTTATAAAAGACGAAGATGCTCAGGCCGAGGATATTGGCTGCGTTTGGACGAAATAATCCAATATCCCCTATCAACCATGGTGCCGAGACATCTGAGGTATATTTACGCTTGGCACTGGAAGGTGTGGTGCAGTGGAATTGGAGTCAGGAAGTCTGACCACACGATGCTAGTTATTACTCATGCTGAAGCCGCCCTTCTCAACTCTTCTAGAAAGTGCCAATGACACAGGCTAACAATGCAAAAAGTATGACTAGAAACCAATTTATTACGTCTAGAGGGGAATACATCGACAACTCGTAGTAATGTTTTCGGGAATTAGAGTACAATTGCTGACATTTGCGGAATAGAAGGGGATTACTGTGTACAGAGCACGAATTGTTACGCTGTTGCAGATGTTGACTGCTCGTTTCCTAATTCCGAGTTAGGTCAAGACTCGACCTTGGCTTCTCTTTTGTCTGGAATAGGAAAGCAGCGGCTATACATTCATTCACTGAGGTGCTAGGAATGTCCTATTTGGTCGAGGCTGTGGATGTGCTGACGTACCATCAGCAGACGCCGTACATCCGATTCTATAAACGATTTCCCTGTTACAACCCTTTTCCTAGTAGCCGAGGCAATATGACTAACCATAAAGGAGCTGATCGCCGCGCTTCTTCCCATTGTATTCTAACAGCTCGAAGTCTGGTAGCACATTCGAATCATGGAACAACGCTAATTAGTCTGCCATTGTTGTCGGGCTCCACTTCAGACCATCACACTAGCGTTCGAGGAAACATAACATTTGGAGTGTCATCGCTTAGCTCATTGGATATATCACAATCAGAACGACGGTCGAGATCGGGTGGACTGTGACGGCCCAACCGTTGTCTATTTGGACAGATGATAGAAATCCAGCAGTAAGACTGACGACAAAAGTGAGGAACCCGCTTTGTATAGAGGTGCGATGCGAAGCCAATACCATTTTATTACAGCGTAAGCCAGGGAATCAATGGGTAACAAGAATGTTGAGGCAACATTCCTTGGGCTTTTACCTAGGCTAACACTCTCCTCTCCAACTTTGTCTGCCATTACGATATACGGGTGAGCCGACAGAATGCGTAAGTTATGCTTCGCCCCAGAACCTTAGTGATTGCTCCAACAATGTTTGGCAGATCCGTACTGCAAATAGATGTTTGCAGTAGTCACCCATGGCTCTCACATTTAGCTCTCACGCATAGCACACACAATAGCCACATGTTACAATAATCGCATGTTGCCAAGACTTACCCCTTTTTCTTGCATATATATAGATCCTTAAGTACACTCTTTTAGCAATCAATCCAGCTCCTCATGCCTCTGGTGCTTCTCCTAGCTTCACAATAGACGTCTATATAGGAGGTGTGGTACTAGCGCTAGTGATTATAGTATGCTAGGAGCAGGCTGGTGCCAGGGGGTTGAACACAAGAGTAGCGATGAGGCACCACTTTGGAGAATGAACGGTCGCACATTCAGAGGTGGGTAGCCAGGGGGTTGAACACAAGAGTAGCGATGAGGCGCCACTTTGGAGAATGAACGGTCGCACATTCAGAGGTGGGTAGCCAGGGGGATTTGGGGGTCGGGCTCTTGTCTTCGGAGCTGCTACTTAGTGGGATACGGTCATATTTAGCACTAGCCGACAACGATTTATCACCAGGATCCAATCCTAGGCTTCTTAACGTGCCATTCCCTTGCTATTTTAGGTTTGTACCATGGCTCGATATCCCAGGGTTTGTATCAGCTTAAATTACATCACGTCCCTCGCGTCTTTAACCGGCTAATACGGTTGATATTTGGACGGCCTAGTGAATTGTTCCCTATTCCATGGTTTTTGATTGCCGTAGTTGTGGATTCACTTGGAGGTGTTTTGCGTCACTGCGAGATTTACTCGAAGGACATGGAAACCTAAGAAAAGGGCTATAGGAAATAGAGGACGAGGATGATTATACCTGTCAAGTTTGTGATACATCCTCTTTTAGGCCTTTCATTGTGGCAAGGCTGGAGCTCAGTCCTTATCCAAGCTATAGGCTTCCTGCCTATGGTGGGCCGCCACTGGCCCAACACAACATCTCCAAATGCGGGCCCACGAACGGGAGCTCTCCAAGAGGTCTTCAGACTACGCCATGGGGTTTCCACTTCTGCAGTCCAGTCCAATCGTATAGGAACCGAATGAACATCAGGAGCTGGGGCTGTAAGTCACGTGATGTGCAAGGCTTGCCCAACGATCTTTGCAGGGACAACGCCATGGCGCAAGGTGAATTCAGGGGTTGTTTAACTCTTACGAAAAGAATTAGCACACTAGATTTCTTCTGGGGGCTATGAAAACTTCATATGAGCGCTCTGGAGGTAAGTGTTTGATCATAGAATCATGGCCTAATTTTCCTGTTTTGAAACCAATACCTGCTATTTATCTATAGGTCGTAACTTCACATACCAACATGCCTCCACTCTAGGGCACCAATGTCACCGTCTTCGACGACAACGGTCTTTGACTCGCCAGGCATGATATCAATGCCATTATCACTCAGCCTTACACCCTGCTTTTCGGTCAAGACAAATCCCTTCACTGGTTTGGACGCTGACACAGTTATAATTGATCGATCGCTTGAATAGTGAAAATCGATGCCCCTGTCAGGGAAGGTGAGGTACTTGATGGGATCGGGCCAAGACGTATCAGTTGCGACTTCTTGGCCATCAACCAAGAGTGAGACGTGGATGACGAATGGATCTGCTTTGTAAGTATCGAAAGGACAATTTGGGTCTTGGAGCTTCACGGTGTCGACTTTCTTGTTTCGAAATACTTCCGTTGTTCCGTTGGTATCGATACTCACGTTTTCGGCAAGCCTCTCGTGAACCTCCCTCCCGGTAAGGACAGAGACGAACTTCACTACTATCTTTCCCTTCAAGTTTTCCACCAGACTGCTTGCAACCCATACATCGAATTGGATGTCCTCCCAGATCTGTCGCATGTCGATGTGCGAAGTATCCCTCTTCCACAAGTCATCCGCTGGTCGCATTGTCCAATTGTGAAACTTCCTGGATACACCTATCGTGACTGGCGCCATCGCACGCTTTATCGCGTAGTACGCAGGCTTTGGAACCAAATAGTAATCCACCACCGCCCATGACATCGTCGGCCAGCAGTCATTCAACTGCCATACGAGAACACCTCCACATTGTCGCTTTCCCGGGGTACCCCACTGCCGACGCCATGATTTGTATGCCCATGCTATGGCATCTGCTTGCATCACCTGCGTTAGATATGTGAAGCCTGGGAGGTCGTACTTGATCTGGAAATTCTCCGTGACATAGGAAACGAGACGTCGTTCATGGCAAATTGCCTTGTTTCTGAAGTCCATTGCCATGGATCCAGGGTATCTATCTGCCTCACGAGTGATGGATTTTTCGGTAGTTTCAAGGTGCGGATAGGCTTCCATGCCGAACTCGGAAACAAAGCGACCACCCATGTGCGGAAGCACTTGGTATGGTTTCATGTCACCATGCCAGACATTCCATTGGTGGACATCGCCGACTGTTGGATCGACTTTTAAGACAGTGCTGACACCGTTGCCGAAAGGGGAGCTAGGATGATAAGGAACACCTTTTGCTTCGTCATCGACTACTTTTGGGAGTAGATACTCGTACAAATACCGTGCGGGGAAATCAGTCTTAAGCCACGATTGCGGATCCTTGTCTTCTTTATAACGGTACTCGAGACCGTACCGCTCGACGATTTGATAGTCCTCGTTGTTGCCGGCCCATATCACGATTGAAGGATGGTTTCGAAGTCTCCGTACATTCTGTCTTGCTTCTTCTTCCACAGACTTTACATACTCAGGATACGCAGGATAATTAGCACAGGCAAACATGAAGTCCTGCCAAACCAACAATCCAAACTCGTCGCAAGATTCGTAGAATGCACCAGCTTCGTATATACCACCGCCCCAAATCCTAATCATGATCTGGTTTCCTTCTACGGCTAACTTTATCCAGTTACGGTAGATCTCAGGGTCGACTCGGGTGAGGAACGAGTCGGTGGGGATCCAACATGAGCCTCCCGCAAAGATGTCGGTATTGTTGATACGGAAGTAGAAGGATTGACCAACGGAGTCTTTTTCTTGAATGAGTTCGACTTTGCGGAAACCAATCATTTTGGAAGACTGGTCCAGGATGGTTTTGTCTTCCGAGGTGAGCATCGCGGAGACGGTGTAGAGTGTTTGGGAACCGTATCCGCGAGGCCACCAGAGATCAACATCGAGATCGAAGTCAGCGGAGTAGACTCCATCTACGCCTTTACCTTCCAGCTTGGAAAGGATGTCGTTTGGCTTCTTAATCTCAAAATCCACATGTCCCTTCGCGCCCTCTACTCGCGCATATATTTTCCCTTGAACCTTCTTCAAGCCACCACTAAGCTCGTACGCTACCCACACATCCTCAATCCGGGCAGTATACGTCTCAAGCAATACTGGCTTCCAAGGCCCACAAGTAAGTAATATGGGACCCCAATCCCATCCCCAATGATACTGAGCTTTCCTAACTGGCCCTCTCGATATCTCCGTCTGATGCACAATAAACCTGTGCTCTGGATGCTGATCAATCAACTCTAGCCCCTTCTTCCTAGCTGACTCGAACACAATTTCTAGTACATTCTCTTCTTCTGCATTCGTCTTGAGTGCCGAGGTAACATTAATGCGATGTGTGACAAACATGTTCTCGCTCTCCAGAATCAACTTCCCGTTTAAGTAAACCGAAGCAAACGTATCTAGTCCCTCGAACCTCACTTCCGTGATTACGCTAGGCTTTCCATGATTTGGAGGCGTGGGAAAAGTGGTGCGATACGTCCATGTCTCGTCGGCTATCCAGCGGACGGAAAGCTCGTTCATGTCTTTGAAGGGGTCCGCGATGATCCCATTTTTGAGAAGGTCCAAGTAGATTTCTGTAGGAGCAGGGTTTGCAGGGAGGTAAGAATTGTTGGAGGAGAGACTGCCCTGCTTGAAAGTCCAATTATTCGTGAGGGGCGTATAGCTGGACGATATAGGAGCCATGGTGACCGTTTCCTCGACTGACAGCCAGCAACGTAGTCAAAAGCCTCAACTTGAAGTATCGGTTGAAGAAGTCAAAAGTCGCCTTCCTCCAAAGATAAAATCGCAGCGCTGAATCAGTACGCAGAAGCCGTTCGGTGTTTTAACGGCGATCTTGTCGTCCAGGATGCACGCAACCAAACTCTACCAGGGTCCAATGCGGGGTGTGCTCTCTGTGGGGCAACGATCATCAATTTTAGACTAACACTCAACCCTTCTTCTCGGGCAAAAGGTTTCCGACACCCACGCATCCAACTGTGCAATGATAAGATGTGACGTGACTTGCCTATAAAGGATGAGTGAGGTACCGAGGACCTGGTTGCAAAGGAGGATAGAAGTGGGCGTTTGTCAGACTAAAGAATTCGTTGACCCCGCATCTCCAGATTCACGACCTCCACGATTTTGAGAAAGAAGAATAATGGCTGAAAAAGTTGCGACGAATGCGAGGCATATGAGCGAGAAGGAATTGACTGAGGATGGGAGGAAGATCCTTGAGGAGGGGGAGACGTTTGGAGTCAACCCGACATTTGCGGCGATTATGGTGAAGCATAAGCCGAATCCCTGGGGGAAGGGACATTTGATGCTTTATTTGCTGTGTACGGTATGCTTTCTGAACTCGACAATGAGTGGTAAGTGTTCTTCGACTTAGGTATCATGTGCTGCTGATGGGTTGAAGGTTTTGACAGCTCCCTTATGGGCTCCATCAACGTCTTGGAAAACTACACGAACTATTACAATTTGCCTAGCAAAGGCACGACGTCCACTGGTATTGTTTTCTCCATCTTCCAAATTGGCCAGATGTGCGCTGCGCTGTTCGTCTGGATCGCCGACTGGCTAGGCCGCAAATGGTTCATCTTCATTGGTACAATTGGTGTCATTGTGGGCGCAATTGTAACGGCAACTGCGCAGACGCTGCCAACGTTCATTGGAGGCAGATTTTTGCTGAGCTTCTTTGCAACGTGTGCTTGCTCTGCAAGCCCGCTTTATCTAGTCGAGGTCGCACCACCACAGTATCGAGGGACGCTCGCCGGATTGTACAACACTTTTTACTACTTTGTAAGTGAAAAAGCTCCCCATAACGGGCATTTACTGATGAGAAGCAACAGGGCTCAATTCTAGCCACTTCATCCGTCTATGGGGCCCACAAGCATCTTTCTCACAAGGGCAACATCGACTGGCGCCTCCCCCTTTGGCTCCAAATGGTTTGCCCCGCCTTCGTCTCTCTTGTAATTCTCTCCTTCCCCGAGTCACCCCGTTGGCTCGTAGGTAAAGACCGGCATGAAGAAGCCCGCGCATTCCTCGTCAAATATCACGCCAATGGCGACCCAGACCATCCTCTCGTCAATCTGGAAATGGCCGAGATGATCGACTCCCTCCAACGGGACCCTGTCACTAATTGGCGCAATTTCTTCAACTTGAGAGTCTTGTTCAAGACGAGGGCGAGACGGTACAGAACCATGTTGAATATGACCTTTGCATGGTTCGGACAATTTTCAGGGAACAAGTAGGCTGTTAAGACTGAAGAGCGCTATATCGCTTCTAACACTTCGTAGTGTTGTTTCGTACTATCTGCCATATCTGCTGGCTAATGTTGGGATTAAGGATGCTGATACAAAGCTCCTTCTCAACATCATTTACGCTATTGTAGGCTACATATTTTCGTCTGTGGGCGCAAGGATGCACGATGTTATTGGGCGTCGGAAGATGTTGCTAGGGGCTACCGCTGGACTCATCGTCTCGCTCTCCGTTACGGCAGGAACAGCTGCCGGATACGTCAATACTGGGAGCAAGGCTTCGTCATCTGCGTCCATTGCGTTCATCTTCGTCTTTGGTGCCATCTTTGCTTTTGCATTCACGAGCATGCAACCGATCTATCCAGCTGAAGTCATGGCAAACGATATGCGAGCTAAAGGAATGGGAACTTATAAGATTACTGGTGGCTGTGCAGGTTTTATCAACACCTTCGCTGCGCCTATCGCGCTAACAAACGTAAGTCGCCTCTCCTCCTCTATGCGTCTGTTCTCTTTCATAATAATTTATGCTGACAAATCCTAGATCGGATACTGGTTCTATGTCTTCTTTGTCTTCTGGGACTGCTTCGAGTTCTTCTTCATGTATTTCTTCTTCGTCGAGACGAAGGGACTCACGCTCGAGGAGATGGATGAAATATTTGAAGCAAAGAACCCGAGGAAGGCAAGTACGGACGTGAAGAAGGTTAAGATTAGGACGGTGTTGGGTACAGATGGGAAGGTTGAGGAGGAGGTTGGTGTTTGAGTGGCGGGTGAGAGAGGTTGCTGTAAGCTTGCGTGATGCTGAAGATTGCGTAGGGGAAACAGAATGGAAGAGATATTCACCCTTTTTCAGTGCTGTAGGATTGGGTTAAGCTGCGCCAATTTGGCATGACCCATTCAATAATTCAAATGAACTCATGCTTAGAGCCTCATCCCTTTAACTTCTCATATTACTTCTCATTACTTTTTCGCATACAATGTTTTATTAGAAGCGGGCTCCCAGACGAATTATTCAACGCCACCAGGGTAGGCTGCAGTCCTAGATATTTTCTTCACCTACATGACTTCGGCCACCTACTACACGCCTCGACAGCCTCTCTTCCTTAACCCTCTATATCAGATCTATAAACACTGCAAGCACTCCCTAGCGACACCAGGAAAAAAGATATCTCAAGAGAATAACCGGTACAGCAGCGGAGCACAACTCGGGATCGGAGAGAACTCTAGATTCTGAATCCTTCCTGAATTGGTAAGCATCCTGTTTCTAGACTTCGCCGTTTTTCTAGCCTTACTCGATTTATAGAATATAAGGAACATATATGGTTCTTATCTACGCCGAGAACGATGCAGAGTAGCTTCTTCCAGGGGCGCTTCTGCGATCTGAATCAAAACCACTCTACCAAGAGCTTTCATTCCTAAATTCAAGAATGCAATCTTGAAGCTCAACACCTCACATGTCCTATCGCCATTAATTCCCCGATTTTACATTATATCCTACGGTGAACAAGTTATCTCGTTCCTTCAATGACCTAGGCTCTAGGCCGTGTGAGGACCTGTGACTCAACAGCCATACCATAGTCAGTCAAGGTAGGCACCCTTGCTTATAGACTTAGACTAGGTAAACAGTAGGCACGGCTTACAAATTATGCAATGGAGCAGATTTTTCGGCTGCTCTTAGAATATAGCCGTGGCTAAAGAGCCTGTGAAAATTTTATATAGACTTGTTAGCCTTATCACTTCAGGGAAATTGGTACAGTTTTTGAACGTTTTCATCCGTAAATGGGCAGATGTTTGGGTGGTAAACATGACGATGATGGCTGGCCTGGGTTAATTAAGAAAAACCCGATTTCAAGAAAAACTTGTGAAGGACGTTGTTCTGTCACTAGAGAAAAGGTGAGAACGGTTGGTGGAGCGCAAGGACTGTCTTGCGAAGGACGACTGATTCTCGATGCAACTAGGGTGTGTGAGTCCCTTCTCAATAAAAGAGTTATCGCAGCGTGACTTCAGTAATATACTCCATTTGAGAGCTGCCATCGAGCGGCTTACACGAGCGCAGGTTCCACGATCTTGCCACTAGCATAGTTAGCAGTTAAATTTCCTCTATTTCCTTCCCTCTTTTCACTTGCAGAGCTTCAGGGTCGCAGAATATTGTGCAGCACCTGCAAGAGAACAAGGCTAAGTGAGAGTGACATCGCAATTCAATTTTCGTGCATTCGTATTCACATCTCTTTTCCCCATCATTCGTCCAATCATCTCCACAACATTATCCGGCGGTCCTACACGGCCTTTTCATTATTAGGGTTCGTGATCGGGTGGTAATATCAGAAATACCTGGCGGAAGAGGATGCTTTACCTCTTCTGTGCTTCGCTTTTGGTCAGCCTTTTATTATTTACAGCCTCCCCAATAAAAGTATAGCTAACTTGCATCAAAGACTCCCCGTCCTACCATGGTTCAACGGAATATGTCTCCTATCCTGATAAGCTATCTAACGTTTTTCGTCTTCCAATCCTATGGTAATTTGGCGTTTTCCTATCCTCTCAAGTCCTTTGGATTATCTGCTCGCATTTGATTTATTATTCCGACGTCCTGTCACCCATTTCTCTTGCGTACGCTAACAATTGTAGCATACAATGCTTTACTTCAATACCCTAGCGTCCGCGATTGTCTTGCCAATTGGGCCCTCTATTCGGCCGAGTCTTCACAGCTCGCCACCAAGTCGTACACTACTACGTTAACATCAACGGAAATATGGTCGGTCTTCCCTTCAGTCCCGACATCCACGTTCTGCGATAGCATCCCTCGGCTTCTCTCTCGCCAGCACAGCGCCTATGTGACAGAATGGTTTCCGACGACAACGTACACGACCTGGTCGACCATGACTAGCCCGACACCTAGTTGTAGGGTTAAAGAGAATGAGTGCGAGGTAGCAATATCCGGCTGGAGTTCGTTATTCACAGCAACACCGAGTGCAAGCTTTCCATTCCCATGCACAACGTACCAGCCCTGCTCAGCGGATCCCATTGGCCCATGCAGCATCACTGCTGAAAGTGTCAAAATATACTATTGGCCGACCATTGCCTCATCTCCGCTATGTTCTCAAACAACGACTCTAGCATCAGCAGCTCAACCTACCCCTCCTCCATCTGTTCCAAAATCACCTCTCACGAAAGTCATCGATGGCTTCACCGCAACATCACCCTCGGTATACATATCTTTTCCATTCCTTTACGGTCGATACCACGGGCAACCAACACACATCTTCACCGGCTGCGGCTCAATGCTCACTTCAGTCACACTTTCAATCCCGCCGTGGCCGATATCTACCGTCACGAGAGTGAAAGGCGCGAGGAGACCACTGTACAGGGATCCAAGGCCATTCAATCTTTCAAGTTTAAATTGGCCGGTTACCACGACGAGTAGTTGTGCAATTCAAACGAGCTGCCAGTGGAGTGATTTGATCAGCGGGTGTATCGACGTCTTATATACGAAATGCACGACGCCGACTGTGGATCCATTTCATTGGAATCCGGTGTTGGCATTGCCGACGCATTTTGTGGGGGAGGCTGCGAAGAAGGACCCAGGGTATGCGAAGTGTGAGGTAGGTTTGTTTCTTTTTTTTCTCTAAGGCTTGCAACCTCACTAGTGAGGACGAGGGCAGAGGGGATAGGAAGTAGGGATACTGTGGCTTCAGCTCAGAATTTGCTGACAGTTAGTGTAGATACATCCGGCTGCAGCTGCAGCTGCGACATGGATCCCTATTACAACACTCGCGGGTGATCCAAGGTTCACGGAGGGATGGTCGGCAACACCGACGATGCCGCAGATCACCGTTACAGAGACTGCTGCAATCACTTCGACTTGAGTCACAGAGCGAGAGTGCTCTACTTCTCAGATGTTCGGCACGATGTGGCTACCCGGGTTCTGCAATTGGCTGGACCACAGCGTATATACAGAACAAAATACATTGGAGGGAATGTTTCCATTCGGTCTGCTACCTTCCCTGATACCGGTTCTACATTCACCAAATTTCAGCTTCCCGCTCTGGATCCACAGAATCCGTAGAATCCTTAGCTCTTCTACCAATAATAATAAACCCAATTCAAGGGGAATTCCTCTATAACCAAACCACAGATACGTACCGATATATTCCATGTAAGAATTGCTAGAGGGACTAGCGATGTTAGTCAAACAATTATTGAAGTCCTCAAAGGGAAGGGAACACAAGCCAATAGGCTTCCATTCCTAGTCTCAAATTCTGAAACAGCCTTATTCTCGAAATTAGCGAAGCTGATATTTGGGAAGACGCCTAGAACTAGCGAGACAGTTGATATACCATGCATTGGGATTGGCTACGGGTGTATCGAAGCGCTTAAGGCAATCGTAGGAGAAACCCGAATCTATACCATTATCCGTACTTTTGACGTCACGGGCGAGTTGCTAGGTGAATCCCGAATCAATCTCATGAAGACTATAGAATTTTCCGCAGAGAGGAAGCGCTTCATATCTAAGTCCTTCGCTATTTCTTATCATTGGGAGTAAGTAAAAACATACTTCTCTAGAGACATCTCGGATCTGTAACTCCCATTCGCAATTTTATCAAAATATTACCGTCATTCAAACACTACCTTAGATCGATCGACGAACTGAAGAAGTTCATCTTATCTAGGACGAAGTGCTGAACTTCATGTCACTTGGCTGCGCCATTCCAAAATAAAATCTTACCCATTGTTAGATTTTATTGCTATCGATACTAAAGATAATGTGGATGCGATTCCTGGTGACAGTAGTCACGCTCACTTATGATTTTGACGTAATCAGATTTCTTGTTGCTTCCCTTGACCTTGATTAGTGGCCGGAAAAATGTGGATATGTGGTGACAGGGTTACCTGGAACGAGTTTGTTAGACTGGCAGAGGGAATTGAAGGTAGTTCCCTTGTATGAGAGCCGGACTACATGTTGTATCTGAAGTCGTATATTTACTTTCTCGTATGATCTAGTAGAGAAGCTGAATAAATTTAAATAACAGAGCTTCCCAGACACTAGACCCTCTACGCTCGTTACTGTAGGACGTCGTTGCAATGCGTCCTTTCTATTTTTGAGCCTTGGACAGCAGATGGGACCAGCCAAATTTCAAGTCAGGGTTCATGGAACAAAATGTTCCTTAACATCAAGCCGGTAGCCGCTAGAGAAATGCTTGAAGAATACTGATTGACCAGTTGATGGCTATACTTCCGGGAGAGGGCTCACACGAGTGGGTCAAAGCCTCAAAGGTTGTGGGCCTCCGCAACGTACCAAGCTGGTAAATTGAATGCTCCCTGAAATAGCGCCAGCTTAAGAGGCGTTTACATTAACGAAATCTTGGTACAGTTCACTTTGCGCTCTGAAATAGGTATATCTTTTTGCTAGAAATTGTTTCAAAGGCCTTAGGGCGATCAATTTAATCGTGCGCAAACATTCCATGGCATAGTGAATAAAATATATGGTACGAGAAAACAAGGAAACACCACACACTAGCGCCGAAATAGAATGCAGAATATTAGGACTGATGACTCAAAGCTCCGATGCTTCGCTGGTTTCCTTAGAATTCTCCGTCCTTGAGACTAGAATACCCATGCATCGTCGAACGAGTCCCTATGCTCTAAAAAAGCTTGGAATAACAGTAGACTTAGGCAAAATGACGGATGTGGCCTCCACAGGAATTGAGACAAAGGTAGGCACCACAATTGGGGCCGACGAGGGGTCCACAGTGGGCGCGAAAGAGGGCAACGCAATGGGGGCAGACGATGGGTCGATGATTGGGGTAAAGGGTGGAATGACTAGAGCGGATGAGGGATCGACGATAGAGAGTGTAGGCTCTACAATTGGCGTAAATGACGGTACGACAACGACTACAGAGGATGGCTCTACGGTAAGAGTAGAGGGCTGTAGGATAACCACTGGAGTTGAGGGTTCCACAATAGGAGTGAAGGATGGAAGAACAACTACCGGGGTTGATGGCTCCACAATAGATGTGAAGGAAGGTAAGACAATCACTGGAGTTGAAGGTCCCACAATAGGAGTGAATGATGGTAAAATGACAACTGGAGTGGACTCTGCTTGGGGCTCAAGGGTGGGAACCGATGGATCAACGATCGAATTGAGCAACGAGGGTTCTGCTGAAAAAACTGGAGCTGAAGGCTCAACGATAGGAGGTGTCGACGGATTGAATACAGGCGATATGAGGATAGAGGTTTCAGGCACTGTAATCGGAGTAGTTACCGCGATCGGGGTTGACGGTGTAAATATTAAAATCGAAGAGACAATCTGTGACGGCTCAACAACAGCAATTGTTGATGGGTCGAATACAGGGGTTGTGAATAGCGACGGTAACGCTGTGAAGGCAGGCGTGGAAGGGTCGGCAATGGAAGGTGGGGTTGAGCCGACTGGTATGAAAACTGAAGTTGGTTCCTCGGTGGGGATTGACAATGGCGGCGGAGCTGCTGACGGTCCTCCAGTAAATACTGGAATAGACTGTACGGGGGGAGGAGGGAGTGCGGTAGGAGGGAGAGAAGAGTCCTGAGGCATAGGAATGGCCTGTACTCCTGCCAAAAGAGCGAACGCAATGCTAATGAGATTTGAGGAAAGCATGGTGGAAAGAATTCTTCAGAAACAGAAGATGTAAAGCAATGTGAATAGGAGAAGCGGTTTGTAGGCAACTGAATATGGAGAGCACGAAGGAAGTCCTGATGTGCATTGGGCTTTGATGTGGACGTCGAAGGCGATGCTTTATACCTAGTTAAAGAGCGAAGACGAATCCTAAGCGAAACATTGTTTGCTGAATTTAGAAACTAGGTAATTAGAAACTCAGCCCAGGGGTGGATACGATTCTCTTGGTCCATGTTGCAATGGGTAGGATTGCAAGGCCCATTCACATTCTGTTCGCTTTCCCTAGAGACGTGATGAGCCACTTAGAGTTCTCATCAAGGAAGATTGAAACCCAACGGACTCAGAGACCGGAATTACGATTCCTCTTTGCTAGCAACTAGATTATGCGTTTGAGGTTGTACGCACTCATGATGTCAAGCTGCAGCTGTGCTCGAGGTGTATTGTTTGATCCTTCGTTCCCAGAGCAGAAGGATCATTGAGGGGACGGTAAGATGGCTCCTGCATAGTAAGCCCCAAGGGGGTTTTTGTGTAACGACCAAATTGTACTCAAAGCACTCCGTGTGTCAAGGCATTATCAGAGATATATCGGAAACTCTCATCTTGACACACGTGCAAACCCCGCTCGCAGTTGAAACAACAAGAGACGAAGGATTCTGTGCTAATCCAATGCACGAACTCCGAGGAACGGTATTCTAAGGCAACAGAACATCCAAAGAAGTGGTTATTCGACGGAATTCGCGGAGGAAGAAAATGGAGTGCGCGTCCACGGGTGCAACTATAGGGCATCACGCCAGACAGAATATTTGGTGGATCGTGATTGAACGTGATAATATGTGGGTGGCATAGATGGGATGTTGAATGGAAGGATGATGAGGTCCGAAGGCCGAAGAGTTGAACCTTGCCCAGAAGCTAACCAACCATCCATATACGACATGAACTCTTCCTTCACCTATCCTTAGAAGATATCAGAGACACTTTGATATTTGTGATTGGCAAACATTATGACTCTCAAAATATTGTTCCTCACTATCTTGTCATCTCAGAGACGAGCAGACGCAGTCACGTGGACTCGCTTTCGACAGTACCTAAACTAGATTCCTGATAAATTGGGGACACGCTGCTGCGTGAATATGTGAGCATTAACCTGAAAAAAGCGCTACAAAACATTCCCTTCCAGTTCCGTTCGGAATTTTCCTCGCTTCTACAGTAGCAGTCTCCCCCACTACCTGATTTAACCGTGAATTGGAAAGCCCGGCACTTGGCTCGTCCAATGACGCGAGAAGACAAGACTCTCATATCGATACATGCAATGACCCTCTACCCCATTGTCAATTCTTCATAAGCATAAATGACTATCTTCTCACTAAAATAGTAGCCCCTACACCACCCTAGAGATCAGTTTCGACTAGCAATCTGATAAATACCTCGAACTCCCTACTATGTACATTCGGGTTGTAGCATCTTTGGTGTCAAGATGTCCACTTCAATTTCCCCATTTCCCTCTCTAACGCTGAAGTATGTTCCGCCAGTCGCGACCAGCTTCAATACATCCCGCAACCGAGAATCTCCTCCGCAACTCCTGCGCCGTCATGCCTCATACGATGTTTCTGCAAAATTTGCACTGCTGATACAAGCACTGTGTACGCTACGACCACCATGATTGTCACAATTTTGAAGAGAGCCACCGACGAAGCCGCAAGCTCGCGCGATGCCAACCATAACCCAGAAATGGGGTAAAAATCCCGAATTCACCCCTTTACCGAACGTCATATCTCTTACTTACTCACGCTCCTTAGACAACCCACCCCAACGAGCGCAAATTGCACCTGTGAAACTCGACAGATTGCCGAGTGGCAAACCAGATCGAACGAATATTCGCCCAATCCTACAAACTGCCTAAGTATAATGATTCCGATGTGCGATGCTCTTCCAGACCCAACGGTTATGACTGCAAGTTTGACGGTTACATTGGAGGTGACTGGGACGATGAAGAGTGAGAGTGGAGCTGTGTGGCCGACGGTGGTGCATTCGCATTGACATAGATTTAGGAGAGATTGGAGAGAAAGCGATGTGAGAAGAATGCATAATTGTGCGGAAGATCATCAAGATGGGAAAGATTTTGCCAAATGTTTTTTTGGGAGTCCCCACTCGTTACTTGCTAACTTCGATGGAATACTCTCCACCCTGTACAGCCATCAACACACCATTTCCCTCTAGCTTTGCCGACCCCTCTGCGATGACACTCCCACCGATTTTGATTGTCGGTATTTTCCCTTGCTCGAGGCACGGTAAAACTATATCCCCGCTCGTTCCTTTAGGTGTGGCAAATTTCAATTGATATCCTGCGTATTCCAGCTCCCACTTCGCTTGAAACTTCCCGAGATTGGTCATGAACCCCCCTTCAGCTCTCTTCAAATCGCCAAATTGTGGTTTCAGACTCCAAGTCCTACCCGCTGGTCCAGTGACAGTCATTCCAAGGATATACTCTGTCATCGTGCTAGTCGGCCCGCTACTCCAGCCATGTGCATGGCTGACATAGCTTGCGTCATATCCGTAGCCACGGCTTGAGCGATATCCAAATGTGCCATTGACTAGGTATCCTTCAATGACAGTCGATCCCGTTCCATTTGGATGATTCTGGTACCAGCCCCAGCTTCGACGAATTAACTCGAGAGCCCGATCTGCACGGCCAATTGTCAAGTGGGCCTGAATTTCAAACGACGATATGAAAGGCGATATGTTCCCTGGCAATTCAGGCGCGACGGCGCCTATGGGTGACCAGTTTTCTGTCAACCTGGAGGATATTGATGCGGCTTTGAGATCGGTGGAGTTGACTATACCGAATAAAATTGACATGCTATTTGCGTCTTGGGGATGAAGGGTGGTAGCCGTGGCATTGTCTTTGAATGCCCCGTAGGTGGAATCGAAACAATATTTGTTAATTGCGGCCTGCAGCGTATCGGCTCGGGTGGACCATGTTTTACTAAGACCCGTTGAGTCGTTCAGCCATGTAGCGAGGGAAGCGCCAGTGTAGAGAGTTCGATAGAGTATCATGTTTGCCTCGCTGTTGTTGAAGCCAGTCTGCCAGCGGGCCCAATCTCGGGTACCTGTTTGATTCAATAGGCCACTCGGGCCCACTTTGCCGTAGATGTAGGCCATGGCTCTTATATACTTGGCCCAGTTTTGCTGTACAAAAGAGACGTCATTAGTGTAAAGCATGTAGTTATACGTTCCAATCATAGTCCACATGTGGTAGGCTGACAGGATGTTAGCTTGACCGTTCGATGGACTAATTGGACTTACTGTCGCTATTTTGTTGTAAAAGTGGCGGACCAGCTTCCGGGAAAGACCCATCAGGATTCTAGAGGATGGTCAGCCAGGTTGGTTGTAGTATGAGAATTTAAACACTTCCTTGGTAGTTATACATGACTTGCAGAGCATTCTTCACACTATCGAGATCTCCAACACTGACAAACGAAGACGGGACCGCTATGCCCATATCGCCAGGCCAAACAGCACGATCACGTTTTGCACCGTCTACAATGATGGTGTCTCCCGGACCCAGAGTGCCGTTGTTGGCCCACCCATTCGCCAGCATTGGAACCCAGCGACCAGTATGGACCGGTACAGAGTTCGTTTGCAAAGTGTAGGCACCGGCGTACCAAATTTTATTTAACAGTTCATCGTCGCAGTGAAAGTATCCCTGGTAAGCGCGGAGATTGGCCCAGGTGGGCTGAATGCTTAACTCGAGAGAGATGTCCATAATGTCGACTGTGATATCTGATTTACCGAGCAGGAAGGCTGTCATGTATCGAAACCCTCCGCGCATTGACTTGTCGGGCATAGTGTAAGTACCCTTGCCGCTTCCAGATATGTTTGCATACAGGGCCCCATCTCTTCCAGCGAATTTCCCATTCGAGGCATCAGACCACTCTCCAATCCATGTACTGGCTTCCGTGAATGCAAGCCCAAGGCTACCGGCTCCAGATGATGAATATTTCACGGAAATAATACCTCCAACCTCGATGCCAAAATCGAAGACTATGCCAGAACCATTTCCCTTAAGACTCGCTGGGCCTGGGTAAGACGAGATTTTTCTCCTGTTTGGAAGTGATAGAATTGCCTTAGGCTGAACTATTCGGGACACCGGTGCGTAGATGTTTGAGTCCCAATCCCCAGGAAAAGCAGATTCAGCTGGTCCAGTGCAGGTGGTATTCCGCCAACAAGTCGCTGCTTGAGAAAAAGCCGGGAGAAAAAGCAGCACTTGGGGGGCAAAACGAATAGATGCGATCCTCATGCTGCTCAAGGAGGTATTCTCTTGTGAGCTCCACCTTTAGAAACTGATTTGCTTTGCTTCTTCGGAATACTAGAAAGTGGCAGAGCAAGATTTCATGGTGCAGCCTGAGCGACCAAAGACAACTTCATGATGTACGTGTGCTGAAATTTCGAGCCTCGGGGTATTAATTGCACCGAATATTAATTTCTCCGCTTAGAGTAGACGCAGATTAGCGTTGGTTCCTGATCAACATGATGCGGGGAGGCTTAAATCAAGTTTACGGCGTCAAACACTTGCTCGACTAGGGATAGGCGCATTATATTGTTGCCATCGACATTCAAAGGTTTGAATACAAAGGTAACAATCAGGCACCAGAAGGGAGCTATCGCTTGGCTTCCTAGGTTGGGTTCCAGATCCCGGGATCGCGGATTGCGGATATGAGTCCGGGGATACATTATTTCCATAGCAGCGTTAATACTGAGGTTTCTTTGTTCCTCGCAGAATACAGCCTCAGAAGATTATCATGCGAATGAGCAGGGTGAGGTGAACGAATGTAGATGAAGGTTGTTTATCGATAAGAATTCCGGCTAGTACGCCAAGACCCACTAAGAGCAGTGACTTTCGTTCTGGGCCCAAGGGTTTGAACCTCAACACCACGTTTGAATCACCGTTTTCTTATTCAAATGGACCATCGACACACGCCCTCTTTGCTCATACCATTCTCAGTATGTACTTAAAAAACCTTGAGGTTATCGTAATTTATTCAGGCAGGAGCAAATATGTCCAATACCTGGAATTGTGGCTCGAGATTAGGCACAGGGAGTTCTTCGTAAAGATCACCAAGTCTCTCCGCATCCGCCTAGACGGCGAAAGACTCTTCCCGATCGCTGCCACCAATCCCCAACGATCGTTTCTCAACGGCCCTGGCGGCACAGAAGGTCACTCACCGCTCCTTTTCGATCAGCCGGACTACTCCCAGGAGAAGGCTATTGTGAACTGGAGCAGGTGCGAGAGACTTGCTAATAGTGTATCATACTAACCGATTAAAACTCTTCGAAACCGGCCATCTCTCATATTCCAGCAATACCGCCGAAGGAATCTAAATTCCCCGTCTTTGCCTTCCAGCTCTAATACCTCGTTTGCAAGCATGATTTCTTTACACCTCGACTTCAACAGGCCTGGCCTTGAAGGGATTTCTTCGTCGAGTACAGAGGAAGAACTTAACTCTGACGACGACATGGGTATAGATAAGGTTTTTTGGCGAGCAGAAAAATGAACATCTCCTCCAATCCGCTCTCCTCATCTTGATATAAAGTCAACGCTGATAATCTCCTTATCTGGGAGTTAATAGAGCGACGACCCCGGGATGCCTCGATGGCATATCCCGGAGGACGGCCTGGAGGAGATGAAGCACTCTCTTTAGGTCGAAAGCTGGGTTTGAGGAGGTCTCAACAGCCTATGTGTGAGTTGTGTGGTTTGAATGCGCACCCTCCGAAGTGCTTAGAATGGACTGAGATGACTCTGGAACGTGTCAAGGGAAGGGATGAAGAAGCGCGATTACGTCTAGATAGTGGGGTTGAACTGAAGGAGTTTAGTGAACGAGATCGGGTGTATCGCGATACTGATATTACTGTGGTGAAAGACCGGGAAGCTAGGAGGAAGCTGCAGGAACGGAGGTCGAGAATACATGCCGCGATCACAAGAGAAGCTGAAGAAGAGCAGAAAGGAGACGCGTCTGCTAGTATAGAAGTGTCACTGTCTGTTGGGGAAGGGGAGCGTAAGGTATTAAGAAAATCTAGCAGTCGAGAAGGCATTCAATTGTAAGTGTTGAACGGTGTGAGGGCAACGCGGAAGTGAACTCGTAGAGCAATGTATGACTCGATGCTTTAATGAAACGTCGGAAATATTCCTACATATACACTCACGTGCATTGCTCTTCAACCCTCCGAGGGATTCAGAAGGTGAAGTTCTCGACGTTAATGCTAAGCTTCTACAGTAAAGGGCCTGGCAAATCTTATTCAAGTCAATAGTTCTAATCGTCGCGACCAGCCTCCCGAATCCAAATCCAAACCAAGGACCGACTCTCCTGAAGGCCCACCTCAACCAAACTAGAACACGCGCTAGAACACGTTAGCGCAGCATGCAATCCATGCATGCCACGGGCCGAGCGTCCCAGGTTTCCCGCCTGTCAGCTGCGACCGTCGTCTTAACACCCACGGCTCCAACATAGCACCGTGTCTTGCATCGTCCCAGCTACCGACGTTAGAATGTTGTGTTGGGGCTGCTTTTAGCGGTGCGCTTAGCCACCTCCGCGCCAAAGCGGAGGTAGTGTAGTGATGTCAGATTGTGGCTTGGCGGGATATGCGTGATGTGTCCGGCGGATGTTAATTGGCCCGAATTACGAGAGGAATGCGGAAGGATGAGGCGCAGGACAAAGTCGCCTGAGAGAGGGAATCTTGATTGCGAATATCAACAGACCCGGGTGCCGAGAAGGTTTCGTAGGATGAATTTGGGTCGAGGGGGATCGGGCATCCTTACAGACTGAACTGCTGATGTTCGTGGAACAGAAACGGTGTTAGTATATCCTCAGGCCGCGGCATTTTCGTCATCGCATCGTCACGCATGGCGGGAGGATTCGCGGGAAATTGCCAATGTGCAACAGCTTGGATGTAGTGGTCGCCCGGTTCGTCCGTTCATTTGCTGTCGAAAAAGGATGGAATAATACAACGCAGAATAACCCAAAGAATAGAAAGGGAACAGATGGAACGCTTTGCTTTGTCGAATAGGCAGTCCGTGGACTGTTTAAATTGGGGGGGTATCAATCGCTCGCTCGTGGATGAAGCATGCAGAAAGCCCTAACCAGAAAACCCAACGCCTGTGCAATGCTATGCAATACAATAGGTAAAGATGCTCCTGTCTCCTGTCCGAGCCATTCTTGCCATTAAAACTCCATGGTATCGTCGTCTTTTCCAAAATTCGAATGTACTCCTAGCCAGACAAAACGCCTCGCAAATGGTGTGATTAGATTACAGCCGCGCGTTTTCCGTTTGCTCATAGAATCTTGTTCTCCTTCTGTTCGAAAGTAACTCCATGGTAATTGTCCGCAAAAGTTTGTTGTATAGGCTGGGTGATAGCCTGCATGATGTTCTCTTGAAACTCGTTCTTGACCTTATACTTGTCGAACCAGTAATGGCGGATGAATTTGCCCTGGCAGTGCGAGACTTCGACTCCGGGGTATCCGTTCGCCTCCGCGCATTCCAACTCTTTAATATTCTCCTCATAATCGTAGCGTATGAATTCGCCGAAAGCGCTTTGCTCGTGGAATCGGGGACGCTTCCATTCCGAGCAACCGATGTACCGCACGTCGTCGGGGCACTCGTGCCAGGCCTTAAGGATTTGGTGGGAAGTGGGATTGTTCTGGACGATCATGAAGCCGGTATTGGTGAGAGCGCGATTGAAGCGGTCAGAGTTGACTTCGGGATGTTCCGGGTCCCAAGGGTCTTTCGCCATCGTGATCGAATGTTTTGGTTCGATTTTCCAGTAATTCAGCAGCCACTCTACAGGCAGTTGCATGTGGTGGAATGCAGCATCAGCATCGAGGAAAACCACGAACTTGTAATCGTGCAGTTGATTGGCGATAGCGCTGGGTTTGATCCAGGTAGCATGGCGGTCCTCGAACTCGTGCGCCGTGATAAACTTGTAGTCGTAGCCATGAATGAGCGCGTATATGTAATGCTGGAAGACGCCGCCGGAGACGTGATTCAGCTTGGTCCAGTCGAAGTGGCCCTCTCTCCACTCCTTTTCAGATTCCAGCGGTCGCGTCTCAAGATCCACAATCAGGACGTCCTTGCCAAGTTTCTTCTTATATCGTGGGTTTGCGGGGAGCTCGTGTTCGGTGCCGTCGTAATCAGTGAAGATTTGTTGGTCAACGGGAATCTTCACCCGCGCATACAGCAATCGGATGACCTCTTCCATAGATATGGGGGGGGTGTTCTGATTTGAGACAGTCCTGCTAAGAGTCAACACTTCTCTTGGACACAAAGCCAGACTTGTCCAATCGCGGAAGGCTTACATCTCGATGTGGGTGGAGCCATGTGGAAACGGGATCCGCGGTGGAGTCTGCCACGCCAGGAAACCGAACGCGAATATCAGAATAAAGCCGGCAGTCACGGACAAGGCAAGCAGCGGCGAACGGGAGCCCTTCGGAGACAGCATGTTGAAAGAGTGAGGCACCAAAAAACCAAAGGAGCAAAAAACAAGCCAGAGGAGGCGGAGGGGCCTGCGTCTCTTTTAATCAGTCAGCCAAGCACATGGACTGCGGCGCTGTTCTGGATCGTCAACTGGCTACTTTTGGAGGACAGGGCTCAGCTCAGCGTGCACAGGCGCCGTTGCAGCGCGACGCTGGAATAAGCAGCCCAACAGGCAACTTGGCAGGATCACACAGCAAATAAAGGGAAGAGCCAAGACAAATCTCGCGTGAATGAATTGTTCCTCGACCGTCCGGCTGGGGCGCACAGAGGCTGACCCCCTATGTCATACCTGCGGGGCTAACATCACAAAGCGACTCTCCGTACGGATTACAAGACGCCATTTCATCCTTCTGCGGCTAATTCAATTTGTACAGCTGTGAAAGCTCCGTTTGCAGCAGGCAAACAAGTTCTCCAAACGAAGACCTTGATAGCTATTGCGTACCGGGCGGCTGGAATAGTGGGAAATTTGGGTGAGTAGGTGAGAATGCAGCGATAGCCGGCGGTGGTGCGAGTGGACAGACCCGTGCGACTTCGAAGTAGCTTCTCGTATCCCAAATTTCGTCTTGAGAGGCCGGACGTCGGAAAAAATCCGCCCGAGCTAGAAACGGGCTAGAGTTGCTTGGCACTCCTTTCCTTGGTTTCCGACTGGACTAGCGGGGACCAACATCTCTCCCTCCCCTCCTATCACGACCCCTTCATTACTCGGCCCCGTCCAGGGGCTCGAAAAGAATCCTGCCAGTTTCATCATAATAAGGGGGCTTCCGCTGGCCCTTTACGAGAAGGTGGCATTCAGTCCTTCAGGCTCTTTGAATGCTCTGAGGATTGAACCCCCTTTGAGACCAGCAGACGTGACATTTTCATCTGGTGTGGGAAGCAAATTTACTCCATGGGGGAAGAGAGCGAGGTGGCCACGAGCCGAAACGTCTGCGAGTGATCTGCATTGGCGAGATGGCGTCGACAGAAATGGGCAACGTTTCCAACCTTATCGGGGCTTCAATGCAACTCACCCATTCCCATAGATTTGGAAGCGGTAAGTAGATCTCCTTGTACCTGATACAAGATAGTTACGAGTTTCGAGGATGTTGCCCCCCAAACTCACCCTCCATTCCATTCAACTCTCGATTCGCAACTCAGAGCTCCACCACAAGCACCTGTCAGGTTTCGAGCGATGTGTTGGCCTTCCACAGGTTCCGCACGATCCCGTGAAAGCGGGGAAAGACAGGGCATGACCGCTCCCAAACCAACCGAGGAAAGAAGCAGTGGCAAGTGCTTTAGTTTGCAAGGTTTCCAAGCCTCCACTTTTTGCGTTGTTCCAAAGGCCCGGCTGTTTTATTCTGCTTGGCTCGTCATTCACCCGCCTAGCCAGCCAATATCGATGTCCACATGCACCCAACCAGTGTCTATCCGATCTTTGTCCACCGTTGCGGCTCTGAGCCTTCTTTGATTGCTTCCCTACGAATTGAAATCATAAGCAGCCGCCTTAGGCTAATATACAAGGCCAATTCTGAGCCCTAAGCCACTACTTGACGGCTGAATCCTACAATTGTAACTATCCCCCACCTTAAAGGGGCCTCCTTTTAGGGATAGAAAACATGAGCATGGATGGAATACTGCAGGAATGCTCTTCTTTACTCTCGAAGGCTCTACCCGTGAATCCCACATTTGGTCAGGTGAAGGTGGGCTTCCCCCATTCCCGAAGTCCTCGGAGAAGGTTTATAGCCTTAGAAATGTTGGCAGCTGCTGTGAACTCCCTGCTAGGGTAGATGTGACCCACAGAGCTGCATTTGGTAAGCCCACAGGAGGGCTAGCATGGAATATCTCTAAATCCACGTGGGGAGCAGGCTGAGACGGGGTTGCACTGTCTCCACTATGACCCTCTAGACAAGGATGTATTTATCTGTCTGTCTTGCTAACGAGTTGGTTTATCTCTTCTATGTCTTGCATCGTATATGAAGCGTGAGGCACTTTGATCGAATGCTAAGGACAAGTCTAGTATGGATGTCCTTTCTTAGCCACTCCTAGGATCTTGCTTGTTCCCATACTCGCAATTCCTTTGCACGGAAGTGTCTTTGAAGGGTGCTTTAGAATGTTACCGTCTCTTCCGCGACTTTCATAGCGAACAAGTACATAATTGTCGTCTAAATATTGCGCCCTCTGCTCTCCCGTTATGTGCCACACCATTCGCTCATACGGCTCAAAAATGAACAGGCGCCTCACGCAATAGACATCAACAGCAGCACTCGCCCGAGCGGTGTCCCGGATTTACCGCCGCTACTACCTCCATACTATCCTCAGCATTTGTATCAACAACCTCTCCCAGTTCACGTAGACCAGCCACCTGCCTATTATCCTCCGCCAGATCATAGCCTTACCGCACCAAGCCACCATATCTCTCTGGACAATGATTCTCCTCAGCCGCACGATGATCCTCTTGCATCAGTGCCAAACAGAATCAAATTCACGATCACAAGCTCCATCTACAGCGCGGCCATAGTCGTGCTTCAACTCATCCGAGGCTGTCCTACTATCTATCTCACCGCAGGCATTCCATACTTGGTCATTATATCAATTACCTCTGGACATTGTTCGAAATACTGGTTTTATATCTCAGATAGTTCTAGTAATAGCACTCAAAAGCATTAACGCTCTGCAGAAAGAGGTTGCTGGAGTATCTTTTTGGTTGGGGAGCACGCTGCGGTCTGTAAGACAGGGGTTTGAAAATAGAAATGTGTATGGTAGGAGTGAGGACAATCTTGTTGATTATCTTGACGATCAGGTTCCTCATAGTGTGGTCGTACATAGAATCATCAAGATCGGAGAGGTTGAGGATTTAGAGAAGATTGCAAATGAGGATAACTGAGGCGTGCAGGTAGTCTTGTTGGATACACGGCTTCCAGTCGGAGGTAAATAGTTAATATCACGTGACAGTGTATCTAGCTTCAGGTCTTAGGTGCACGATTGTCGTCAACCTCGTTCACTGTAATTAAATGGCAGCCTGGAAGCTCCGATTTTTGTAATTTCTTTTTCTCGCTAAAGAAAGGCCGTGGAAGAAACAGTTCTTCAGTTCCGCTGACACGCAAACCCCGCAGCTAGGCAATGAGCACCCTTCACCCTTCAACCCTTCATCTCTATTCCTCATCACTCCTCTGCGAATCGTACGCGCTTTTAAACTACGAATGAGTTCTCTTTTTCCTGATTATCAAGCTTTCCAGCTTCTTGCCCTGGAACTTCAGCATCGCCTCGACTCATCCTTCATCCTGTTGAACAAAGAATACGACCCCGAACCCTGCTGCGAAGCTAATTCACGGAGATATTTCGGTTTCACAAAACTCTTCTTCGAGGAATCTAGCGATTGGGTGTGGTCCCTTCTCGCGCGTCCAAGTGGTGGCGCCGCTGAAGGCCCTTCCATTTTGACAGAGTCCACCCGACTGTCAGCTTTAGAAAGATTACCCAATGAGCTGGTGGATATTATCTTCGATGAGCTGTCAATGGATAAGAGGCACGCAGTAGGCCTGGCACTATGCTCGAAATATCTCTGGAACTTGCTCATTAGAAGGATTCGCTCGCAATATCTCAGATCGGCGGCACCTTGGGCTGGTAAAAAAGTTTTAGTGCTGGGCAGTCAAACTTCTCATCTTCCACCAGCATTTGCAGAACTTGAAACCTATAACACCTTGAAGTTAAGAAATGTAAAGAGTCCGCCGTCGGCGAATCACAGATCATTTCGCCTTTTTGAAGAATTGATACAGCTAGATTTCAGCGTTCCTCCCATAATGCATGCCCAGGAAGCGGAATGGAAGAAGGCAATAGGGCTCCACTTACCCCGAAAGCCACGCAATTGGCTTCCCGATTATAGCGAAATTTACGAGTTCGGGCACCTCTCCATCTTTTGTCTCTTTCCTCAGGACCGTACATGGATTCTTAGAAACCTCACAGTCCACAAATTTGTCTCTTCAAACTATTTGACAACGCATAACCTCCGCTATGCAGGTCTACATCCCTATTTTACTTTCCACCATATTCTTCTTTCGAGAATTTGTTGGTCCAGCATCCCGGATTCGATCGACCGGGCATTGAGCTACAATAATGCAAATATTCATCATGGAATCTGGGCTGGGCATTCATTTGACATTGTTACCCAAGAGGAACATGATGAGACCTGTGGACAAGAGTATTGGGAGAATGCTAGTGAAGAAGCCCTGGCACATGTAGTTCATATCTGGAGGATGGCGACGGATCACTTACCGTATTTTCGGCGACGATACGGGAGGATCAAGAATCGCATTTCAAGCTCTTCGAAAACGGTTGAATCTGAAGGTCAGTACAACCACCATCATAATCCTCATTTCTTTGACTACTTGCTTATTGGCCATGGCTAAAGTCCACAAGATTGACCCTCCTGCAAGCTTGTTCAGCTGAAGAAGATGTGCAATCTCGTATGAGGTTCATAATCGCCCATGATGTTGAAGGTCGTCCCCAATTCTCGTGCCACAAAGCTTCTTGTCCTCACTGTTTATTGCCCTTATTATGTAGGAGGTTCTATCTTTGCTATGTTCAGCAGGGCTGATATCCTCTAAGAGCCGAACATACAATGAATAAGTTCATTTCTCCGTGGTGCCTCACAAGTTGAGGGTGGAACGCCTTGCTGATGTACTCACATCCTGACCATTTTCACCAAATTTCACCTTGATACCCCTTGTGCTTGCCTTTCCAGGTTAGCAAGTTTTTCCGAGACAGTGAGATACTTTTGTCTTACACTCCCGAGAGAACTTTCTCTCATCCTCTCTGAACTTGCGTCGATTAGCACATAGGCTTTGTACGGCGAGAGGTCCGCCATAACACCATGTCAACCGCACCAAGGGCCGCCGCGAGGCTCGCCAGGTCGACATCCTTTTCGAAGATCCGCCTCAGAGGAGCTCGTCGTGTCCGCCACCGATTCTAACCACGAAACGCAGTAAAGGATCCTTCGCAGACTCGACGCGCACATCGTCTCGACCGCATCCATAGCATGGCTCCAGGACCATCTCCTCCCCTAATCAAGAATGAGAAAGATCACCCCAAGGCCGAGACTAAGTCTCCGTCTAACTGCCGTTCCTCCTGCTTGGCGAGGCCGTAAACTCAAACGTGAAGCCTCTCAAGAGCGATACGGAGATGCCGCCATACGAGAAGTAAAAGCGCTAATACGACCACGTCTCACTACACCACCGATTAAGACGCCGACAGAGGAAGTGGAACTGGCAAGGGTTAAGGAGGCAGCCAAGCTCGTAGATAAAAACGCCCAAACTGAAACTGCCGCATTGTATATCGACGAAAACAACTCAGCCAGAAAGGCCTCAGATATCACCACGATGGCAACCCCTTCGCCGCTGTTGGGAGATTTCGAGCGAGAATGGGCCAGCATCTACAATCTTCTTGTCGAACTCGCTATCAAGTGTGTCCTAAAAGAAGACGGTTCTGCTAAAGTTTAGGTTGGAGGCGATGAGCTTCGTGCATCTAGCTGACCGTAGGAGGGACTTGCCGAGAATCGTGACGACCTCACCATCTCCCAAATCCGACAGAGCTTGAGATCCCCTTCTCTGGCTTCCTCTAACGAAGAAGGCAGCTTCAATGCCGCTCCAGAAAGCCATCCGGGGGCTCATACCCCCGGCTCCGATTCTGGTTCAGTAGAAGAGGTCCTCCCCGCTTACCGCTCAAGCAAAATACTTAGAAAGATGCTAGGGTATGTCGAAAATCCGGGATGCCAAGCTGGTGAGATCTCTAGGGCTTCCTGTAAACAAATCTTGAAAGCCAGACGTCAATCCCCCTAAGAAGATGCAAGATCCAGAGCTAGGTAGCTTCTATCAACCACAGCCACAGCCGCAGCCAATAGTGATCGAGATGGGTGTTAGACAGCATTTACCGCACCAGGAGACAGTGAAAGAAGACAGGTACGGCGAAGACGAACGCAAACCTTGGTCAGCGTTTATACGAGACTCAACCTCACTGCACATTGGATGAAAGAAACTTCTTCGACAAGGATGGCACTTTCTGAAAATACACACTGGTCTACAACTCAAAAGGCGTTGAAATCGGAGCCAAGATCACCCAGTATGCTCGTCTTAGAGAAGGCGGATCCCCCACAGAAATGTGCCATCCAGTCGAAGACACAGGTGTTCACGGAACCTGCTACACCGGTACGTCGAGGTGCTCACTTTAATGGAGAGCTCAGTGGCCAATTCTTCGTTTCGAGTTTAGTGCAGTCTCTGTTGTTGGGAAGCAGCGAGTTTTTCGATTCTTCTAAAGCGCAACGTAGATACAAATAGTTACCCTCTTTAACGGAGAACGAGGCGACCATGTTCTTCGTTTCAAAGTTAAGGCAGTTAGCTAGAATTCTTCTGTCGTTGAGAGTTGCGAGTTTTGGAATTCATAATACAGGTGAAACATTCCCCTTGAGCCGGAATTTCTTTCTAATTTTACCTTATGGTGCTTTGGTGGGAGACCTCTGTCAGTCTCTGGGTGAATTCATATTTTGGGTTGCCTCTCAGACCCAAGGATTGTAGATACACATGTACTATCAGCCAAGATCCTAGAGATACGAGAACAAGGAAGCCGGGCTTGAGGTGGAATCTCGGGCGCCCTTAGCTAGGCTCTTTATTACTACCGATCTTCATATTCGCTGAAAATAACTAGATGTGGCGAAAACATTCATAGCACAAGAAAGTAATGAAAAATAATTCTCATATCATTGTGAGTCCCAATGCAATGCAATACAATGAATGCGTCCGTCTGCCTCAAGCTTTTCCACCTCCTTCCCTTACGTCATATGAGCCTAACATTCAGTCATAGAGTCGGCGACTAAACTGACGTCCCACTCCCGGCACCGCTTGGCTTTTCAACGCGGATGTTTTCCTCCTAGGACATCAGTAAAGCCTTCTCTCCAATGCTCCGCGCTGACAAAGCAGTTGTAGCGAACGCATTTAATAAGACATTCAATTGCAGTCGTGACAAGGTAGGAAAGAACTAAGCAGCAGAGATCGCAAAGTGATATAATCTCCCCGAGCGTGGTCCCTTCAATCTCGCTCACGCAAAACGTAAGGCGAGTGACGTTGCTTTCTCCAATTCAAGAGGGGGCGTTCACACCGAAGGCTGGAGCACGAAGCGTACTTTTCAGAATGACCGCCCGCACCAAATGTGAGGAGAAACTGTCATCATCGTTCCTTCCATCGCCAAATTTGGCGAGAGCATGTGATTTGAGCGAAGTGGGTACACTAATAATCTCAAATATCTGTGGCTGGGTTTAGAGGGGCAAATTGAGTTGATAAAGAAGGTTCCAGACTGGCTTGCAGGCGAATGGAAACTGGAGGAGCTTACTAAACTAATCTACGTAGCTCTTGATGCCCTTGAAAAGTTTGAAGATCTTACGAATAAGGCTTAAAAAAAAAAGACTGGTTAGAAGGCTCGTGACGTCGAGACGGCTGAAGACATCTTTTGGAAATTTCATTCCAAACCCCCGAGGTATAAGAGAATGGGACCAGAAGGGAGGATCGGCGTCTTTGTGGGAACTAGATTAATGAAGAAGTTTAGCGCCATTTTGGAGGTGCTAGCAGAGGAAACTGGGCTATATCGATGAATTTCAGGAAATGGAGGCCCAGTGTCCACAGCATGTGAAAGGAGGGATGGGTGACGTGTTATGAGACTATAGAAGATGGTGGGAGTGGTGATGTGAATAATGAACCTCTTTCCTCATGTATTCTTGCTGGAACTCGGAGAGTAGACTAAAAGTTTAGCCTTCCATTCTTATATCGGCATAATATGCTTTAGAAGAGAGCATGTAGGAGGAGTTTAGGATGCACACATATTGTGGGGCGGGAATTTTGGAACCAGAGTCGATGTCCAATTCAGTGGTGTCTGACTCACTACTAGAACACTATCTGCAAAACACCAGAAGACCACTAGACTAAAAGTGTCAATAGCACATTTCTGCCCTTTACCAATCTCTCCCATCGGCTCATTCCTACGCTTTCCCTCCACTACCCTCCACATACCCGGGCAAAACCTCCCCTTTCCTTGCCTCCTCCCCTCTCAAGCTTGGCTTAACCCTCAACAGCCCCTCCAGCTCCTTCAATCTCTTCTCCAGCCCGCCAATGTCCCCACCCGCCTCCTTACTCTCCTTGATAACCGTCTCCAACTCTTCCTTCTCTGCAATCAAAACCCTCCACCGCATAATCTCTTCCTCCCAAAAGAACAACAAATTCACAACCTTCTTCTGTGCATGTACTGAAATAAACGACAATTGATGCGCGAACTTCGACGTAATGGCTTTCGTATCAACCCCAACCCCGGTATCCTCTCCAGCTTCTGCTTCTTTCAACGCCCCATTTTTAACAAGCGCGCGGTATATTTGGGCGGAGATAGATTTCGAGCGTGTTATCCCGCCGACTAAGAACGATGCTTCACACAGTTTTAAAGGATCGGGTTCCCCAAGTTGGTATGTGAACAAGGCGTCTTGTTCGGCGGGGTCGAGGTCGTATTGCTGGGGTGCGAGAGCGAGATTCGGGATCGCATTTTGCATGAAGCGTGTGAAGCTAAATTTGAGCGAGCCGGATGGAGTACGCTGCATCGTTGCACTCTGTGATTTTCGAGTTCTTACTATGGGACTTTGGGACGCGATGCAGTGGAACGTTGGTCGTTGGGTAGGAAAGACGGTTACCTGCTAAGAAGGGGTTGGAAGTTAAACTCTCATGGTGTATGCCTAGTTCCAATTCATATAGTCGGAAGTTCATTGCGTGTCTGTGTGTGCAATAGCACAGCCCTCTGTCGTGCTACATCACAGTGCTCCGCCCACCTCGTGGGCAGATGCGCATTCCCTATTGGATAATTCGAAGTTCTGAGGTAGACTTTAGCCGGAATGTGTGTGTTGAAGAAGAGCATGCATATTTTTCGAGAAAGCGAAGGCAGAGGTGCTAAAGTTCTATGAAGCGAGCAAATATGTGCGGCTGAAGAATTTATGTCACGTGGTCGCGTGAGACAGTGGATTTACGCGCAAAGTAGATAACGGTAGGAATCTGTGTTTTTCTGATATTCGACGAGATATACATGCAGTGTTCGCACAAATAGATCATAATGCAATCGCCTAGACTCCAACGCTAATGCAGATAGTAGATATCTCAAACGCCTGCTCAAAGCCGAAGCCGAATCAGAACGACATCTAATGCGACAACATAGTCAATCTCTTAGCGACAAACCACGCCCAATATAGTGGTGCATAATCTTCACTCGGCACCCCACTCCACTTCCCAGCAATTGCTCCCAACGCGAGATCACTATACAGTGCGGAGAAGAAGCCAAAAACTGCAATAAATGCAAGTAGTGCACCGCCGAATGTATGCTTGTATGCTTCCCATAAAGTCTTAAAGCCGCGTTGGGGAAGTCCCAAGTGCTTTTTATACCAGTATGCAGCGGTGATCATGGGGATGATGGCGATGGCGATGGCGAAGCCGTAAGTGAGGTTTCGGACGTCCTTGTTGTGCCGGAAGGAGGTATAAATAAGGGCACCGAGACCCACCATACCAGTGACTGTGCCTAGGAGATAGAGAGTCAGCCAGTAGAGAGGATTGTGGTTGGTGCTGCTAGGTGTGTCGTTAGGGTCGTTAGGGTCGGAGAAGAAGGTGGTGCGAGTTGTATTGTGTTGAGTGTACATTTGGCTTGGTTGTGGTGAGCCGTATGGATGGTACGGGGTGTATTGATGAGACGTGTTGCTTAAGAGCATTGCTCCGTCCGAGGAAGCTTTAGCCTCGCGGTGGGAGATGACGGCGCGGTGGATGGTTATGCAAGCGAGGGATACAGATGTGACAAGCTTCCAGACACCAATCAAAACGAAGTGCCAACTCAGACGGCAGCGGTGGATTGATATTGAAGCGATAGGAATGCATGTCACTAACGTTACGCTTGCCAAGAAGATGTCGAACTTAGTGGATGTCAGGCGATGCCATGGCCACACTGGGGACCTCCCAACGCCGATCCAGGCAATAGTCCAGTATGTGAGGAGATGAGAGATGATCCCAATAGCTCCGTAAGGTAGAGCGTAGCATTGGATCTCGCCAACCGGTCCAGCAGTACGATTTGGAGTTCCAAACATGTTGTTAATATGATCGGATATGTCTGGCAGAGCTCGGGCAGATGCTGTTCGGGTGTTGAAAAGAAGTACAATGAACAGTATCCCTACCCACGATGTGGATAGAACCATTGAGAATGTATTTGCTCGTCGGATCGATATGCGAGCCATCGGTTGAATAGAGGGGTGGGCCGAGCGAGAGAAACGGTGGTTTACTTGATTATGCAAGGAGGGCTAGTCCTCAAGCAGTCAGACTCTTGCAGAGAGGATCCTCAATCTCGTGGGAGGAATGTAGCTGGCGGCTGAAGGTTGTGATTCAGGAGGCCGCACTTTCGATTAGAAACCAAGGCAGATCGCGGATAAGCCGGGAAAGGACTAAAGACAACGTGAGGGAGCTTAACATCAAGTTAGTCATGCATGTTTGAGAACGCTCGTTGAGACGCGAAGAAGAGTGACAAATGAAATGAGATAGCTCCATACTTAAGCAGCTTGGAAACCAAATCCACTGTAGCTTTCAGGAGAAGAAATCAGGGCTGAGGTACGGCAGGAAAACATCCAATGATAATACGCTAAAGTATTGTACAAGAAGATGCTTCCAAGAAGAAGGATCAGCGCCAGGGTAAACGGAACCGAAACGCAGTACGGACAGATGTCCTTGAGAATATGTGATCGTCAGGCCTTCATATATCTTTAATCAGGAAACCAACAAGGCTGGCCCCCATCGGCAGTGGCTGAGGGTCGCCTGAGGGTCGCCCGCAAACATGAGTGACCAAAAGAGGTCACTCAAGCCACAGATAGCGCGAGGTTCTTGGCCGTGATGGACGAGATGTTGCTGTGGCTTGTATTGGTTCAGCCGAAAGCTGGTTCAGGAAAAGCGCTATCAGATTAGGGATGGGGAGGCACCCGAAGCGTTGCCTTGCGGCCTGCTGAAATGAAACCCGAGAGAGAGCGAGGCCAAGGGCCAATGAAGTCACTTAGGAGATGTGGCAGTGTGTAGCCAAGTAAAACTTGGTGAAGAGCATGTTGAGACGCCCAAGTGAGAGGCGGAGGCGAAGCTTCTGTTCCCCCTTCCTCGCCCTCATTTCAGTGCGCAACATGACAAAAGGGCGAAAGATGGTCAGGAAATGACTAAGCCCTAGCAATATCAGCATGGAATAAATTGGATTTACGAAGAAAAGTGAAGACCAGGTGGAGTGAAGATCTGCCCTGAGGTTTGCCTCCCTGAAGCGACAGCTTGTGAAGTGAAGGGCGAGCAAAGGAGGTGGCAGATCAGCCCTCGGTATCGAGAGGTTGGTCTGTGCACCAGGCGGCTTATCGATAACGTATCTTTGGAAGCTTTCCAAAGGATTTTGACTGAAGTTTGTCAACATGGGTTGGCAATGTGTGAAAAAAGGCAATAAATTTCTCTTATGCGACGCCAGAGACGCAACTCGGTTCTCCAGCGGTGCTCCTCTGCTTTCCAGCCAGTAAGATCCTCACAGTTAACAAACGATGGCGGCTCTTCTGCCGATGTCCTCTGCGCCCTATGAGTCAGGCAAGCCATAGAACAAATACAAGAGTACCATTTACCAGGTGTTGAACCTAGTACTCAGAGTTATACACCCGTCAAACCATATCTCGCTTTTCAAAATGGATTCCAAGGAATGGCAGCGTGTTGTTGGCGACCAAAGGTTTCTTATCTCAACATCTCGAGACTTGCTCCCCCATGAATTCGTGCAAGAGGCCTTCAATCACCCAGATATGTACTGGACGAAACCGACCTCCCCAGCCAACATGAAACGATTGCTCGATAACTCGTGCACCCTCGGTCTCTACAAGGGTCAGGCGGACGTTGCAAGTACCAAATTTACTCCTATCGGCATGGCTCGGCTCATCACAGATCATGTAACGTTCGCCTACCTGACGGACGTGTACATCGTGAAAGAGTACAGGAAGTTCGGGTTGGGCAGATGGCTGATCGCTTGCTGTAAGGAGATGGTACAGGAGATGCCAGAGCTGCGGCGTTGCGTGCTTCTAACAGGCAGTGAGGCCATGCAGAAATTGTATGAACGCGAGATGGGCATGGAGGTGTTTGGGGAACGGAAGGGTGGGTTAGTCGCAATGGGAGCTCAGAAGGCAGACCTTGTGGCAGCCAGCGCGGGGAAAGACGAACAACCGAGCTGCTGAGATGCCGACTCCCAGGACTACGGATTGGGATCGTGTCATGGCGAGGGCCCGTCGGGGGAGCAGATATCAGTGGCGGGATGCGCCGCGTGGGCAGACGGAGTGGTGACAGTGGGAAAGGGCATTTCAGGTTAGCGCAGAATGCGGTTAGCGCAAATCTCGCCATTCCAAGCTTCATTATCCAACCAGGATGCCGCGGCCGGCGGGCACTTTCACCACCACAACCAGCCAAACCAAGTAGTCCCTACATTCACCCACCGCCATGTCCGACTTATTAATGTGCTCCTTCCGATCGCCCTTCGCAATCCTGACATTCACTCTACCCCTACCCATTTCTGCCAGCCCTCTGACCCCCTAACCTGCCGTAAACACTCCCGACAGTTTCCGTATCCTGTCTTCATATCTCCGTATTACGGAACCGCTTCTCAAATTTATTTAGGTAATCTAGGACACATGGGCAGAGACACCATGTCCAGGGCATCTCCACAATCTCCCAGAATGCTCAAGCGGAAGCGATCGGGCACAGCGCCCTTGACCCCTCCATTGTCGACGCACGATGCGGAAGGCGCCAGACTCCTTGACCGAGCCGTGAATGTTCTCTCCACCGCCGCCACCGCTCTTTCCCAGGTCACTGTTTTGTACCAGAGCGATCACTATGCTAGAGACAGCCTTGTCCGTGCAGTTGAGCGCCTCACAAAGACGTATGAAGCAGGCGGGAAGCTTCTGATTTGCGGCGTGGGCAAGAGCGGGCTTGTCGGGATGAAAATGGTGGCTACCATGAAGAGCCTTGGACTTGGCGCTTCCTTTCTACATGCTTCCGAGGCCCTGCATGGTGACCTGGGAGATCTGAGATCTGTACGTGCAACCCCTAAACGTTTAGCGCTGTGCACAGTGCTTATATAAACCCCAGAGCGATGCTATCATGTTCGTCTCATTCTCCGGAAAGACGCCTGAACTCCTCAGTCTCCTCCACCACATCCCGAAATCCAATACAGTCCTCGCCATTACATCCCACACCAGCACCGGCGATTGTCCTCTCTTAATGGGACGGCCTGATGCGGTCCTACTGCCCGCGCCCATACATGAAGCTGAGGAAATATCGTTTGGAGTGTGTGCACCAACTACGTCCACAACGGTGGCGATTGCGGTTGGAGATATGCTGGCGCTCACAGTCGCTGAGGCCATACACCAGGGCAACACCAAACAGATCTTCCAGCGCAATCACCCAGGAGGCTCGATTGGAGCCCAGGCGCGGCAGCCTGTAAGTGGCGAAGAGGCAGAGGAGGAGATCAGCCCCAAAAGATGCCCGAGTATGCCATCACCAGATTGAATATACCGTTGCTCGCATGGAGACCGCCTCCAGGCATTCATGTCCCGAAATAGAGTTTGGGGTGTTTTCCGTCCGCTTCTACCCATGTTGTGAATCCGTGTCCTAGCTGTCCAACCGATGGGATTGCCTCTCTTTATTTTCCGTGTTCTCGTGCTTCATAATTAGTTTTCGAAGCCGATAATCTACTACCGAAAAGGTAATGGAAACTCGGAAATACAGTTCGCTGTGCTGATCTCTGTTTCACAACCTGCAAATCCTGCTTCTATCATTCTACCTCTACAAATGCGTCTGTAGTGGCTGATCGCAGACCCGAAGCTAACTCGTTGTCTATAAAGTGTCACTATCTTCTAATCCCCACTGCACGTGACGATTCCAAGATCTGTTTGAATTCTGGGAGCGTCATGTTGGCCTTGAGGGCGAACTCGGGTGGCCACCTGTACTGAGCGATCGCGCTCTCCCAGTCGTCCTGGTTCATGAGCCGTGCCATTTCGAAGGTTAGGTAAGGCCAGCTTCCATGGCTCTCCGAATTATAATGAATCGACAGAAGCAGTGACCATATAGGAAATTAAGCAGGCTTCAAAGAAGAAGGAGTGCCTTTCTAATTGCCTACCTGTTTCCCTATGGGTCTTCTTGGCCTTTTAACGCTGGTACATGACTCCTAACCATAACTTCTGTCAGAGCTTAATCCACTACCTATATTTTCCCTGCCCGAGATGAGTATTGCCAAAGCAGTAGCAAAACGCAGCATTTACTGACATTCCCAGCTGGTTCCAACACTGTCACCAACAAATTACGGCCGCTTCCCGGCCTATCTCGCCTCAGCTAACTCAACTGGAGCAATCGCCCTTGTCAAGCCTGGGACATTGGACGATGCCCCACTTCAATTCACCCACAGAGCACAGTGGTTCCGTCGTTGTTGTGACGAAATCACTGTCTTACTCTAGAAGTCTCGTATGAGACCGCCAAACCATAATCAAGCCCTTCTCCCGCCCACTGTCCACCTTGCTCTCCTCTCCTCCCGCAAATTTCCACCACTGTAAATTTCACCTCCAGCGGAATCTCTACCTTTGTATTTATCTCTTTCAGCCTTTCTGAAACCCTCGTCCACCTGTTATGCTATTCAAACACGACTAGTCTCCAGGCAACCACTAGAAGTGAATCCAATCGAAACTGTCCTTGACAAGGGAGGATTACCGCTAGTATTACTAAAACTACGATCGATATTCTACAGAGAACCCTGGAGTGTGTCACCCAGAAGCCCTCGCAGGCCACCAAGGACGAGGCTGGCATGTATGGGCAATGGGTGACCGACCTCTATAGCGTGATGAATGAGAGAGTTTATCGGTTCTATCTTAAGTATATGAGCACACCAATTCTTAAAAGCAGGATTGAGGAGGTTATTAAGCCATTCAACTAGATGATTGAGAATACACCATGTTAGTATTTCAATACACATCGCGGAATATGAACAAGGAGAATCTAATTTCTTGAATTCTCGCTGGATTAAAGGAGTTTTCACAGGATGGCAAAAATTTGTAACGAGTCGCCCCGCCATGCGAAGCAGCTACACCAGACCTCCTTTCGACACTCCCTTGGAAACAACGGCCTCTATACTGTACAATGACTCGGTAAGCGACTGCTATACGAAAGCAGGTTCGAACATCCTATTCTAAACAGATAAGCGACGACAACACCATCAATACCACTCCACAGAACTACATCCTTAGCCCCAGAAATCCCCACCAGTTATGGAGCACTCCGTCAATGCGACATGCGGCTCCCAATACTGACTGCGGCTCCATTATCATCCTGGTCAATTTCCTTAACAATCTCACTACCTTTTCACCGGGTACCCTCCACATCAAGGGTTCCCAACAGCGCAGACTTACCAGAATATCCTTCATTTTCAAAATACTGCAGGTGTTATAATTAGACTCTTTTTCATTTGCGATGCCTTTGAGAAGACAAGTATCGAGTTTCTCTCCATAATTTCCAATTCCACATACACCCCTTGCTTCCTTTACATCGCATTTCACGGCGTTCTTTCATGGAACCTACCTTGTGGGAGGGAGATATTGTTTGGGGATATGTGCCGTGAGGGGAAAACATGAATTCTGACTCTTTAATATCTATCTTACAATCAGTCTGGAAGTAGCACTTGGTTCCTATTCACATTGATTTAGAGGTTCCAAAAGAGTAATTGATTATTTATTTAATAAAATCTCAGTCAGCGTTAAGCTAGGGAATGGGGAAGGAGGTATCCGAACTCGAACTCGCCTGATGCCTGTAAGGTAGAGGTATGCTTCGGTTGGTGTTTGTCGCTGAGTTGTCGCTGAGTTCATTGCACGCGGATTGCCAAAGATAATTGTTGGGGGTGTGATTACACCCAAGTATAACATTGCACTGCCGTAACCGGAGCCTCAACTTTTTGCCTTTAGTCCCAGCCCATCTCCATTCTCCCTCTCCTTCGCAGCATTCACAAGCAGCTAATTCTCTACACCCACACCTCAGCATTCCATCCTGCCCTCACAACAACTTCAAGAGCCCCTTACCTCTCCACTCGTAACCACCTTCTCCTTCTTTTCCCTTTCATCCTCCACCTCCTTAGTTGGACCCTCATACCCAATCGCCTTCAACCACTTCGGGTCAATATTCTGAACTTGCAGATATGGCGAGAGGTCAGAGCCTGGGACAAGGTTTAGCTTGGAGTACCCCATGCCTAAGTGTGCCCAAGGGTTTTTATGTAGGTATTGGATGTCGAAATCTTCGTAGCGTGGGGTTTCAATGAGTTCGATGTATTGGAGGGAGGAGCCTGGCCAGACAGCTGTGCAAAGCTGAATTAACAAATGAAGTAAAGCTTGTTTTAAAGTGTGCGATAGAGGGAGGTGGAAAGCGTAGAGGGTTACGACTTACCGTTCACACGCCCGGTGTCGTTATTTCTATACCAACTTCTACACGAATCTTTCCAGACGGTATGCTTAATCCACTCCTGCGCATGCTCGTTGAACGAGTCTGTAATATCTTGACGCGGAACCCAGCTCTTGATGTGGTCGCGTTGCATCTTCTTGATGAGCTGGATTGCGTATTCGGAGACGCTAAGAAGTGGTCCAGTTACACTGCCGTTTTCTACTGGCCTAATCACAATCACCTACCTTTCTTGATTATTACGTGGACAAGAAATATGACGTACCAAGTTGGCCCAATAAACATCAACCAGTTAGGGATATCGGGGCAGCCAAGGCCTAGATAGCTCTCTGGCGCTTCCTTCCACTTTTCATACAGGTCCACACCGTTCTTGCCAATGACAGGGAATCGAGGGCGGTATGTGACGTCGAAGCCTGTAGCGCAGACGATAGTATCGACCTTCCTTTCTTCGCCATCTTCTCCCACCACTCCATCTTCGGTGATAGCGCCTACAGCAGTGAAGTGCACGTCAACGTTCTCTTTTTGAATGGCTTCCATGTATGGATCTCCTGGTGTAACACGGCGGCCTGGAGAGAGTTAGTTTCCCTAAGTTTTGGGGGGCTGGGCTTCTTACATCCAACCTCCCATTTCGGTGTGAACCCTTCCAACAAACGCCTGTCCTTGATGAACTCGGCCATCCGCGCCTTGAACATCTCCTGAGCGCCCTTCTGTGCGTCCGAGCCTGCATAGAACAAACTCCACAACCCATTCACCTGATTCTCGATATCTTTTGCATGGGCAACTAGTTGCTTGGGATCCCTTCGGAAAGCGTCTTTCTCCTCATCAGTGTATTCTTTGTTCTGGCCGTAATTGTTCGCAATCTGTACGAACCAAACTCCAGTTCGAACGAAGACGTCTATGTGCTTGACATGAGGCTGCATGGTCGGTACAGTTTGAATAGAAGACGCCCCGGATCCAATCACTGCAACACGATCATTCTTCCACTGCTCTTTCTGATATTCCTCTGGCCAGTATGCGGTGTGTATGACTCGGCCCTTGAACTTGTCTAATCCAGGGATCTTCGGCCATTTGAAGTTATTTAAGATACCTGTCGCGTAGAGAAACAAATCGCACTCTTCAACAAACTCCTTTGTTTCGCTAGATCCCGGGTCTTTTTTCCGAAGCGTCACTTTCCATTTCCCGGTATCGTCTTGCCATTCCGATCGGACAACTTCGGTGTTGAAAGTCATGTACCTGCGGAGGTCAAAAGTGTCGACCACTTTGCGGAGATACTTCTGGATATCTTGAGCATAGGAGAAGAATCGTGGCCAGTCGGGATTTAGAGCAAAGCTGTAAGTGTAGGCGTGCGATGGGATGTCGCAGGCACATCCTATACAGCTCTGTTAGAAGCTGTCTGCCAATTTGTAAATGTTGTAGGGACTAAGAGCCGCCTCGACCAAGGAGAATCTTACCCGGATACCTGTTCTCCAACCACGTGCCTCCTAGGTCAGCGTTCTTCTCATATATGACATGCTCCACATTCTCGCAGTACTTCTGGATCTGGTACGCCATCAAGATGCCCGAGAAGCCGGCGCCAACTGTGAGGACTTTGATATGGCGGGTTGATGGATCCTCCGCCAGTTAGCGGTAAGTTACTCGGAGACATGTAAACAGTCTTACATTGTAAGATATGTCAGGGATGGAATACCCCCCTGAACCTGGGGTAGAGTAGTCCCATTTACCATTAGAGTCAAGAGAGTTCAGATCGGGTGACATTTTTGCTCGATGAATTCTAAGCGTACAGGTGTATTGGAAGAGAAGAGGAGGTGGAGTCGTTCAGTCAAAGAGCAGCCACTACTTGAAGAGAATTTTAGAGCAAGTTGCGATCGTACCTTACACCCGTTAGAAACTGAAGGAGCAAGTTCTAGTTGGGGCGGGTTTTAATAGGAGCGTAGCTCTATCAAGTCTAAACAAGGCGTCGCGGAACTTGACGCGGTGATATCAGAGCGCGTGATTGCTAGAGTAATTGGAGAGCTTGGAAGGTGGGTATAGGTGCCGTCTTACTTCTAGGGATATTCTAGGGTAGTTTTATGTAGGTGGTAGGTTGCAGGGTTTATTATGATCCCTAGTTGCAAGGCACTGTCACTTAAGTATGGCTTCAGAGTTGGGAGAAGGAAGGGAACCCGCTCAGGTACTCCTTCCAGTTGACCAGCCAACATACCTCGGCTGCAACCAGACTTCATCTGGAATGAGTCGCGCAATCTGACATGCCTCTTCCTGGGCGAGCAAAATTCCTAGGCTATGACGTACCTCATAAGGCCATTGTGGAGTTCCGCTTACGTTTACTAAGATCGGATACCTGGCGGGAATGGAACGCGTTACTTTGCGGGGTACACTCCGGGTCACGGTTCCTCCAAGGCTAGCAAAGATTGAAGCTAGAAGCTGTACATGTAGAGGACGTGTAGAACCCTCACGGAGACCTTGACTTGAAAGTGTGCATTGGCAATGGAAATTCGCACCATGGAGATTTAAAATACTGAATGTCGCGCTAGCTACGACTGGACAATTCTATACAATTTTCAGAGTCAGCAGTTTTATGTAGATTAAATTGTTTGCAACGTCGGGCTTACTTATTGTTCTGAAGAGATCGCACCATACCTGGCGCTAGAAGGTGTTTGACGCCATCATCGCTCATCTTTCATGCTGATCGTACCCTGTCTGTTTATCCTTATAAGAACATGGGTGACTGTACGGATGGTACCCTAACCATGGAGGAAATTGGATGCTGTCATACCTGTAGAGTTTAATTTAACTGTTACGAAGGAAGGATGTCAGTCTCTACGTGAGGGTCGTTACATTGTTAGCTTCAATCATTCGACGGGAGTGTTCTTGATGCTCACTACCATAATGGAGGGGCCGTAACAAATTGAAGGTAGAGCTAACGTGACAAGGGAAGGTTGGCGTGAAAATAAGACATCAGAATGCGGTATTCTGGACAGAGCTATCATCATATATCGGGGATAAGAGGACATTGGGGACTAGATACCCAACGGCCCTTTTGAGTTAGCGTAGCCACGTGAGAACACCCACTCCATGAATCAAGGACATCCTCTCACACTTCAGACGTCTAACGACATCCGAACTTCATCAATGCTTGCTTGCCGAAATCCTGGAGACAACAACTGTTTCGTATGCATCCCGCATTGCCGGTTCAACCTTCGGTACGTAGCGCCGATCTGGAATACGGACCCTAGGATCACGAGCCGGTATTTGCGAGTGCGAAGTCATCATCTGTGACCCCAGGTTTCGAGTGAACGGTGGTGCGTCCATCGAAAAGATTTTCTCCTTGCGTAACGCACCGTCATGTACATATGTCCATCCGTAACATATCCAGCTTCACCCCGAGCTTTACAAATTGTTCCATCTCGCTTGCAAGACAGCAAAGCAGTCACGCCTTTGACCACACCACGGACCCACCACACAAATCAACGAAAGCACTCATCGTGAGGGCTAAAATGTGGTGACACAACGACAAGATCGGTATAGCTTTAATTCTCCACGTTATTTGTCGTGCTTCTGGTGTCTTCTCGGTCAAATTCCGCATCTCAAGCCTCATCGGCAGTTGAATCTCAGCTCTTTTGCCGGGAGTCTCTCCCACATTACCCCAAGAATTCGCCCCGTTCCAGCCCTAGGATGCATTGGCCATTCCCATGGGGTTCCGAACGCCCAATCAAGACGGTATTTCCTGCAGATATAAGCGTGGGTCTCCATGTTATGCATTATTGCCCTGTACCGCATTCGTCCCGTCTGTGTGGAGAGCGAGCTTGGAACTAATATATAGCTGACTACATTTCAACGTCGCATTGTAAATTCTTCGCATTTCTGACCAGCGAATTCTTCATTTCTTGCTTATCTGCAGGGCTGCCTCCCTCGCACCGAGCTTATCTTCCTCCACGCCTTTTCTGGTGTTCCTTTGCTACCCTACGCAATGGCGGATGCTAAGAACGAGATCACCCATGTGGATACTTCAACACGCGAGTACATTCACGAACAAGAGATTGGCCATGAAACAGACGTAGTTCTGCTAGATACTGGCGCTGCCCATCTCGAAAAAGGTCAATATGGCCATCTCAAGCTCGCGAAAGATGGACACACCGTACTCATTCCACAGCCGACTGAAGATCCAAATGACCCACTCAATTGGTCGTGGACGAGGAAGCACCTTATGCTCATGGTCGTATCAACGACAGCTTTCCTTGGCGACTACGGAAGTGGAGCTGGGATCCCTCTCATCGTCCTCCAGGGGGAGGAGTGGGGTTTGTCTCCAGCCAAGGTCAATGAAGCTGGTAATCTTAATGTGCTTATGCTGTAAGCTATTGTACTGAAGACATCACTAAACCTAGACTAATATACATAGTGGCATCGGTGGTCTCTTCTGGATTGTAATCTCATCTTGGTGGGGGCGAGCCCCCGTCATGTTCTGGTCTACTCTTTCCGGCACACTCTTCACACTAGCCTGTGCAGTCACCGATAGCTTCCCCGTCTTCTACGGATTTCGAGCAATGATGGGCCTTACATTGACCGCATACCAAGTCGTCGGATTAGCATGTGTTAAAGATATGTTCTACTTCCATGAGCATGCACGAAAAATTGGAATCTGGGTGGCTATATTCATCCTTTCACCCTATCTAGGTCCTTTTTTCGCCAACTTTATAATCGCAGGGGTGGGAGATTGGCGTCCAGTCATGTGGCTTGTGTTTGCTATGGGATGCGCTGACCTAGTCCTTATCGTTCTCATTTGCGACGAAACATACTATGAGCGCAGTATTCCCATTAACCTACAGCCACCAAGACCCCAAACCCTCGGCGGTCGACTTTCGCGCGTACTTGGAATATGGCAGATTCAACATCATAAAGGATACTTCAAGACCTGTTGGCACTGCTGCAGCCGCCTGTTATCTACTTTCCTCAAACCTATCATCATCCCCGCCATGCTGTACTAGTAAGTTCCGCAATACCACGCCCATGCCGCAGACTAATAGTAACATTAATAGTGCGATGAGCTTTATGTGGGCCGTCGGTATTAATATCACTAGCACCATCCTTCTTGAAACCCCAACTGTGGCTGGCGGATACGGTTTTGGACCAAAAGCCGTCGGGTTTCTCTACTTCACACCACTCGTAGCTGTTTCTCTTGGCGAAGCCTTCGGCCACTTCTTCAACGACTGGGTCGCCAACCGCTACGTCCGCAAACACGACGGCATTTTCAAACCAGAAGCACGTCTTGTCACCAACTACATTGCAGCCGCATTCATGATTCCCGGACTAATCATCGTCGGGCAAACGCTCGAGAAGCACTTGAGCTACGCAGGCATCATTATGGGTTGGGGGATGTACGTTTTCGGGGTCATGTTGGCAACAGTCGCAATCACAGCGTATGCGTTGGACTCGTATGGAACTGCTAGTTCGGAGGTATCCGGTCTATTGAATTTCTCTCGAGGTAAGCACATTATCCCTTGTTAAATCATGCATGCTGATCTAGTCACTCACAGTAATCGCCGGGTTTTCCGTTGGTTATTTCCAACAGCCTTGGGGCGCGAAAAGCGGATTTGGGCTCTCTTTTGGCATCCAGGCCATTATTGTTGCTATTGCCATCGTCATTATTGCTCTGCTTCAGGCGTTTGGAGGACGGATGAGGGCAAAGGGTGGCCCTGTTGTATAAGCAGAGATGCGATAGAGATTCGATAGAGATTCGAGAGGTTGTGCCTTGTACATGGCATCTGTATATAAGGAGTGTGAAAATATGACTTCATCTCCACACATTTCCACTCATATAACAACAGCACACTCGCGATGACGAAGGCTATATACTACGTCTTCTCACCATGGCTTCCGATAGTAACTCCGTGAGGGCTGCAAATGATCACACCAGCCACAGTCGCCCTTCAATCGATGAAGCCAATGTAGCGTATCTAGGGTGAAGGGGGGACAGCGACACATCTGCAACACGCGATAAAATGATGTCAAGAAAAGGAAGCACTCATAGCGCACTTGTAGAAAATGAGCAGGAGGATGTGTGTGAAGTGAACCGTGGAGTTTGCGGGGTTCTCTACCTCGCGGATCTTTTTTTTTCACACTAGATATAAGATTTCTTGTTCATTGTCGATATCTTCAACCACTTTCAGATACTACAACTGTAACGCTGGAATCAGGCACAGCAGGCAACACCTCTCGACCACCCACTTGAAAAGTGCCAGGTTAGCCTGAGAACCAACGTGCCGTCGCTCCAGCCCAAAGTCGCGTCTCCAACTCCAGATCGTCTCCCTACTGCATCTTGTCACCCAACGTGGAACATGATACGAGTGTTTTAGGACAAATATTTGCATTTTCTTAAAACTCTCCCTGATTCCAGCAAGGGGTTCAAGAGATATTAGGCTCTACCCTGGGTACGTTCCACGTTGAATAAGAAAGGCGCAGTACGCGTCATTCAAACGTCACACTCCTTCATCCACTTCTCAGCCTCCTCCTTAAACTCTGGCCGCCACCTCGTCAACGGCGGCCTGCCATCCACAATATCCCCCACACCCCACAACATTCGTTTCTTATCTGTTGTCTCGCTGACGTCGTCGTCCGGACAAATTATGTAGAACTTGCCGTCGGACATCTTTTGATACATGTAGTCGGCGACTTGGGACGGGTCCCAGGCGCCGTTGGGCTTAGGCTTGGAGTCGCCGGGGTAGTTACCGGACTGTGTAGAAGGGTTAGTGAGCGGTTTCGAGTAGCGAGGAGGGGTTAGAGTAAAGGGAGGGGAAGGGTGTATGGTGACGGGCGGTTGGTGATGTTGCGAGGGTAAGAGGTGACATGCACGTGGCTTCGACCAAACACATATATGGAAGGCAGATAAGATAGGCGAAACTCCTGTATGACGGAGTGGCAAACTTACCAGACCTGTGAACGTCCACCCGGGAACTAGTAAATGCACAGACGTCTTCACCTCCCTTAGGTCGAAACTGAGATGCTCGGCTAAGGTCTTTACAGCGGCCTTACTTGCATTGTACGCTGCATTGCCAGGTGGATTCGTGATTCCTTGTTTGCTGCCTGTAATGACGATCGCAGATGGCTTAGTGTTGGACATTGCTCGTTTTTGGAAAGATGGAACAAAGGCGTTGAGCCCGTTGACCACTCCGAAGAGGTTCGTGTCCATGATCTGCATCCAAGGTTAGCGTGTGCATTGTTGCAGTTCTGTCCATCCTTCGCTGACGATCAAAGGATCTTGTGAACACGTTACAGGCCGTATGTTGGTCTGGGCCGTCGTGGTTGGACTCTGATGCTTTGCTCAACCCCACGTGCAGAGGCCACGCCACCTCCAACCGCCTTCGCACTTCACGCACCTTATGGAAGTAGTCCGAATCACCCCAAGTCCCCTTCCCCCCAACCCCAGCGTTAAGCATCAAAAAGTCAACCTCTCCAAACTTCTTCTCCACGCTCTCTTTCATGCCCTTCCAATCCTGTTCTTTTGACACGTCTAGGTTAAATGTTTCAACATCTTTCGAATCCAGAGTTTGACTCGCAAGCTTCAGCGTTTCGGTGTTGCGATCCACAATAGCAACTCGCATCTGATGTTTCAGACAGAGTTGCGCAACCGCCAGACCAATCCCGCTAGAACCGCCCGTAATCAGAGCGATACTACCTTTTTGGAACACGGACATGGTGCAAAATTCAATCTTGCTATATGTATTACGACAAGCAGGCGTCTTCGGCCGCGCACAAGCACCGACGTATATAGCGTATCTAGATGGTCGGTTGGGGTGGTGTTGGTGCACGCCTGGTTAGGCAGTTCGATTCGTATCCGACGAGCAAATCCCAGGTATCGGACTTTGAGAGGCTTGGAACGGAAATTGTCGCAGGTGAGAGAGCGGGTGAAAAGCGGGACCCTGGGGCCTGAGGAGGTGCCTCTCGTGTTGGTTAAAAATATGCCGATAATAAAGAGAGGAACGTCAATGGACCCCGCGGTGGGGGATGATGCGAGGGGTTATCCCCGTGCTCCGCGTCTTACCTCCAGAAGGGGAATTGAAGCCAAGTTTAGAGCAGTGAAAATTTAGCACCTTTATGTCAAGAAGCCGAAGCATGGCTTTTTTGGTGTTGCTGCAATGTTCTCTAGAGCGTGAAGGCATAATTCGCTACCTGCTGAAAGCAACAAAAGTGTGCCAAGTTGTAATGATCCTGACAAATTCGATGCGATCACAGCCTACATCCAAGAAGTGGAGAAGTAGAAACCAAAACAAAAATAAAAATAAAAAAAGATTGACCCGTACCTGATTCGAACAGGTAGCCTTCAGGATTTCCCGAATTCGAGACTGGAATCTGACGCGCTACCATTGCGCCAACGGGCCTCAGCAACCAGCCACTGTATTATTCGCTGACCACAGGCTGAAGTGCCAACATGTACTCATAAGCTGATTGATATGTTTCTCAAAATTTAATGTTATATATCTACAAAAAGTCCATTTCGCCAATACACTACCACCTTGTGAGTGTTGACTCACTGCTCAGTTGCACTGTGGAGTCCATAGCTGAAGAATTTTAAACCCCGCAGTAGGACGTGGACCGAGGTGGCTCACCGCTCCTGTTTAGGCTGAAAGTTCCTCCACTCCCGAAGATTTCTTAATCACGTACATTTCTATTCTGTCAATCTTTCTACGGAGAACATAGAACATGTAAGAAGAGAATTGATGCCACTAACTTTACTGTGGCTTTCATCGGCGCGGCAATGATTATTCTTTGGCGTATATCGTTTGTGCTCTTTTGTAAACTGGGAAACATACTAAGTCAGATGGTTCAAGATAATGACCGAAATCGTATTTGTGCCTATTTGTTTACATTGTATCATGCCATGTCTTGTGGCACAGTTTCTAAGATGCCATGTGTCCCAAAGTCCCCGTTTCTAGCCACCCAGTAACCGCAAGCGAAAGTGGTATCGTAAAGTATGAATAAAGAAAGTAATAAAAGAACAATTCCGAAAAGCCCTTCGTTCATATTTATACACCATTCGAATTCTTGGGATGAACACCGTCATCACTTCGAAGTAGTTTGGAACATAATTGGAAGATGCATGCTTCGAAAGCTAGCCGGTGTCTTCGGAGTCTTCGGCGAAGGAGGGACGGAGGCGGGATTTAGTAGGAGCGGGGTTGGTGGGAGCGCTTTCATCCGGTGATCATGGATAGGTCGTCGTTCCCATTCTGATGACGGCTTCCGATACGGAATCTCTTCGATGCTGAGGTGAGTTTTGCGCCAAGTTGCCCTACTCTCAGTCTTTGGAGACGAGAGGGAACTAAACCCTCTCATGTTCGGTGTAGCTATCGTTGCGGTGTCGTTGATGTCCGGAACGGTGAAATGGCGATATACTGTGAAGAGGGACGGCATACATGGAATCATGAGTCCGAGAGATAACTCCGCTACACTATAATAATAAGGTCAGCGTTTAGGAGGCAAGGAAAGACGCAGACCGGATCGTACAAGACGACATAGAGTGGAATTTGAGTGCCCGTAAAATCCGGTGATCTCCAAGACATGATGCGATATATCAAGCCAAGGAGACTACAAACGCACATTCTACAATTGATCAGTATCTGTGTCGCAAACAAAGGAGTTGAAGTACTAACGTCAATCCACTGCAAACGATAGCAAAGACCCCGATTTTCTGCTTTAATGGGATGTTTAGAGAGATCACAGATGGTAATGGAATAATTAGGAGGTAAACGTCGCTTGCTAAGTTCACAATCCCCAAAAGAATACTGGCGATCGCGTTGACGCCGGTCGCTGAAGAACACTGCCCACGATTGAAGCCATTAAGATATGACTCGGTATCGGTGCTGGGTCGAGGTCCACATGAAACCGCAACGATGATGGAGTATGCCATAAAAAACAGGCCTGTGGTGATGAGTCCAATGTAGGCGCAGTTTTTAAGCCACCGGACGGAACCAAACGCGGACAGGATCGAGCAGAAGAGCGTCAACTTTAGCAACCAAAGTACAGGGCCTAGTGATATTGAAAACACTAGAAGATGCTGAGCGAAGTTAGCTGTAATTAAGTCCCTCGAATTACTACATTTTACTCACGAGGGCTGATGACTTGTCCATAGCAGATGAATTGACGTCCCAGGCGTGGTATCCGTTCGGCTTTGTAAGAACGACTACGTAGCTAATCAGAAATCTGGATGGTACGAATCAAGGTATGCAGAAGATCCACCAAACTCACTTGAAATTTCAAATGATATTAACGCAATTACAACCGGCTAACAGGGTGAATATTGTTAGTTTACAGCCATGCCGACAAGGGAACTAAACATACACAACTAATGCAGTATACATCTATCGTATGTTAGCGCTCCTGAGCTCTAAAAGGACAAACTCGGAACGTACAATCCTCAAGCTTCCATTTCTTGAGAATGGCCAGCTTTGCATAGATTCGCACAGCTGTAAAGGCCAGAATAAGGGGAAGACAGATCCCTGCTGTGACTAACACTGGCGTCCCCATGAAAGATGGGTTGGAAAAGTTAGAAACCACACCCTAAAGCAATGTGAGAACCATCCTAAGATGCGTATAGATGACGTACCAGAGGGGGTGCTCGAAGTGGGACTTCCATGAGCGCATCTCCAGTCGCTACTGGAAGGACACTGGAGGTGCTAGACGACATGAGCGTCAGGACAGGTGGAGGGGTCTCCACAATTTAAGAATGCAGCGTAAGCTCGTGCGGAACTCGCACGTAATGTACGTTCAATGGATATTGCCCCGCCTGGAGTACAAGTAGACCAGAAGTAATCATGCGGCGTAGAGGCTTGAAAGGCCATAAGGCCATACTTTTACCTGCTTTCACTCTCGTCAATGATGCTAGCCCCAGACTGTTGCACACTTTTCTTATCGAGGAAGGAATAGACTGCAGATAGGATAAGGCAGAAGGGTTTGATCTTCGGGCTAATCCAGTTTCATTTCAAGTTTGATCACTTTGAACTCGGAGCGGCCCGTCAGCTGGGTAAGGCGCAACGTGGGATTCGGCGAACGGGAGTCAAAAGAGGACATGCGAGTGGTTCCAGGATGGGGCCACTGTTACCGTGCCACTCTAGGCACAGCGGACATGGGACTTTGAGCTCGGTTGGCTGCTTATGACTACTATCTTGCATTGACCAAATGGTGCTCCAGTCGCCGATTTCGGGCGAAGAGATGGTTCACATGGGTGCCATTCCTAGCGGCAGGTACTGGTATCGATAAGATGCAGGCACAGGAAGGCTTAGTGCTGCTTGTTGTTTGAGAAGATCACTCCGTAGGATCAACAGCCTGAAGGGTCCCCGGGTCCTTCTTCCCCGGTCTGGATGCACTCTTTTCCCATGTGCGCCAATGATATTATAGACGTGAGTGCTCGACTGCCGTTGACTATGGTGACAAGGGTTGAGATGATGGGTTTGGAATCCAACGGTCAAGCAACCTGCCAGGAGGTTTCTACGTAGCCTCTTCCTAGAACCTACTGGGACATCCTCTTGGTCGTAAAAATGGCAGTATGCCTCAGGGTGCAATGGGCTTATACTATGCCATGTCGTTCAGCCAAGGGGGTCATATGACTGCATGGTGATTTTACGACCTACGAATTTGGCCAGGCGCGCGAGAAGTGGTTTCTTGACGATTCTCTTTTCGGGCATTCTTGATACGACTCCCCGGGCCTTTGAACCGCTGCATGCCAAATCGTGCTAATTATCGTCGGACTTCGATCCAGAAAACAACAACAGTGGGATATTGCTCGTCCACATGCATCGACTCCTTGCGAGATTGGGTTGCGTCAATGTGAGTGGCTGGATAGACTGGTACAGGTGCGGGTGGTTGCCAGCGAGATTGAATGCGGGTATTCACCCATTCGCAAAGCCACGTTCTCGTGATGGTGGTCAGGAATCCGCGAGGTCGGCTTGTGGAATCCTGCAGAAGGATGAGACGTTCACGGCGCTGCATGCACGGGCCGTCCCACGCCACCAACCAACGGGGCGGTGCCTGAGTGCACGCCTGCAGTTTTGTCGTTTCCTCACTTGTCAACCTCACCGACAGCATCCATAGATCCTTTCCCATCACTACCCGCACGACACCTTCTCAACTCTCTCGCGCAACATTACAATTGCGCAATAGCCTTTCACCCCCTATCGATTAAGACCACCAACGAGTCCAAGATTGCAACAATGCTATGTTGTATATAGCACTCGCGGCTCCTGAATGCCCTTTCAGTTGCCACCCTCGGTGAAATGCCCCACTACCTTGCTAGCCTCTCAATGTCCGCCCAGCGCCAGCTTGAGACTGGAACCTAAGGTCGACATCCATTGCACTCTCTTCATGCTGTAGAAATGTTTCAATCATCATTCCCCCGGTTTCGCTTGAAGTGCCCTACTCCCTTGGATGGATTGTCGCCATTCGCCCTGTATTCCTATTTCTAGCCCCCCCAATTATAAGGACTACGCATAATTCCCTCCATATTCCCGGTCCTCATCCGAGGATCCTGAGCCGTGTGATTTCTCGCCACGGGCATATCATTCATGATTCTGGCCAGGACGGGAAAGAGAGACCAAGCTGATCTATTTGCCTAGAGTCGAGTGCTACGGATCTTGAGCGTTCAGCAATCTGTCAGAATCCAGGGTTAGAAGGTTGAGACGGAGGCGACCTTGCTTGTCATCCTAAACGTGGCTCAAGATTACAGTCTCAGGTGTATCCGACTCCTGCCAAGACGCATAAATGTAGCGCTCTCTTCAACAAATTCTTAGTGGTCATTGGTGAGAAGCGGCTTTCCTTTCAGTCGTCAATCCACGAACTAAAGTCACCAGGCCCGGAATTCGGGTTCAGTTGAGCGCTTAGGCAAGCTACGAACAAGTGTGACCGCAAAGACCCACTCTGTGTAACACCCAACATCCGGTTGTTGTCTCTTACGAGATATCACCTGTTCAATTTCTCCTTTCGCGCCCAAAAAATCGAAGACACTCGGATACGAAGATCAATTTCATGAGGCTCAGCCTTTCCCAATTTCAAGTGCTTTCACGACAGCTCCCGGAGCCGAACCTATGGCTGTGCTGAAGTATGAGAACTATACCGTCAAATCCGACGTGCTTTCGGAGCTGCCACTAAGCACACCAACTTGCATTTCTATCCTAATTGTGAACCAATGGTGATCATTTCTACTCAAAATGCGCTACGTTGTCCAGAATGCTTTGGCCTTGCTTTTGGGGTTTCTTATGGAGAAAGAATAGCGTATTTTAACCCAGAAATGACAGGAATGCGCGGGTTGGCCTCATCTCGGTAAAATCATTTCAACCCACAACAAGCCGGTGACAATCTATGATTCGCAAGGCCAACTCTCCGACTCACTCTCCGACTCAGCAACTTCCCGGACTTAATTTAGCCTCGGATGATTAAGTTCGACTCACGTTGATGGAGCAAGGTGCAGGAACCAGCGTTGTGACAAATTGATGAAGGTTTGATAGTTGCCTCGCACATCCGAGTCTATGATTCACGACATCCATAGGGGACCAGGAGTGAGTACTTCAATGTATATCCGTTCATGGCTGATTATTACTAACCCAGGCTAGATGAGGACGCATCTAAGAAAGATTCCGCGCCATTTTGTGGGGCTCTCCTGTCTAACGATGGAGCTTGACCACAACTCCAGGATCTACCGTGAATACACAGCTCAAGGGCTGTCATCTGAAAATTGCCGCCAGTATATGTATTATTGCATAGGTGCTGGAAAACATGGACCTGGACTTAGGTTACGTAAATTCGAGCAATGCTCACAATGATGCTCTCGCAACTTCTCGTCTCTGTGGTGACTTTGCTCCCAGTTATCACAGCCTTTCCGCATGTCCAGCCGTTTGAAGCGCTGAAACGGCAAGCTGATGGTCGAGACCAGAGTCCAACAAATTTTCTCCAAGCTGATCTTGGGTATGGAATATACGAGGGCGCTGCTAATTCATCGACTGGCCTAATCACATTCAAAGGGTAGGCTAGCCCCTAACACAACCCGTGCCAAACCAAAAGCGAGCAGAATTCGCTTTGCAGTAGCACCTATCGGCTCACCTCGATGGCAGGCACCTCAGCCACCTGTTCAAAACCGAAGTCCGGCCATATCTGTAGCTTCCTTCGCACCTCAATGCACCTAGAGCCTAGTCACAGCATCAGCACATTCATTTCAGTCAGGCGACGACGATTGCCATTTGTTGAACGTGTGCACGCCTCAAATTCCTCCAATTTCCCCGTTCTAGTGTAGATACATGGTGGAGGATGTACGGTCAACCCCATCCAATTATGCCTAGGAAGAGAGCTACATAGATTTCGGATGGAGTCGGCAGCGGACAACAAGATATGTCTGCGATCATGAATGCCAACAAGCACTGGCTTTATCTGAATTACCAACACAGTATCGCGTAAGTATATTATGGATAGTTTGAACTCATTTGCTAATGACAATAGATCGACGCTTTTTTTGTCCTTTCGTCAGATGAAATTTTAGGAATGGGGTTGTAAACGCTGGAATCCTGGACCAAATTTTTGCCTTGCAATGGGTTCAGTCTTACATGGGTCTCTTCGGCGGAAATGCCTCGCGAGTTACGATATCTGCCCTATCAGCGGGTGGAGGGTCTGTGATGCTGCAGGATATTATATATGGTTGCACTCTGGGGACTGCTCTTTCCGTCAATGTAAGCACCACCAGCAAGCACAACTCTGGCTACGAGCTAATTATTTGAGTGTAGTTGATATCAGCGTCTCCTTACTGCCAATGCAATATGGCTATAAAGACTGAGTCCCTTCCCTGTTGTGCTATACTTTTGCGACAGCCGCTAGCTGCCGGCCAATGTTTGCATATGGCACTAGTCCGCAGACTATATTCCAATGTCTGATCTCTCAAGACACCAAAACTCTCTAATAGGCCTCTTACTTGGTCTCTGGTTCTGGAACATACGGTACCTGGGGGTCCTGCCTACGGGAGACGGCGTTTTCATCCAAGAAACAGCGTGTGAAGCCTTACTCAAACGGAAAGTAAATAGTCTTGACCATCTCCCCGGAAACAATGCAGAAGAAGGGCGTCATTCACTAGGCAAAATGTCATAGCGGAAAACGATCTTGTAGTTTGGATTCGTCTCGTATTCCTGCTCTTCACGACCGATGACATTGCGAAATTGCTCTCTACTACCCTTCGCAAAACGGCTCCGTCAGCAGTAGCAGGCTTCCACAGTTTGCGACATCCGGGGACATGGGCTTCACAGCCTTAAACATCAGCCAAACTGACCGAAGCCTCTAACAAAGAGCAAACAACATCTATGCAGAAACAGCATGCATCTGCTCCTCGTACTGGCTTGCCGAAGCCTACAACAGCCGCAGTAAAGCTGCACAGGAGCGGGATATAAATACCAGTACTCTGTTCCCAACGCGACCCACGGCTCTAACTCAGCTACATATTTTAGTCCACTCACGCTAAATCAAGGACCGGACTTCGTTACGGCATTCTCATGTATTTGGGGAAACTTCATCAGGCATAACGACCAATCCATCTCCTAGGCTATAGCCAATGGAGCAAGCTCGGACTCAACTACGAACATTGGGTTGGAGAATTGGCTGCTGTTCACGTTGCATAGTCCTATTGAGGCGAATTTGAATGAGACGGGGGGGAAGGTGTTTGAGGTTCCGACCGCCTTAGGGTGAATTCTACGGAGTATAATTTTTCGACGAGCGTGCATTCTCTAGTACCTGAATAATTTCGATGAACGTTCAGAATGAGAACTGGAAGCGCCTGTTATGGTACTATTGGAAAGGTTGGGGGCAATTCAAAGACTTGTATACCACATATTATCTCACAACAGATGCCTTCAGGTGATGTCCTATTCTCCAATGTTCGAGGAACCTTCCGAATTTCCCAATTCGGGTTACCGTCCATTGCCGAGCAATATCGGGGAATCATCCGCATTTCCGCCGAGAGCTTCGAAGCTCGAAGCTGACTGCCCATGAAGCTCGTCGCAAAATTCCCTTCCACGCCTCCGCATCTCCCTCAATCTCCGCCATGAACACAATTGCGCCTCCACCCCAAATAAAAAGGCTGCCACCGGGCAAGCGTGCCTTTGGCATCTTCCTGGGGTTAGTTGGCGGCGGCATCACCAATGTCGCAATAGGATACGCAGGATTCTCGTTCTGGACGCGACAGACGAAATTCGTGCCCTACGACGCCTCATCCTCGGACCTCAAGAGTACAATTGCGCGGAAACACAATCCAGGGAGTAATCCGCCGATATGCATCGACCACGCCGTCAAGACGATCCCGCTGAACAAGTTGAAGACGGCAGATCAGAGGGAGCTTACCACGGCTTTTTGCAGAGGTGTATGGAGTGGCTTGGGATATGCATACCAGAGGAGATATATGGAGAGGAAGTATCGGGCGTTGCCTGGACGGGAGGATCATTTGTGGACGAGGGACGAGCTGGCGAAGAGCGAGTATCCGGTCGGGACTAAGATTACGGATCATTTCGAGGTGTTGGAACACACGCCTGAGAGGGTATGCATCCCACCTAGTTGCGCTCAAAAGACGCATGCGAGCTATGAACGGTGGCTTTAAATGCTTTGCGCTGACGCTGTGTAATAGGTGATTGTGCGCTGTGGTGACTCGCCCCTCAACGTTGACCCCCGCCCGAGCGACGGCCTCTTCTTCATGGAAGTAACGAAGGACGACGAGGCACAGACGGCAACTTTCCATTTGAAAAGCATATTCGTGAATACTGCCCCGGAAGGTAGGACTATGGAGCCGTTGCCCTGGCACTTCCAGTTTGCACACCGACTGTACACCAAGTTATGGATGGAAACTGCGACCAGGAAACTGCTCAGGTAGGAGGTCTAATAAGAATGCTCGCAACGGCTCGGATTTCTCATCTGCCGAGGGCCCCTGGGGAGTCTGTCAAGGCTCGACCATCCCACGAGGCACAGCCTCAATGCTCCGGACTGCTCCGCAATTCTCTGGCATGGATCTCTGGCATGAATCTCTGGCATGGAGCTCTGGCGAGGGGACTTGCGCTTGTATATATTAAAACCCGCTATCTGGAAATCAAACGACAATGGAGTGGATCTGTTTCGACAAGGCAACCGTCAGGCTCACAGAAGGATTCAAAAGCTCTTGAAACCTCGCTCTTCATTGGGGGAGTCAATAGTTCAGATTGGCCCATTTCAGCTAGACAAGCGAGTTCGAAAGATACCAACACGAGCTCCGAGCGTTCGAATCTGGCAACCGTAACAACACAATATACAGTTATCTCACCGCAGACGTTCCAACAGGCCACTGTATCGATCCTATGTAGCGCTAATTGGTGGGAATTCTATCACGTGACAATCCGTACAGAATCTGTCGCAGTAATCATGCGTCACGACGTGTGTCAGAAACGACTGACGCGTCGCCGGCTCCACCAAGAAACGGGAATAGTCTCTGCGACCATTGCGGTAACGAGAATGCGGTTGGGCTAAATGCTTAAAAGGGTGGGGTATTTTGGGTAAGTTGCGACGCTTCTGCGCATGTAGGTGATACTTTAGATGTGGTAGGTCCGGCCTGGTGGCGTGGTAGTTCCTTCGTTTATCTCAGCACTCTTCTCTCGCTTTATCGATATACATATACTGCGACGTCGATCCATTCCTCTCGTTGTCAAAGCCAGTCGTTAGCCCATTGTACTCTTTTGAATTTCTGAACTTGTTGAACAACGCGCGCTGTTATCTGCTCTTTGCTACCTTCGAAATGGCGCCCTTTGGCGTTCCGAACACAATGCCATCAGATGAGAAACGAGGCGCAACATCAACCGCGATTCCATTATCGCCGTCACCGGCATATACAGAGACTCCTCGTTACAGAAATACTGCACCTAAAGAATATTCAAGACTAAATCCAAAGAGATGGAGATGGAGGGCATGGCTCAGCATCGCTGCCATAACAATCATCATCATCATTGCAGCTGTCGTAGGAGGAGTCTTAGGCATACGAGCGAACGCATATCCCAACTATTCAAAACTCAATTACAAGCTACAAGACACATGTTCGACCCCTCTAATACCTCTACTTCCTTGAATTATCATGTTAATATCGCATAGATTCCGGAAACGACTTCTTCTCCAACTTCGATTACTTTACGGGCTATGACCCCGCCCACGGCTTCGTCCACTACGTCGACGGCCCCGGCTCAACCGCCACAAACCTCACCCAGGTCGCCAGCAACGGCTCCGCAATCCTCCGCGTCGACACCTCCGATACAAACGCCACCACTGGCCGCCGCTCCGTCCGCATAACCTCAAAGAAACAATACACGTCCGGCCTCTTCATCTTCGACATCCTACACTCGCCCTATGGCTGCGCAACCTGGCCCGCGCTCTGGCTCACTGATCCCGCAAACTGGCCCGCCAACGGCGAAATCGACGTCATGGAAGCCGTAAACGAGGGGACAAGTGGTAATCAAATCACCCTGCACACCCGCAACGGCTGCTCGATCGGGAAACACAGGAAGCGAAAGCAGACGGGCAAAGCGCTAAGCTACAACTGCTACAATGGCACCAACTCTAACGAAGGCTGCGGCGTACAAGGCCCAACCTCGTCCTTCGGCGCCGCCTTCAATGCCCTCGGTGGTGGCATCTACGCAATGGAATTGCGATCTGCCGGGATTCGCGTCTGGATGTTTGCCCGCAATGCCATTCCCACCGACATCACCAATAAATCTCCAGATCCGTCGACCTGGGGCACCGCCATGGCGGATTTCCCAAATCTGGAGTGTGATATTTCAAGCCATTTCAAGAACCAGAGTATTATTGCTAACATCGATTTGTGTGGCGACTGGGCGGGTAGGGCGGAGGTATTTGATCAGGGCAGTTGTAGTGGTTTGTGCACGGACTGGGTCGCGGAGAAGGCGGAGAGCTTCAGGGAGGCGTATTGGGAGTTTGGCGGGTTTTGGGTTTATGGAGCGGAGTGAATGGGATAGAAGGAGATTTTTTTGGGGGGGAGTTGTTTTTTTGGATATGGATTGTGAGGCTGGGAAGGAAAGGAGTAATGGGATTGGATGGATGGTCGCTGAGTTGATATTTATAATGACTTGCAGCGTCTTGTGGGAGGGGGTTTCTGAATACCGGATTAGAGTTTGTAGATTAGGACGGGATATCAAGTCCATAGCTTAAGCGTATCATGCTGTTTTCAACTAAATGATTTTCAACTCCGAAACAACATCAACCCTTCCTCCTCTACATCAATGCCCTCATCCCCCTCTCGCCCAGCTTCCCCATCACTCTGCTCCTCCTCACCCAACCCAACCCTCCTACCAAATAAACTCCCGAACAATTCCTCCCTCTGCCTATCCCCCCACGATCCCCTCTCCTCCGGCGCCATGAAGTTTTGCAGCTTCTCATGCACTGTATATCTCAACTTCCGCCCCTTACTCGCCCTCGTATCCACGATCTTCTTGGTCTTAGCTTCGCGTGCAACCTGCCATGGGGCTTGGACGATGAATTCAGCACCGCTAGCAGTCGAAAGATCAGCGGAACGCTGCTCGAGGAGCTCTTTCAAGAGTAGGCCGTAGAAGCCTGCGTCATCGTAGATGTGTTCTGATGGAGGGGCATTGGCGGCGGATTGGAGAGGTGCACAAGACCGCGGAATTTGTGTGCGTTTTACAAGGCGTGTGGAATCGGATAGTTGAAAATTGAGTACATCGGTGAGAGTTTGTTGGGCGCTAGTGTTTAGACGCCCTTTTGAGTTAGAGAGAGAAACGCCTTTGGTTTTGGTAGACCATTTCTCTAGGACGGCTTTGCGGTGGCCGAGGTTTGGTGGTTCTGCTGAACAGATGCTTGACCAGATTTTGTTGGAGGGGCTTGAGGATGTGAATGGGGCTGGTCGTTTACGCTTTTGGCCTGTTCGGGCGGAGTCTAGGGTTGCGCGGAGGTTGGTGAGGTTGTTTAGGAGAGTGAGGGCGGCGGCTTCTGCGGATGAGATCGCAGAGTCTGAGGCGGTGGTTTTGCTGCATGTTTCTGAGCTCATAGAATTGGTAGAGATCAAGGCCTTTTGCAATCGGATTCGGGTATTGAGAAGGGAGTCGAATGCTTTCCTCTGAGCTTTGACAGCCTGGCCCTTCTCGACATCCGCTTTTGCGGCTCGTGATATGGTGGCCGTTACGTTGCTCTGCTCTTTCATCATCTCGCGGAGTTTTGTGCTCCGGTTAGCGGTTTCGTCTGCTGAGTCACTTTCAGCATCTTCCTCGCCCTCATCCACATCATCTTCATCCTCGCTATCCTGGTCTGCGCTATCCATTTCTTCGTCAGAAGCACCATCTTCATCCACAAATCCCTTCTCATTCTCGTCAAGTGACTCCTCATCTTCGTCGTTTCCCTCGCCATACCCAATACCACTCCCATTCCCATTGAATATTTTCCCAACCGCCTCATCCTCGCCTTCCTCGCTGTCCTCAACATCAAATCTCCTCGCAAATGGATCATCACTATCCTCATCTTCCGCAGCGTCTCTGCTAATCCTCGAGCCCTCATATTGCGGCCCCAGAGGTACGACTTCCCGCTTCCTCAATTTACTCTTCAATACATCGGTGTAGTGCTCCCGTCCAGCCTGTATATCTTCTTCACTGCCGGAAGCTGAGTTTTCATCGTCACTGGAGTCGGGTGCGGGATCGAGGAGGGATTCGGGGTCGAAATCTAGGTGTTGGGATTAGAAACGGCCAGAAATAAGCACGAGGTAATTATACCTACCTCTGAGTTTAGATTTTTTCATCTTAAGCCACCCTCAGTAAATTAGTTAGGCGTGGATGCAGATAGTTCGTACAGTTTCTGCACACAGAAAAGTTCGACCTTCCCGGGCCGACTGTTTTTCCGAGCCGAGGCGCTTTACTTATCGATATCACAGCTAGCTCGCAGCCAGACACCAGGCCACTCATCTTGGACCGGAAATCATGAAACCGCGGTTATTCTCCACACTACGGTGTCTTCATCATGAAAACCCCTTGGTACGCCTGCAATGCTTCAATTGGCCTATTCCAGCCATTAACGACTTCAGGGTCTTCCACGGTCCGGCGCCCCGCCTCAGATCCCTCGCATGCAGAGAGGATTGCCACAGAAGAGGGATATTAAAGATGTGAAGAAAGTGGTAGCCGTGAGTTCGGCGAAGGGTGGGGTTGGGAAGTCAACAATAGCAGGTATTATCCCCAGTTACAGGTCTTTATCATCTCAAGATACTAACAGAGTGTCAAGTCAACCTAGCCCTCTCCTTCGCCCGTCGCGGCCATCGCACCGGCATCCTCGACACTGACATCTTCGGTCCCTCGATCCCCACACTCCTCAATCTATCCGGCGAGCCTAGGCTATCGAACAGTTCGTCCGTTCTCCGTTCTCCCCTTCCATCTCTCGCCTCAACGCTATCCCATCACTCACAATGACCGGCCATAGACAACCAACTCCTCCCCCTCTCAAACTACGGCCTAAAATCCATGTCCATGGGCTACCTCATTCCTGAAGCCTCGCCCGTTGCTTGGCGGGGGCTCATGGTCATGAAAGCCCTACAGCAACTCCTCCACGAAGTCGACTGGGGCGGCCTCGACATCTTAGTCCTCGACCTCCCTCCCGGCACTGGCGACGTCCAGCTCACCATAACCCAACAAGTCCACCTCTCAGGTGCCATTATAATCTCCACGCCGCAAGACCTCTCACTCAAAGACGCAACGAAAGGCGTAGCACTGTTCCGCAAAGTCAATGTCCCGATTTTGGGCCTCGTGAGTAATATGAGTAGTTTCGTGTGCCCGGGTTGTGGAGGTAAGCATCCGATTTTTGGGCCGCTGGGGAAGATTAGGGAGATGTGTGGGAGAAACGATTTGACGCTGCTTGGAGAGATACCGCTGCATCCGAAGATTTGTGAGGATGCGGATCGGGGGAAGCCGACTGTTGTTGCGGATCCGGATGGGGAAGAGGCGAGAATATTTAATAGCATTGCGGATACTGTTGGGGAGTTGATAGGGCTGGGGAAATAAGGCTGTTCATGGCTAACAGATGTACAATAATCTGTGGTATGTAATAAGTATACATGAGAAAGCGCTCCCTTGCATCTTAACTAATTATGTCTGCCTACGATGCAAATGTCTCGCATCCAATACAATAAGCCTAGTTTATTACCTCTCGCCACTGGTGCTGAATACTTCGGAGGCCACCAGGGCTTTAAATCCTTGGCGTTTGTTAATAACCTGATTTCAATTCATGACCACTCTATTCCTTTCTCTTGAGGCGGTTAGTGCCAGTATAAACGTCTTGAGTTAGTCAACATCTAAGGACAAAACGGACACGGTTCTCTCAGAGAGGTAACACATCTGAATTAGGGTAGAGGCTGAGTAGGTAGAGCAAGTCAAACAGCTTCATATATGTATATATACCTCTACGACAAGAGTTCCAGGAAGACTAACCACATCCAAGTGTACGAGAGTATGGTATATTACAAGTACGGTGTAATCTGTGGGCCAAAACGAACGAATGGGTATCAAACGTATGTACATGTTGACCGACAATCAACCTGCGCAATTCCGAATAATCAAGCGTTCTTCCCCTTCCTATCGGAAGCAAGCGTACTCAGATCCTCATGTGCGGTTTCAGGTCTATCCACGCCCGGTCTCTCCTCCTTTTCCGCTCTACCCCTATTCCCCCCAATTGCCTCGTCATCAACATGTCCAAAGTCTCCAACACCAGCAGTAACAAATCTCTCTGGACACGGCCTCTCTACCTTCTCTCCAGTTCCGTCTACCCCAACACGCTGCTCCCCATCCACCACCAACCCAGGCGTACCAGGCTCTTCCCATTCCCCAACACTCAAACTCTGCAAAGTAACCGTACTAGCATTAACCTCCTTCCCCTCCTCCCCCTCCACTTTCAATCGAAAAGGATACGCCACACCCCCTCTCGTCGGTCTCGTACTAAGCGTGTGGCTCAACGGAATCAGAGTCTCCGGGCTCTGGGGCCTCGACATATCCTCAACCTCAATTCTTGGAGTGGTGCCGATTGGGGAGGTGGGAAATGGAAGCAGACTTGCTCTTCGCTCCGGGGCGATGACGGTGGCGTCTGCGAGACCGGGGGCGACGGGTGCGAGATGAGTGAGGTCTTCCATTGAGAGGGTTATTTGGCCTTTGTCTATTACGTTGGAGTGGCGGGAGTGGGAGCGTGAGCGGGATGTTGGGGGTGGGAGTTTAAGATTAGAAGGGCGGGTACGGGAGAAAGTTCTGCGGCGGTCTTTGGGGGGCTGTTTGGGGGAAGTGGGTTCAGGTTTGCTGCTTGCGGCGCCGTCGACGATGGGAGGAGTGGGCGGTTCATCTGTTGTGGAGGGTTCTTGATCTGGGGTTTGGTCTGCTTTTTCTTCGCGGACAATCTGGTGGAGTTAGCAATGTTGCCCTAGGTATTGCGAGATGGAGGAGGGACATATACGTACCGTCATCTCATCATGTTTACTCCCCCACAGACTCCAAAGCGCCATTCCCCAACTCTTCTTCTTCCTCTTCTCGGCCTTCATACCCTTCACCCTCCGTCCGGCAAGTGCAGTCGGTGGCGGTGTCTCCCCATCAAACCCCTCATACCCCATTTCCATATCCTTCAGTCTCTTCTTCTGAATCTTCAGCTTCTGCTTTGCGAATTTTCCATTCCATTGTTTCTGCGCCTTCATCCACTTATTAATCGGCCCTGGCTTCGGGACTCCGATATCAATAGACGGAATGTTCAAGGCGGGAATCTCGGGTGGGGGAGGAAGGGGGTGGATTGTGCCGTGTCGGTCGATACGTTGCCTGATCATATGTTTCTCGAACGGCGGAAGGGGATCACCTGCTTTACCAACGGCGTCGCCTTTACTCACTTTCTTACTGATACTCTCGAAGCCAACATACTGAGCGCTTTGCGGCATTGTTAGCTTGATTTCATCGGGGGAGAGTTTACTGTCTGACTCGGTGGTTACCGAATCGGACGACCCTGTACTGATGATGGAAACACTATCATCATCGAGAATATCAATCGCAGTCTTTTGGGCTCGTGCAAGTGCCCAAGCACCAAACTGGGCGATGCTACGATACATGTATTTTGCGGGGCGGGTGAAACTCAGTGTAGGCGCTACGTGGCAGAGGTCGTCCCAGACTTGGAGCTGAACATTGGTGGGTCGGTATCGGGCCGCCTCAGATTGGATGTATTCGGCTGTGAGATGGTTTGACGGAGGTGGGAGGTAAGATAGAGGAGATGCGGCTTTATGTGCGAGGTAAATTTGTTCATCTCGAAGAAGCTCTCCACCTCCTACTTGAATCAGTAGAGGCGGTAATCCACCGAGCGAAGGCTGTAGCGCGGGAGAGACGAGTGGGTGCGTGAGAAGATGATTAGCTGCATACAGTTGGATCTGGTCTTTGACCTCAATTCGAGATCCGTCCAGCTGTACTGAAAGTATTGATTTCGGCCCAATACTATATTTCCCTTCTGCCGACACGAACAAGTCTACGTTGTCTTCTGGGGGTGTCAACAGGGCATCGGCATCAGGCCGATCTGATCGGACAGAGAAGCCACGCACGCGGTCCATGCGCACTTCTTTTTGTGCTTCTCTCTCTTCTTTGCTAGGTCTAGAGAATGACACTCGTGGGGATCTCTTCTCTTTCTGTGGCAAGCGGGGAGAGTTTCGCTCGAATCCGAGTAAGTCGTCTGCATTGGGAGGTGCTGCCTTGAAGTCAGGACCAACCACACATGAATGATCTGGAGCAACTTACGCCAGCTCGCACTAGGCTTATGGACAAAACCGTGCGTAGGAATATAGTCCATCTTTCCATCGCCTCCCAGACTCGGGAAAGAATGCGTAAGGTCCACCCAAGGGCTGATCAGGATTGCACCGGCTGGCAGAGGGATTCCTTGGTCGCGCAAGGTCACCAGCATGCTCACTACCATTCCTCCGCCAGCAGAGTCTCCAGCAAGTACGATGGTAGAAGGGTCGTGCTTTTCCTCGAGTAGATATAGATATGCAGCCAAACCTCACTCTACTTAGCATTCATCCCGCACAGCGTATCAGGAGTACTCACAGTCCATAAGTCCACATGGAAACGGAAACTGAGGTGCAAGTCTATATCTCGGTGCCAGAACTCTTGCTTTCAGTTTCCTTGCATGCCGTTGCATTTGATATCGATGCTCGTCAACACTGCCAAAGTAGTACGCGCCTCCGTGCACATACAACATGATCCGCTGCCCTTTGGCACCACCGACCTTCTTGCGCTCCTCGTAATCCTTTCGCATCTCGATCCACTCTGCCTTCAATGCAGTGTTGTCACGCCTCCACTGCCACCACGTCTTTCCGCCGACTTGCTCAATCCCTTCGGGACCGAGTTGGGCCTGAAGATACTCGGCTGACTTGCCCAAGAGGCCATTAGGTATCTCCAACACTTCCACATGGACCCAAGTCGGTACAGGAACCCATTGTGATGTGAAGGCCTGGATCTCTTCAACAGTGTGAAAGGAGGAGTAATGTAGGAACCGGCGGATGAGCTCGAGGCCTTCATGGTAGGTGATATGCGCCGTGGGCTTCTGTCGCAGCGGTTTGCGGTTGAGATAATGCGAGACATAGGTTTCAATGACGATCGGCGTGACTGCTGTAGCCACAGACACGGTATTCACGGGCATTGTGATGTTGGTAACAGAATAAGCCGCGGACTCGGCGGAAGAATGCTTATGCACACAGCCCGGTCCCGTGGTGTTGTTGCTGTAAAGAACAATAGAGCTCAGCAAGTAATAATGGGCATGGTAGCAGAGGCCAGTCGCAAAAATAGCTGCGACAGCTCTCCTCGCGATAGAGCGCTAGCTTCACGTTTAATGCTATGAAGACACCCCCAGCTCTCTTCATGCAGGGGTAGGAGCTTGGGCCACTTGCCATCGACGTCATTCTGCTTTCCCTATCGTGATCCCTTTCTTGATCGTCAGTCCTTTCAAAGCATACTGTAAATATCGGCATACTAGCTTCGGGAGAAGCTGGGTGGGAGATGTCGTGCGAACTACAAAGGCCCAATACTAACGAGCGTTCAAGTGCTATCAAACTCGACTCCATCTTTTCTTGTCACATGAATTGAACACAACCAAAAATACAAAGATAACGTGATTCCCATCCAAACACCTATTAAGCTAACGCCCAGACTGAAATAAGCCTCTTCCCTTGGTCGTATTAACGACTGAAGCTAAGAAATCGCTTGCACCCAAACCCGCCAGCGTAGTCCCTCGTCTTGGGTCCTCAAAACATCACTCTGTCTGCCTCATCCAGTTAGAATCACTGGAAACGAGGGGCAAAATGCGGACAATCTCACCAAATTTATCATCCTTGCATGGCTCCTCTTGCTTGCCATTTTTACCTCCCTTCTCTCCATCTCCACTCTGTTTATCATCTTCCCAATCCTCCGGCAAATCTCCTGATTGCTTGTATTTCTGAAGAGCCCTGCCCCAGACACGCTCCCAAGCATCGGCGTCGCAGCGTTCTCCCACATGTTTGATCTGGTGAAGATAGTCTGAGAGATTGACATTCTTTCCAGTCTTCGGATCAGTGACTGCATCCTTCTCCCAGGAGAGTAATTTGCGCTCGAACCAGTTCATAGTGCACCAGTCACAGCTAGTCGAGTTAACAAACGGTCCGAAGCGGCGGGCGTTGACATAACGGCCGGAGTAATATGTTAGGAGATCATCACAGGTATCTTGTGTATTGTAGTACCTGTAAGTGCCACTAGAAGTCCTTGAGGTGTGAGTTCGAGCTTCGAAAGTGTCGAGGCCTTCAAGATTTCCAGCGTTCATGCCGTCGACGATGAACCAGTCTTCCCACATTACCGAAGTGCAATAGGGAGCAGATCCGTAGTAGTACTGTTGTCTGGAAGGCTCTTGTCGGCAGGTGTGCGAAAGACGTCTTGCAATTGTGGATATGACTTCGACTGGGCCGTCCTCAAGCCCAGGATCTGCCGAAAAGGTTCCTGCATAGTCCGTCATATCGAACTTATCTTCTTCTGTGCATTGCGAAGAGATAAGCTGGAACGCCCGGGTGATAGCCTCCGTGCAGCTTGGAGAGCACATGGCCTGAGAATAGAGGCTGATGTCTGGGTCGAAGAGAGAGTAGTGTTTTCCATTGTCCCAGGACCTGTTCCAGATCTTCTCGTGGCATGGAACATAGCTAAGGGTATTCCAGGCCACCTGGCACGCCAAAGACGGTGACGTCTGGAGCCGAGGGTACAGTCTTACAAAGTTGAGCCTGTTATTGGAAGATTCCCAGGCTTGATTCAACGGAAGGCGGGTGTGCTGCTCATAGGGTCTGTAATTGTAGCACCGCTGGTTTGAAGCTTGGGACAATTTCGATGCAAGGACGCCGGTGGAGATGCTGAGGGCGAGAACTGTTGAGAGGAGCGTGCCCAGGAATGTGAACAGAAGTATCTTTCGCCAGTTTCTCTTCGTTGGTGGCTCCCAGGCAGCATACGGATCCCTTCGGAAAGGCCTCCAGCTACCAATCCTGTGATACCAGCACAGTTCCCCTTGGGATGGAAGAGGCCCATTCCCTCGGGATCTGCTGGAAAGGAGGGGTGCACTGCTCGTATACAGATCTTCGTTATCACTCGCTTCGTTCTCACCCTGAGGTTCCTCTACTCCATCATCGATTCTCTCCTCTATTGGAAGCGGACTATAATCCTTGATTGATGGCTTGGAGAGACCCCCCATGTTGTGGAAAAAGTAACAATATGAGAATTGGATGTATATGGAAGAAAGTAGGGTATGCTCGGAAGTAGATAGGAAAAATAGGAGAAGGAATGGGAAAGAAGTGGGCACAGTTCTGTGTTGTATCAAGCTATCTCTTGGCCGCAATGGGCTGTACAATTACGATGAACAGCCAAGCGGCTGGTGTAACGCGTGCAAGGCATTTTCATTGCGGCTGTGTCTGCCAATTGATTGTCGACTGAAACACCGGCGTTGGGAGAAAGATGACGGCGAGTGGCCTGATTGGTGAGGTTTTGTCACGGCATGCATTCACAGAGGACGATGGATCAACTACCCTGTCAAAGTGCTTGGAAGTCGGGTCGGCTGAGGGAGGGAAATGGAGAGGGTGAGACCTCGTACTCCAGGCAGCAGAATTGGGGCATCACGTGGAGATAAGCTTTCGAAGATTCCGATAAGTAAATGTTGTCGAACTCCTGCATATCAGGTTTGAGCGCACACAAGTCTCGAAATGTCCGCGCCTTCACAGTGTTCGGGCGCCTCTGCATCTCCAGGTCAATTTCAACTCCCTGGTCACGATGGCCCATTGCTGACTATGACGCAGCCCAAATTCAATCCAAATTCGAGCTCGGAATATGGCACTCACTTTTCAACTGGCAGGTCCTGACCATTGCCATACAAAATCAATGGGGAGGCCCAGACAGCGAAGACAAGCGTGACTGGCTCGCCGGCGCAATATCCGAAATATTTCAGAACCAGCCCGCGACCGACGCTGAGGATATCGAGGTTGTACTTCTCCAAGCGCTCGAGGACGAGTATGGGGTCCGACTCGAAGACAACACGGAAATTCTAGTCGCCCGTGAGATCATGGCAATAAGGAAAGAAACTGCGGAGGGGAACTTTGCGACCGTAGAAGCGCTACAGGCAAAGTGGGAGGAGAGGAAAGGCAAGGCTGTGCCTACAGGCAGTGTTCAGATTACAGAGTATAGTCAAGATGCAGAATGGGACAGCGTAGATGAGGAATCGGATGAAGATGACGAAGACATTGACATGTCCGATGCACCGCCGCTTGTCGTAGCAAAACCAAAGCCAGCACCCGAGGTCGACGACGATGGATTCACGAAGGTCGTAGGAAACCGGAGAAAATGAGATATCAGGACATTTTATTCTTTACGCACGACAACAATTAAACGCTCAAACTGCTAGCCTCAATTCACGAAGCAGGACAGAGGGCAGGACAGGCCAGGCCACCGGGGCGAGCTTGTTGAGCACCGCGTTTCGATCCTCAAAATAATGAAGAGAAACCATAGAAACTGCTACCAAAGCTCATGTACTCAGTCTCTAGCCCCACAAATTACGGTGCCTCATGCCTCATTCCCCATGCCTCGTTATGGAGGGGCAATCTGCAATCTTAGAGCAGGTACTTCTTTTGCTCAACGAAGACAACGAATTCAGAGACTACAGAGGTCCACAATCAGAATTGCGACCAGTTGTACAGTTCTGAGAGTGACAATTACCAAGGCAATATCGACATGCATGTGGCACGCGTGACTTCATCCCCCACCGCATCGCCAAGACGCTGTTTACGGCATGTCCCGCCATCATCAGTCCCGAGCTGTTTCGTGACCGTCCTCTAACAACTTGAGCTCCCACCACCTCACCTCACGACCTACTCTCGCACAATACTTCAAACAGCCTACCATAGCGGCGGCCATTGTTTGAACGCCTGCAATCATGGACGCCGCATACGACCACATCCAAGAGGAGAGCTATCCCGAGGAGCCAGCCCCGCAACGTCAGGATAAGGACAGCTCCAAGCGGCAGAGCAGCGACTTTACCGCCGAGGTCCAGGATGCATACAAGGCGATATCGAGCAGTCCTTGGGCTGCAAGGCTCGGTGGATTTTTAGGCTCGGTGAAGAAGCAGGTAAGACGCTCACGACTGACTCTATAGCTTTACTGTGTGCTGATGCCGAGGGGAAACAGGGCGAGCAATACTACGACGGCGCCCGCAAAGAATATACAGCCGTCTCCGCAACCGCCACTGCAGGGCTCTCGGGTATCATAAACCGCACGCGCTCTCTCTCCATCCAAACTCCTCAATCCTCCTCAACCGAAACCGCCAAAGACAAAGATGTCGTCGATAAACCCTCGCCCCCTTCACACCCCGACCGCCCAGAATCCCTCCCCGCGGACATCGTCAAAGAAGCCGAAGGCATGCTCTCCCGCTTCCGAGTAGAAGCCACAAAGCGCCTCAAAGACATCGAACGCGCCGAAGACGCCGCCGACGAAGCGCTCCTGAAATTTGGCACCAACATCCGTAATTTCCTGCGCGACGCCGTGACAATCGCACCGCCTACCTCGCCCACATCCTCCTCGGACCCGTCGAAGGTGCTCTTTGAGTCCAAGGACTCCGAAGGCAAGCGCGTGATCCACACCACCCGGTTCGATGCCCAGCTCCACGTCATACACTGCTCGCCAGACTCATTCCTCAAGGATCCCGTGAGTCCTGAGTGGGAGGGGTGGAGCAAGAAGTTTGACATCGATGCCAAGACGGTGGCAATCACGAAGGACTTGGAGAAACATGAGGAGCTAAGGCGGGCGATGGAAAAGCTGGTGCCGGAGAAAGTCGAGTACGAGAGCTTTTGGAAAAGGTATTATTTCCTGAGACACGTTATTGAGAGCGAAGAGCAGAGGAGGAGGGAAATGTTGAAAGGTATGACCGCATCCCAAACCCTCCCAAATCTTTTCAACCCTTCTCTAAGTTAGGCTAAAGATGTGACTAACCGTGCCCCTAGCATCCGCGCCCATAGAAGAAGAAGAAGTAGGTTGGGACGAGGACTCCGACGAAGAGGAAGAAGGCTCCGAGGAAGAAGAAGAAGAAGAGTCGTCTGAAGAGGAAGAAGAATCTTCCTCAGATGAAGACGAATCCTCCACCTCCACCCCAAACCCCAGCCACAATAAACCTAACCTCGGAAAGAGCAAACCCAATCCCCTAGCCGCCTCAAAGGAAACCCTCAAGCCGCAGACCGCGAAACCACAACCCACAACGTCCCCCCGCCGCTCTAATGACGAGAAATCTGTCGCAGATAGTGATGCGAGTTATGACCTAGTCAGCGGAGCCACAAGCCGTGCGCCTGGGAGTCCGAGGGACACAAAGAAAGATGCAGTGGCTGAGGAAAGCGACGAAGAGGATTGGGAGTAGAGCGATATTTGAAAGGGGAGTGATGGCGTTCGTTGTCCCAACGAGTTAATACGAATGGGAGTCTCAAGGCGTTTAATGTGGGTAATGGGAGTAAGGGGTCGATCATAGCAGCTTCAGTACGACACGCACACTTACCGGCTTTTGTGAATATCACCGGCTTCTGTTTGTTTATTTATCTGACTTGTGAAGTGCTACCTATCTATGCCGTTGAAAGAAATGGTATCTTTAGCGAACATGTCCCAAATATTGCGCCGTGGTGCATGCTACTCTTAGCTAGAAAGAAAGGGCACCATGCGGCTCTCTAGCCTCAGATACCCCAGAGATGCATTATAATATTATTCTTCTCGCGCTTGCGGACAATACCTTCATCCCTTGGCGGCCTTCAAGCCCGCTTCCCACCACTACTCGGTGGCGTGTCAGGGACCTGACTTCTCCTTCCTAGTTCCTGAGACTGCGAAATACCCAGCCCACTAGCCCGCTGGCCAACCCTCGGACTACTCGACGTCGGCGGCGCAGTTGGGGGTCCTCGAAAACTAGGCTGTTTTATTCCCCTAAATTGACTCGGTTGTGTCGTTGCCCTCCTTAGTAACGGGCTAGCAGACGCTGCGTTTGAAAGACTCGGTCTAGTCTCACTAGATAGGAAGGGAATGTCTGCAGATGACTTCGACCTACTACCCGACATGGGCGAGGAGTTAGGAAAAGGCGAGGAACGGACCGGTGTTCCGGACCGAGATCGCGAATAGATAGTAGATGCTTTTCCATGAGGATATCTGTCGTAGCCGAAGGCTGAAGTGGCACCAGGTGAGATATCTTCATACCCGTTGTGTTCACTGTCGTGGAACTCATGCTCCAAGTACTCTTCTCCTCGGCGCTTGATGGGGCTCTCGTCGTAGGGGTCGAAGCCGACTCTCATTCGTGCTTCTCGTCGAGCTCGGCGACGGAGTTCAGAATCGTTGCCGGCGCCTACGGTGCTGCTCTCTGACAGGAAGAAAGTGAGAAGTTCATCGGGGATTGCAAGATGAGAAGACTGCTGGAATTGCTGGAGGGCGGTGAGACGGATTAACATCTCAAGAAGGGAGAGGGAAGTCTTGATGGGCGGGAGAGTGGTGGGTGGCTGCGGGGAATAGCGGGGCATTGGGTGGGAGGATTTTATGGGTGAAGGAATTAGTTGAGTATTATGAGATGGAGGCGTGTCAGAGGGTGTGGATGGACGGAGATTGAGGTTCGAGAGGCCGGCTGCCAGTGAGGGAGATAAAGAATCCAGTCGTTGTTCCATCGAATTCGCAGATGAAGTACCGACAGCAGGGGAGGGAGAGTTGAGATCCAATTCTGACTCTTCGAAATCCGACTCTGAAGACGGCTCTTCCGTATAAACTTCGAAAGCCATCCATTCGAGATCGAGATTCGGAGGCAAACGCCATGGATGGGCTTGCACCTCGTCCTGCTGTGATTCTTCAGCGGCGTTGGCTACGGATTCTCGGCGTAGTTGCGCATCGAGTTCAGACTGCTCATCCTCTACATCAGAGCCACCCACTGTATGTGAGTCATCCGAGTCGTACTCCGGCTCGACAGCGCTTCGTTCCATCATCCTTCGGGGCGGCACAGCGTTTATATCTCGTTTAAGGAGAAGTATTGGATTATTGGTCTCTCCATCAGTGCCGATGTTCAGGATCTTGCCCGTGTCTGCGTAGAAAATCTTCGAGATCTCATGGATCGGTATGATCTCTCTGACACCAGCCTGATCCACGCCCTCATATGGACCGGGCTGGGCCTCTCCATCTTCAAACGTATGGACCCGGTCGTCATGAAGGTCTTCCACAACCAGAAGTTGGTACGCAAACTCGTGCAACATGCCTTCGGCTGGGATGTGGTCTTGCTCAGTCTCATCCCTGCGACCGCAGTGACCTTGGAAAGGGGTTGGATAGTCATAGACGCGGTCTACCGGGACCCTTAGAAACTTGACATGGGCTTTGTGCATGACTTCTTTCCAGGTAGTCTCACGGATCCCTTCTTCGTCATGAGGTCGATATGCATGCCCAGAGAACAGCATGTAGATAGAAAGGGTGAATGCGGGACCAATCTGTTGAGCCCTTGGCAATGACGTGGAATACTGAGTGTCTCCAGCTGTTAGGAAGGTACTAGCTTGGAGAAGCCGAGACGGCGAAACGGTGGCCGGCAGAGTCGTTGACAGACTGACGCCCGATGTTGTTATTGCTAGACTGATCAGGGGCACAGCGTCCTCAATCCGATTAAGGAGGTTCTTGATATCTGTGATGATCATCTTCAGCTCCAGATCGTTCTGGGCACGCGAATTGCCTCTTGAAGAGCCCTTTCGAGAGAGCCGCTCTTCTCCCACAGCTTTTGCAAGTCGGACACCGAGTGACTGGATGTCCCATCGTAAAGACTTGGTCAGTGTCACCGCTGACTCAAGAGACGTGTTTCCACGAGCTGCAATGAGTTCAATCATATCGATTGCCGGAGATATAATCTACCCTGTCAGAATGAAGATGTACGTTCTAATTAGGCAACATACTCTAATCTTGCCCTCCAGACGGAGTTGCAAAGCAGCCAGCTGTTCTTTGTCGCAGCCATCTACAGTCTAGCCGTAATCAGCACGCCATTAGCCTAGTTTCTAGTAAGCCACCTACTTTGAGTAATCGACCACACTGTTGAATAGCATAGCCACTAGTAATTGTTATGCCTGTCCTGATTGCATAGTTCATCGCCTGCTGCGTGACCTGCAGACATTATTTAGCAAGAGTTTGAAAACCACGCACGGCTCAAAGTGCGTTCAGTTGAGAGATAAGAAAAGCCAGGACTATCGATTACAGAAGACTCTAGGATTAGAACCTACTTTTGACAACAAGACTTCCATCTTAGCGGTCGAAAGTCACGGAGCAAGAGCAGGGGGGTTGGCAATCTACAACCACGTCATTCGTGGGGGCAAATGAAACGGCAATGACCAGAAGAGAGCAATGGAGAGCAATAGAGAGCAATGAAGAGCAAAGGGAGAAATAAACAAGCGTGTCCCAGGCAGACACATGTTTTGGTGGCTGGCAGTGAAAGTGCTTGTGGCGGCGGCGAGGAATCCTAGCGAATGTCAGGCACTGAAGGCGCTGAGTCATGCACCAGCCACTTGCGCCTTCCGATTGCTGCACCGCGAGCCCTACGCAAGCGTGAAAGTGGCCCACGAGCAATTCTCTTTCCGCCCGATCAGCTCCACCTAACGACACCCCTACCACAGAGCTGGCTCCGTCTCTCCTTAACCTCCGCCATATTTAAGCTTCCTCGTCGTCGCTCGAGGATTCCAACGCTTTCGACCTCTTTCTTTTATCCCTAATCTACGGCCTTGCGCCCCGCACCCACGCCATGGCTGATAGTTGGGAAGACGAGGAGGAGCGACTCTCACAGCAGACGCAGCAGAACCTCAACATTGGTAACCCCCAGGCCCCCACCTTCCGCCCTGGGGCATCGAGCTTCACCCCCGGCGCACAATCATTCACCCCCGGACAACAGTACCAGCAGTACGGCGGAGGCTTCAGCCAGGGCTACAACCAGTACTACAACCAGCAACAGTACGCAGGCTACCCGCAATATGGCCAGCAGGGATACCCGCAGTATGGTCAACAACAATATAGCCAGGCTCCGCAACAGGGCTACGGCGCTCAGTACGGATACCAACAGCAACCCTTCCAGCCTCAACAGCAGCAGCCCCAAGGACAGCAGCGCCAAGCACCTGTGCAGATCGCGAAGAGACCTGCTGCAGGCGAAACTAACCCAGGTTCAGGCCAGAGCACGCCGGCACCTGCGTCGGCCGCCGAACCGAAGACAGAGGCAGCCCCGAAAGCGAAGGTCCTAAGCCTCTCAGGAGACACCACTCCCAAGACAAAGGTTCTCTCCATCAGCGCCGATTCCGCCGTGCCCAGGGTAGACACAGCTGCCCCGACAAAAGTGGTCTCCATCGGCTCTACCCCCCCCGTCGCGCCATCATCAGCAAAGGATAACGTGGACAAGAAAGCACCTGAGGCTGGAGCGAAGGTGACAGCCGCGAAGGCCATCGAGAAGACTGGAGAACCAACCAAATCGTCACCAGGATCGGGGAAGACGTCACCAACACCGTCAACCGGACGGAGCAGTCCCTCGCGCGCTGACCAAAGAGCGGCAGCCCGAGAGGCCGATGCCGTCGCAAAAGAGCAGGCTGAAGATGTCGATGAGGAGCTGCTTGCTGAGATGTACGGAAAGGAGCATGTCAATGTCATCTTCTTGGGCCACGTCGATGCAGGCAAGTCGACATTGGGCGGCAGCATTCTCTACGCTACAGGCATGGTAGATGAACGGACCATGGACAAATACAAGAGAGAGGCCAAGGAAGCCGGTCGCGAGACATGGTACCTATCATGGGCGCTCGATCTAACTAAGGAGGAGCGATCCAAGGGCAAAACAGTAGAAGTCGGTCGTGGTTTCTTCGAGACCGAAAAGCGCAGGTACACAATCCTCGATGCACCTGGACACAAGACGTTCGTACCCAGCATGATTGGCGGAGCTTCCCAAGCTGATGTCGGGGTTCTTGTTATCTCGGCACGGAAAGGAGAGTACGAGACTGGATTCGAAAAGGGCGGGCAAACACGCGAGCACGCCATGCTTGCAAAGACCCAGGGGGTCAACAAGCTCGTCGTGGTAGTGAACAAGATGGATGACCCAACCGTCGAATGGTCCGAAGACCGATACAAAGAATGCACAACTAAGCTCTCTCAATTCCTCAAAGGTGTCGGCTACAACCCCAAGACCGACCTTGCCTTCATGCCCATCAGTGCTCAAACAACAGTCGGGATCAAAAATCGTGTACCCAAGGATCTAGCCCCGTGGTTCGACGGCCCATCTCTCTTAGAATACCTAGACAACATGCAGACACTCGAACGCAAGGTCAACGCGCCGTTTATGATGCCCATCGCGGCCAAATACCGTGACCTGGGCACCATGATTGAAGGCAAGGTAGAATCTGGTGTGCTCAAGAAGGAAGGGAAGTATTTAATGATGCCAAATCGAGAAACAATCTCCATAGCCGCCCTCTATGGCGAGCAAGAAGACGAAATCGCAGCAGCCACCTGTGGTGACCAAGTCCGCATCCGTATCCGCGGCGTCGAAGAGGAAGACATCCTCCCTGGCTTCGTGCTCTGCTCGCCAAAACGGCCCGTACACTGTGTTTCGGCGTTCGAAGCACAGATCGTACTGCTAGACCTCAAATCTATTCTCAGCGCTGGCTTCAACTGCGTACTACACGTACATGCCGTGCAGGAAGAAGTAACATTTACCGCGCTGCTGCATAAGCTGGAGAAGGGGACTGGCAGGAAGAGTAAGAAACCGCCAGGGTTCGCGACTAGGGGAATGAGCATCATTGCGCGGTTGGAGGTTACGGGTGGTGCGGGCAGTATATGTGTGGAGAGGTTTGAGGATTATCCACAACTTGGCCGGTTTACTCTAAGGTGAGTTTCCCCTGTTTGAGTAAGATATATCTGGTTCTAGATTAGTAGAGACTCTTGTGCTAACAGTTAGTTCAATAGGGACCAAGGCCAAACCATTGCAATTGGCAAGATCACGAAGCTCATCACGGATCAGGCGACGGCGGTTTAAGAGTGTCATGAACAGCTATGATGCAATATCTTGAGCGTTTCTTCAGATAGATGCATATGTGTGCTGAGATTCCATCTGTTAGCGGCTACGATCTGCTTCCAAGGGCTGTCATCGAATCATGATGGAATGGATGGGGCTGGGAAGGCCAGGGTTTTAGATAAACTAAAAGAACCGGGGATTTTCGCATTATCATAAGATGTTGGTGTGTCCAAGAATTCCAATCCACAAATCATTTACGTCAACAAACGTTGCATTCACAGAACTGAGCAGAAGGACCTTGACTCTCTTCACCATATCTGTTCGTTCATAGTGGTTGGATACTTCTCTCAGAGAATCAGAGATCTTGACTCAAGGTCACCTTATTAGCAGTCCTCTAATAATAGACTATACTCGGAACCTCTGACAAAATACTCTCAACCCTACATATACGGAGTTGGGGGAAAATGGTAGACTGCAGGTATTGGACGAATATGTGGGAATTTATGCAAGTGTGTGTGTATTCGGTTTCTACATATACATACGTATTTTTCAAGGGAAAATGAGTATAAATTATTTACTATCAGCCAGCCTAATTCCTCACCTGGGGCACTTCGATATGACAATCTATTCTCACCACCCCAGCCTTCATTACGATCCTCGTCTACACTACCACCTGGCAGAGCATTAGGACATGGATCTAGTAAGCTTGGAAGTCGGTTGCAGAACCTAGTACTGATTGGAGGGGGGGGTTGTGCTGAGCAGATCCCTCGTGGTAGTGAACTACGAGTCAGAAGTATAGACGAAGACAGATTCTAAGGGAGCTAGTGCCTGTTGAATAATAAGCCTTGCCCCGAGGACTCCAGGGAGACACCGGGAGGGAGTCGCATCGTTTGTTGTGCGCATCAACGAGCATTGCTGGATGCTGAAGTCGTATTGCAGTTGTCGTTTTCTCTGTACAATTCTCCATTCAATTCTCCATTCAATTCTCCGAACCTACATTATCACTGCTAGCCGTTGCTTCCGGCAACGGCGCATCTTTAAGCAAGAAGTTAGGTGTGCTCATTTCCGCACTAGGAGCTACCTGAAGCATCACCCTCTTATCCCCACCATACCCGTATACATTCCTCCGGCTTGAATTCCATTCCTACAACCACAAAGCAGTGGTGTCCGTATCGCGGCTGGGACCAAGGCAGTAGACACAGGATTATCTTACAAGAAAGAAAAGCCACAGTAGAAGAAAATAACGAAGCCAGCACAGAATAGAGCAAGATGAAATAGGACATACCTGGTCCGTGGTAGTATCTGAAGAGGCTATTGGTGCCGTTCCGACCCAATGATGCCCTTCAAGCTAGTCGTGCCGGAGCTACCTATCGGTGTTACTATTGCCTGAGGCACTAGTTGACGACGTCGTGATCGTGGAGGCGGTGAACCACGGTTCGCTATAATTAGGGTTTCTAAAGACACTGTTTGTTCCACAGCAGTATGCGAGGCCATCACCCGTGCAAGTATTTTCTTGGCACTACACGCAGAGCGACCTCTAGCGCATATTGGTAAGCATTACTACGCCGATAATTTCAACCGAACCCTATGCCGAAGTATTTAGATCCGCTGTACAACCGAATCCGGATAGAGCATGGCATGTTAGACTTCGATTTTGAGCGAGTGACCTGAAAATGTGAGAAGTTGGCATTCAATGCCTTGATAACTTGTGAGCTTCGAGGCCAATAGTTGTAAAGGAGGGCTACATTACACTAAACTACGTTCCCCATCCAGCTTGTGGAAAATGGGCAAGAAAGACTTTGAAAAAAATGGAAGGGTTTTTGGAAATTATTTTCTACACTTGGCGAAAGCTTGTATGCTTCGCTTTCTATCAAAGTCTATGTTTATGGGATCCAGACTTGGGGGTATATAACGCCTATTAATGCTTGAGTGTCGTGAATGTCGTCGTGAATTGAAGATGTGTCACTTCAATCTGAGTCGTAGCCGACCAGGGCGACTGGTGGCAGAGTTTTCTTAGGTGGAGGTTCGGTTGTGATTGGAATGGGCCTGGTACTAGCCTCTAAAGAGCGTTTGCGTTTCAAGCCAGGGATAATATCACCCTTGGTCTTTGTTCGTGCGTTCTTGCCCATAAGGAATGGATCGATGGCAGCGCGAGTGTTGCTGACCAGCGTCTGTTGAAGATTGTGACGGGTCTTCTCGGCCTTGATCTCGGATTTCAATTTTCGTGCTTGCGAGCCGGGATCGTTATTTTGATTGGCGTCTTTTGGTACAAAAAGGGGTTTTCTAGACGCTTCATCGACCTTCTGATCGCTTGAGCTTTCTCCAGCGCCGTACTCGACAAGGCGAGCTCGAACGCGATCGCTTTCGATCTCGTCAACGATATCAATGCCAATCCCGAACTTCTCCTGCATGCGTTCTTTGTGCTGTGTTGCTTTCTCAAACATCTTTCTTTGGACCCGGAATTGGCTCCGTAATTTCTGGTTAACAGTGTATGGATCCTCCCATACCTCTGAGGCTTCGTACAATTCCTCCACTCTTTCCTTATTCTTCTTCTCTACTATCTTGTCGTCTAGCCTCCCCTCCAGTGCCGCGAATGCATCATTCCGTCTTTTTTCCCGCTCTTCCTCTGTTAGGAACGCGAGCTCTCCCTCAGTAGCCCTCTCATCCGGGCCATAGTCTCTTTTCCTTCCCCCCTCCGTGACAACATAGGCAGCATTTTGAGGATCTGTCCTAATTTCCATCCAACCTCCGCATGCAGTGTGTTTCATGCGAAAGCTCCATATCGGAGTGGAGAGGTAGTTTCCAACTTTCTTCTTCTCGGCATTAAAGCGTACGCCTTGACCAACAAGCGCAGTGGGTTTGCAGTGGTCGCACCATACAGCGAAAGGAAGTTCAAAGCGTACGATGAGAATGCCTTGGTTGGATTTGCGGGCGCGATTGCCGAGTGGATGGGAGGTGTTGAAGCGGTGGGCACTTTCGGCGTCTGGCGGGTAGTATCTACCCATGTTGAATCCCTGCATTTTGAAAGCGAAGGGGATGGGGTAGGTGCGGCTTGCACAAGTGTAATGGAGAGCAAATGGGCGTGGGTGTTGTGAGTTGTTCGAAAGTTGTGCGGTTATGAGTGTCGGTTCAGGTGGCGTTGAAGCTTGGCTGGTGATCCTTGCACCAATCACACCTGTACCTTGATACATTATGTAAGCAGAGAGCGGCAGCTCGATAGTCACCAGATATCCATCATCCTCCGATATTCATAGATTCGTTGGCCTCCTTCTCTGTGTCGCTAAAACCCCACGGTGACGAAGATACTTGAACCAATGTATATCTCAAGCTCTGCCTCGTTCATCTTAGACACTATCAATTAATTCTTAATCATTCTTCAGCTACTGTTCTACATAGTTAGTACTTGCAATATGGAAAATACACGTGTCTTAACCATCGACTTTGATTCTTCCGTTATTACATGAAGAAGTGCTAGTGCTTTCCTCCCTTGCTATATCATAGATGTTAGGAGCTCTTTGAAGTTCGGACCTATACTGCAGAAACCCTACCAGAAATAAATATTATATGAGACCTCATTAACACTCAGCCCGCAAATGTAGCTGGAGCAAAGTTCTGTCACGCTCGCTATCGAAAATCTTGATATCCCACCATATATATCTAGTATTGCGTTATGAACTCAAGGCACGCGATTTGCTCCTGTACATGAGGGTACCTCTCTATCACAGTTTAATCTCACCACCCTCTAGCTATGGCGGGTCTGCCGTTCGCCTTGATAGCGTTATCGAGACGTTCATCTAACTCTAGAGAGGCTTAAGTGACAAATATTCAATAGCATCTCCAGATCAAAAAGTTAGAATAATAGAGCAAAAGTGAAGAACAGTAACGTACCTAACAGGTTGGCCGGCCACACAGGTTGGCCGGCCACTTTTGCTAAGCCCCTACTAAACTCTACCTATCTACATAATGCCTTAACAACAACACTAGATTAAATCTTCTAAAAAATGTTAGATACAGCTTACTTTTTAGGCTTTTAAATAAGACTTAAAACTTTTTTTTTAACACGCTATAGCTATTTATAATGTCTCTTACACAACACTAAGCAATTAACACACTAGACAGCCTTTATAAGCAGAATACTAGCTTAAATTAAAAAATCTAACTAAGCTTAAAAATAAAGTAGTTATTAAGTATATACTTAAGCTTATTACACATAAATTTTTTTTAGGCTTATAGCTATAGCTAATATAGCTAATTTCTTGTCTATAAAGTGTAATCTAGGCTAGGTTAGCTTAAACTAGCCTAGTATATAAGTTAAGTACTACCTTAAGTTTATAATAAAGTTTAATTATAAGTATAATTATAAAAAAGTACTTTATAAAAATCTAAAAGTTATTTAAAGCTAGTTTTACCTAGTAGCTAACATAAAAGCTAAGTATAGTATTTAAAATAAAAATAAGTATAACTTTAATAAGTTAAGCTTTATAATAAGCTAAATATTAACTAAAGTAGTTATTATAGCTTTAAAAAGATAAAAACAGCTAAAAGTAATATAGTAAAGTAATAAAAAGTAAATAATAGTTATTTAAAGCATTAATATAATAAAGTAGGCTATAAAATTATAAAGCTTTAAGCAGTAAATAAAGCTACTATATAATATAAATTACATAAAAAAAAGCAAATTTAAGTAAAAAAGACTTTAATAGTTAAAAATAAAGCTTATCTAACTACTTTAAAAAAGTTTAGAGCGTGTAGTAATAAAAAAAAGCTAAAGACGCAGATGCACACTAAAAAAAGTAAGCTAAGTTAAAAGTAATAACATACCTAACAGGTTAGCCAGCCACACAGGTTAGCTGGCCACACAGGTTAGCCAGCTACTTTTGCTAAGCCCCTACTAAAACTACTCTATTCTCTTGCAAAACAGCCTACTTTAGCCCTATATAAAGTAATATAACATAAGATATTATTTAGAGTCTACTTTTACTACTTACTTATATATACATAAGTTATGCCTAGTTTAATTGCACTGCCTATATTACCTTTAACTTAGCTTACTTTTTTTAGTGTGCACTTATGTCTTTAGCTTCTTTCTATTACTACACGCTTTAAACTTCTTTAGAGTAGTTAAATAAGCTTTATTTTTAACTATTAAAGTTTTTTTTACTTAAATCTGCTTCTTTTTATGTAATTTATATTATATAGTAGCTTTATTTACTACTTAAAGCTTTATAATCTTATAGCCTACTTTATTATATTAATGCTTTAAATAACTATTATCTACTTTTTATTACTTTACTATATTACTTTTAGCTATTTTTATCTTTTTAAAGCTATAATAACTACTCTAGTTAATATTTAGCTTATTATAAAGCTTAACTTATTAAAGTTATACTTATTTTTATTTTAAATACTATACTTAGCTTTTATGTTAGCTACTAAGTAAAACTAGCTTTAAATAACTTTTAAATTTTTATAAAGCACTTTTTTATAATTATACTTATTGTCACGGTATCCTCCCCGGATCCCAGACATAACTGTATTAGACGCGTACTAGAGTATTATTAGTGCATGTCTAACACAAACACAACATAACACAGACATAAACTTAAGCATAAACTGCTTTAACACTAACTAAACTTAAAATAGGCTTAATTTATACCTAAAGCGCTTAGACTTCTAAGCTAAGTATTTAATTACTAATTTCTTTTTAAACTTTTCTATTTCTTACATAACATTTTGTACTTACTATAATACTTTACATAGTAATTAAACTAGACTTTTATAAAGCTTTATAACCTTACTTATGCATAATTATAACATTACATTATGTTAAAACTTTAGCTAAGAATAGCTTCTAAATTTAATCTAATAAGCTTAGTACTTACATAACTCTAAGCTATTAAAGTAAGCTAAAAAGCTTTTTAAAAAGTGCTTACTTTATAAAAAAGCTACTATGTTATAAGCTTTAAAGCTTTTTAAAAAGACTTTAAAAAACAGCTTTATGTTATTAAGCAGTCTATTTCTGCCTTAACTTTTATTATAGTAGTAAGAACTAAAAACTTACTAGCCTTAAAGCCTACTTAAAAGTCTAGAGATAGCTTAACTTTTTTTTACCTAACACTACCTATAACTTATAATCTTTTTAACTTAGTAATAAAATCTAACTAACTTTTTAATCCCCTGCTATTTAATAAAAAATAGAAAGACTTACTTTTCTTTTTATATAAGCTTTAATATAAACTTAAAGAAAATATAAACTAATTCCTCTTTAAACACTTCTAGTTACTATACACCTACTTTTAACTTAACTATAATATAACAGCCTTAATTAACTTACTAATAAATAAAAATATTATTAACTTAAATTAATTTATAGTGTTTTTATAAGTAACTTATAAAAACTTAAATAAAAAGTTAACAGCTTTAAGTTACCTAAACACTTTATAATAAAATAAAAAAAAGCTTTACTTTATACTTTACTAAGTTCTACTAACTTATATCTAATATAGGCCTAAATAAGATAAGTCTAATTATAGCCTTATATAACTCCCTCTTAACTAAACTATAATGCGCTATAGTAGAAGAACCCCTTCTAAACAACCTTAATGTATATGTAAACCTAATTGCTACCTCTAATAATAACATAAGGTTCCTCTTTGTATAAGCCCTAATACACCCCTAAACTAGCGCAGTTATAAATAAGGACTTTAATATAATAAAAATTAATTTAAATTATGCTCTAGTTAGTTCTAAAAAGTGTAAAAATTATAAGAAAAAAAGTTAATGCTTTAAGTGTAGTAAGCATAGTTATATTTTCTAAAACTGCTTTATTCCCCTTTTTTAAGTCTATGCAAGTAGTGCTACTAGCACTTATTAAAGATCTTTACTATTTTAATCTTATTTTTATAAGAGCTTTAACTTATATTTAAGCTTTAATTTTTTTTACTACTTTTAACATAGCTGCAGCTATAGCAGTAGAAGCCTGCAAAAAGGCTTGTTCTAGGGCTAAGTTGCCCTCTAGAACTAATTTAACACTAGATCTTTGCTAACTTATAAGCTAAGTCCTCTACTAATAACTAAAAGTACTAAGTTAATATTTTTATATATTTATAATAAAAAACTATATTAGCTTTAATATAGGCTCTTATTAACTTAGAAGTAAATAGCATAAGTTATATTAATAAAGAACTAGCGCGTAAACTAAATCTTTAATTAACACTACTTACTTAAATAATTTACCTAACTAGATTTAATAAAAAATAACTTAAAAAAAGTTTTATTTTTTATACTATAACTATTATAATTACCTACTAACACTATAAGAAGCAGATTAAGCTTTATGTAATAAACATAGAATGTTATAACCTAATTCTAGAACAACTATAGCTGTATTTGTAATAATTCTTGTTCTATCTTAGGTCGCCTAGAACCTATCTAAAGGGTCCCTGTATTAGCTCTAACCCTAGCTTGACCCTAACTTGACCTGGCCCTAACTCTGCCCTGCCCCCTGCTGTTACCCCTATTCCCTTATGTATTTAGTCGCACCTTGCCCTGTAGCTAGCTTAGTAGTTTTCTAATATTCTTTTGTACAAGGCCTATAGGTGTTAATAGCATTCCTAGGTTTAGAGTCCCCACACACTCCTATATGCCTCTAAGTAGATTCCTACTGCATTTAGACCTATTGTCTTGCCTGCGCTGTTACAGTATTAGCATAAAGTTGCCTTTAATTACTAAGAGTAAGTTCTAAACTTTAACTCTTTCTAATGCTAAGATATATACTTACGCTTACACCTAAACAACACCTAAGTAGCACTTAATATAGAAGGTCTCTAGACCTACTTCTTAATAACTTAAAAAAGAACTACCTAAGTAAGGCTAATAAGCTAAGCCTTTTACTAAAATAGGCTATATAGAATAATTTAATAACTGCTTAAACTTAAAAAAAAAAAGCTTTTAAAGAATTTTTACTTACTTAATTTAGACACAAACTAGGACTTAAACAGTAGATAAACATCTGCTATATAAGACCTACTCTATTTATAACTCTAGCTTAATAACTAGATTATAAAATCTACGCAGTTATAATTTCTAATATAAACTAAGCTTTAGCTCCCTAAAAACACACTAACTTAAAAATAATAGTTTCTTAAAACTACTATAACTTATTACATGTTTTTTTCTAAAATAAGTCTAATAAGCTTCTAATATAATGTCTATATAATTACTAGATAACTTTTAAGCCTAGTAAATAACCTAGTTATAGGCTACTATATAAAATGTTACTAAATAAATTAAAAGTGCTCTAAAAA